GGCGGGCAGACACAATATACATTAACAAATCTATAGCAAAATTCTGGTAGCACCTTTAACAGTGAAAATGAAAATGAAAACTTTCTGAAGAATCTTGGCTGTAGGTAGGCCGTCAGTAACTCTGATAAATACTAAAGTGGAGTACCTTGTGTTTTCAGAGCTTTAGAAGGAGCCATCAGGCAAAGCAATGGGGGACTGGTTTCCTGGGGGACACACTTACGTCACTCTGCAGGTCGTAGGCTTTCCTGGCTTGGATCACATCATTCTGGTCGGGAAAGCAAGACCAGTGGTGCAGGTACTGGCGATAGTCCACATCACTTGCTAGTGCCTGGCCTTCTTTGGCGGCGTTGATGGACACCATGTCCCCAGGGATGGAGATCTTGGCCTTGTGGTCATTGTAGGCCTTTTTGTATAGCCTGTCATTCTGCATCTTCAACACATTTGCTGCCCAAACCAGTTTAGGGTCTTCCTTAGCATTGCGACATCCGATGTAATGGCCTTTCTGTTTCTCATAAGCAGTTTTGTACAGATACTGGTAGATGTGAACAGAGAAAAGAAGAGTAGTTACTCCAAACTCACTTTTTCTAGAGAGCCTAATCAAAATAACTCCATCTCCCTTAGTTTACCTTTTTTTTTTTTGTGGGTGTAGTGGGGGAATGCTGTTTTTATTTAAATTCAAGTCACAGCTGGGCGTGGTGGCTCACGCCTGTAATCACAGCACTTTGGGAGGCAGAGGCGGGTGGATCACTTGAGGTCAGGAGTTCAAAACCAGCCTGTCCAACATGACGAAACCCCATCTCTACTAAAAATACAAAGTTAGCCGGGCATAGTGGTGCATGCCTGTAATCCCAGCTATTCGTGAGGCCGAGGCAGGAGAATCGCTTGAACCTGGGAGGCGGAGGTTGTAGTGAGCCAAGATCGTGCCACTGCACTCCAGCCTGGGCAACAAGAGCAAAACTCCATTTCAAATAAATAAATTCAAGCCATAAGTTTTGACACACTGGTTTTGTCTTCTGTGTCTATGTGCATGAAAACATTAAGGGCATCTGTTAGGCAAGAACCTTGTTGCTGGATTATCTCCCAGTATATCCTGGCCACCTTCAGATGTTTTGTCACAAACAAGTACCAATTTTACTTCTTATTACTTTAAATCAAGTTAATTATTTATTGAAATATATATATATATATATATTTTTTTTTTTCTTTTCTTTTTTTTTGAGATCGAGTCTTGCTCTGTCACCCACGGTGGAGAGCAGTGGCGTGATCTCTGCACACTTACAACCTCTGCCTCGCAGGTTTAAGCAATTCTCCTGTCTCAGCCTCCCAAGTAGCTGGGATTACAGGTGCCCACCACCACACCCAGCCAATTTTTGTATTTTTAATGCAGACAGGGTTTCACCATGTTGGCCAGGCTGATCTTGAACTCCTGACCTCAAGTGATCCACCCACCTTGGCCTCCCAAAGTGCTGGGATTACAGGCATGAGCCGCCACACCCAGCCTGAAATAATTTTTAATTATAAGCTTATTTTAAAATTTTACTTAAAAATGTATAACCCTATCTAATTGGAGAAAAAAAGTATTTTTCTAGTACACATTAAAACAACCATATAACTATTTAAAAAAATACTTGTGCACGTACTACATAAAATGATTACAGGAACCACCAGTAGTACGCAGGCCACACTTTGAGTAACAACAGAATTCTTTGTACCGTGAAATTAAATCCTTTTAGTATGTGTAAATCAAGTGACATTGTGAAGATATTGAAAAGAAAATCAAAATCTGTGCTTCAACATAAGAGTTGTAGAACCAAACATAGATGCAAAAGGATTCTCAAATTGTAAGAGTTGTTCTTGAATTTAGGATTTTAAAATATACTGATAACAATGACCCAATTGTATTTAAATATAATTCACAGGGCATTAAGTTAAACTCCCTCTGTGTCTACTAGGTAGTGTTTGTTCTGGTTAGACAAGGAGGAGCTCTTACATCACTGGCAATATCCCTGGAAGCTTTGGCGTGCTGGATCCCAATGGCATCTGCTCGCAGGTCATAACCAGTCATCTTGACATCTTCCCAAGCTTGCTGGTAGTGTTTCTGCAAACAGAGAGTGCAATACCACAGTCAATCTGAAGAGGGAGCTACCGAGTCAGCATTACTGATGAGTTTAAAAACAGGTATTAACAGTTACACTGAACATTAATCTCTCCTTAAGATTTATAAAATAGTCTGGTTTCATATTGAGCTTGAATTTCAGTAGATTTTTAATGACATTTAGTAAAGCTCTCTCCCAAAAATTATTTTTTGAAGTAGGAAACTTAGGAGATAATAAATCATGTAAAAACCAGTAAAAATATATATTGTTTGGCTTTTAAAAGGAAAAAGCAATGATGGATGGCCCACTAAAAAATGAGAACTAGATATTACTCTACATGTCTGTAAGTTCTACGTTGTGTTTTTGGTGAAATCATTCCATTTCTCCTTCCAACAAACATTGAGATGTACGTTATATAGACAGACACAGACCCACACAGCTACTTATCATTAGCTTACAGCTAGAAATAAAAGAAATGGGAAGAAACGCCTTTTGCCAAACTCCCTTTGGGGTATATAATAAAAGGTCTGGTTAGGCAGAGAGCACTCTGAAAAGCAAATGATGTGTGCTGTCTTACATTGCTGATCTGCAGAGCATTGATTTTGGATTGCAGCATCAGGGGCGTGTCAGCTGGTACGTTCACATTCGCCTTCTCTTTCTCCCAGGCATCGCGATACAATGGCTGGTAAAAACGAAAAATAATGGGATGATTGATTAGTAAATAAGTCGATTACCACATGTCAAAATTATAAAGTCAGAAAATATACTTGAATAAATGGATGAAACAACAGTATAAGTAAATTTAAAAAATTTAAGTAAGATTAAATAAGTAAATCTAATTTTATATTTAAATAATAAATAAAAGGAAAAGTTCTTTTTGGATGTTCTCTGATATAAACATAGATCACATTGTCTACATTTGCATTATTTTTTAAAAAAACAGAGATGGGTCTCACTATGTTGCCCAGGCTGGTCTCAAACTCCAGGGCTCAAGTGATCCTCCTGCCTTGGCCTCCCAAAGTGCTAGGATTACTGGTATAACCACTGCACCTGGCCTCATTTGCACTTTTATTTAAAAGGTGCCAATAGTGACTTCAGTAAGAACACATTCATGTGTGATACAATATAAATTTAAAATGAGTCAGAAATACGGTAATAAAATTATCCTTTCATTTACATCTAATTATCTGACGGGTAAGTACACATTGCAGATAGCTTTGATAATCCCCATTGCTCAGCAGGATCTAGCTTTTTTTGGTACAAATAACTGCCATAATGTCTAATATTGGAGTTGTTCCTAGACTTCTCAACCTATTTCAAGCAATAAAAAAGTAGCAATTTTATGATTATAGTACTAAGTGGTGGGCCTGTATTATGGTCTGGCTCTCTAAATGTGATCAAAGTGTATATCAGGGTGTGCAGAACATGAAGATGCTCACCACATGTGCATTCACCAAAGACTTACCAAAGCAAATGAAATACAGAGGCTGCTGACAGACTCACTACACAGAGATTTATCTAGATACATGTGTGTTTCAGATCTTGACGCTGACATGAAGGGTCTAAAGTTCAGATTTATAATTCTTCTTGACTGAGGAGTCAATTTGTGTCAATTTGTCTGAAAACATCATCCACCTGGCTTACCTCACTAATCTGGACAGCATTGATCTTTGCCTGGATTACTTCCGGGGTGTCAACAATGCTGGTGAATTTGAGGGCCTCCGGCTTTATACGATACAACCTTTCATTCAAGAGATTCTGGGCATTCTTCACTCTCATCACTTCCACAGAACCCTCTGGCAACCATCCGATACCCTTCATCCATTCCAGGTCTGATTTGTACAAGTTCTACATGAAGGAGAGAAGCAGAGTAGGGAAGATTCACAGTTGCCCATAAGACTTTGATGCTTGCAAACCATACGTCACCACTATTTAAATCAATTAGGTGGCTAATCTCATTAAACTCAAGGATCAACACTAAATGTTAATATTGGGTGTTATCTCTTTGGCACACATGAGAGAAGTTCAGAGTATCCTGCAGGAATTGGAACAGGGCTCACTCACAAGTGACACTTGGTGAAATGGCAGCCAGCAATGGCACCTAACTTTGTATACTTGGATTAGTTTCTACACTCACCACTTGAAGTCTGCCTTTTATATACCATTGGGAATAACATCAGTAGGATTTTAGGAGGAAAAAAGCCTTAGATATATGCATAATGAGAAAAAAACATACATGCCTATATCTATATCCACGCTGCCCCCATCTCTCTCTTTTTTGTTCTGTGTCAAGTAAACATGAAATCCAACATTTCTTTATACTTACATCTACTTCTGAAATATGCAACTGATCTTGCAAAGGTAATGGCTCAGAGCAGCTGCAACTGAAATTTTCTACCTAATTACATAGAATAAGAGACTGATTTTCATCTTGGTGAATAAGGTCTTGCTACCATAAGGAGTCCTCTATAAGATAGAAAATGTTTGGGGAAAACTCTGCTACCATGAATTGTACAGAATGATAGATTCTATTAAGATTACCATTTAGATTATGCCTCTGGGGAATGCACTGGAATTAAACACACAAATACACATCTCCCTGGCTCTAGTGACAATATACTCACATCGCTCTGCAGGTCATAGGCTTTCCTGGCCTGGATCACATCATTCTGATCTGGCAGACATGTCCACTGGTGCAGATAATTGCGATAATCAATGTCGCTAACTAGGACCTGGCATTTCTTGGCTTGAACAATTGACATCATGTCCAACGGTGTGTTGTGAATTCCTTTAGACTTCTCATAAGCTTTCCTATATTCTCTGTCACTCTGGATCTTGGCAGCATGTATAGACCACACCAACTTGGGGTCATCTTGTAGGGTGCGGAAACCCACGTGGTGGCCCAGTTGCTTACGATAACCTTCTTTGTATTTGTACTAAAGTTGTAAGAAGTCAAATAAAAAATACATATGGAAATAATGTATTAAGAGAGGCTTCTTTAAATGGTTTCAGAATGATTTCTTAGCCTTAGTATAAATTTGCTTAACACTGGCAGTCATTACATATTTCAGTTCACTTTAAAGAAGTTAGGTAATACTATTTTAGGTAGTTTCAGAGAGGACATGAGTAAATCAGGAGGGAGATGGTATGGTGAACAAGAGTAATAAAAACAATAGCTAACATTTACTAAGTAATTACTCTGTGCCAGACACTATTATGACCACTTCACATGTGTTGGGTAGATCCATATGAAACTACCATGTTTTTCGGTCAAAAATCATTGACTAGTGGCAATTACAATCACAGTTAATCCTCACCATGTGTCTAGGAAGTAGATACTATTATTAACATATATTCCAGATGGGGAAAACAAGGCACATGATAATCTCCATCACCAAGGTTCCCTGACAGTGCAACATTAGGTCAAATGATCTCCTAAAATTACTGAAGAAACCTTAGGTGGGGAGAGGTCATATGTGTGTGGTTTTGGAAACAGGTAAGAAAGACGTGTGTTTCAAGGATGGAAAGCAAGATTGTTGGCTTGAATCAGAAGATAACAACAAATGTTCTGTGGACAAGAGTTTTTGTCTGATGAGTGTCTTAGGACTAATATAAGACGGTTTTTGCTTCTTTCCTATGTTTGGATAACATAGGCAAATTTGAACACAGAGAGAGAAAACTGGGAATAAAGCAAGGGGTAATGTGATAATGTGGACCAGCTATGGTTATGCAAAAATGAAGAATAAGGAGGAGGAAACAACTGGATACATGAGACAAAAAGCAGACAACCCAGATAAAGGGAACAAGGTGGCTTAAAGGGTTGGAGCTGTGGGGAGGATGGACTTGGTAGCATAACTATTTTATTTTTATTTTTTTGAGATGCAGTTTCACTCTTGTTGCCCAGGCTGGAGTGCAGTGGAACGATCTCGCCTCGGCCTCCCGAGTAGCTGGGATTATATGCTCCTGCCACCACACCCAGCTTTTTTTTTTTTTTTTTTTAAGCAGAGATGGGGTTTTACCATGTTGGCCAGGCTGGTCTTGAACTCCTGACCTCAGGTGATCCACCCACCTCAGCCTCATGAAGTGCTGGGATTGCAGGCGTGAGCCACCATGCCCAGCCAGTAGCATAATTATTTTGACCACTAGCAAGTTTTAAACTTAGAATTAAATGAACTTCAAAAGATTACTAAGAGTATTGTACATAAGCCTCCAGTATAAAATCTTGTATATAAATGCGATATCAGTCTTAAGTCTTATGTGAAATTATTATCTGTGATTTATATTTGTGGAGAATGTTAGAAATATTTTAGGGACAAAATGACATTGCATTGGGTCCTGAATTTTCCCAAGAATTTCATACAGACTCTTCATAATGTTTTATTTCTATTTTGTAACAGCATCAAAGTAAGTTTACACATATACCTCATCTTTGCTAACTTTAATGTTTTCCATTCCACTTTAATATTTTCAAATAGAGAAAGCTCCTAGCATGAGAAAAGATGCAATTATTTGCACAGATTTTTTTTTTTTAAACACAAAATTCTTGAAAAATAGTCTTCCTGCTTGTTTTATAAAGGAGAAAAACTACAAGGAAACAGAAGGAAGCATACCTCACTGGCAATTTCTCTGGAGGCTTTGGCGTGCTTGATTTCAATGGCATCTGCCCTTATGTCGTAGCCTTTCTGCTTGGCCTCGTTCCAGTCTTTTTGGTACAGTTTCTATAGAGGGAAAATATAGGTTTGTTTACAAGAATGGGAAAATAAGCAAATATACTCAAATTTATCATAATATAATTCATAATACAGTCAGTATAAGAAAAACGCTTTCATTTCTGAGTTCTTTTAATTGTCAGCTATTTCCTTTGTGGTGTATAGGATACTTCTGGTTAAAATTTTAAAGCTAAACACCAAACTCTATTAATGTTTGAATATTTACATCCATTACAATATGGAATGCATTTGAAAATATCCCACTGCAAGTACGTGGAACCTAAGGATCAATGGGAAAGCCAGAGAACTTTATCAAGGTAACAGAGAAGATCTGATAAGATTTTTCTACCCCCAATTTTGCCCTTTGACTTTTCAGAAGTTTCTGCTAAAGTGCTGTGACATAGATATCATACATCACCTACTGTTTGGATGTAATTTAAAAATGGTCTTTTGTCTTTCCTATGGCCTTGAAATGTCAAATGAAAAAGTCCTGGATCAATTAAAAAAAACCCAACATGATAACAGAGACTGTTAAGAATGAAGGAGGGCACCAAAGGGATTCAGGTGTTCCAACTCCTGCAGCCTAGGCACCCAGCCATGCATCTGACCACACACTTAAAGAGAGAAATTCCATTCGTATTGCATTGGGACTGGTAGCTCAAGAGAAAATGTTTAGCACCAAAAGCCACAAACATTCCAAGGTAGGTAATTTGTCTGGTACAACACACTCCATGAGCAGACAGATATTACCCATAAAGGCTTTTGCACTTCATGTTCATGCCACTTACATTGCTGATTTGCAAGGCATTGATTTGGGCCTGCAGCATCACTGGAGTATCAGAAGGAATGCTGATGTTGGCTTTATCTTTATTCCAGGCTTCTTGATACAGTTTCTGTGGAGAGAAAGGAAATAGGAAATCAATATCTGAAACAAGCCTTAGCATTATTCAATCTGGAAAAATGCTTTTACATATGTTCGTAATAGTTAATTTTATGTGTCAACTTGGCCAGGGCACAGTACCCAGATATTTAGTCTAACATTATTTTAGGTATTTCTGTGATAGTATCGTTAAAATGAAGTTAACATTTAAATCAGATGTGGGTGAGCCGCATCAAATTAGTTGAAGACCTTGATAGACAAGATGAACCTCCCCAGCAGATGGCCTTTGGGCTTGAATTGCAACACAGCCCTCAGTCTCCAGCCTGCTGGCCTACCCTGCAGACTTTGGACTTACCAGCCTGTACTATCTCATGAGCCAATTTCTTAAAATGTATCTTTCTCTGTGTGTGTGAGTGTGTGTGTGTGTGTGTTTGCACACACACGCGCGCACACACACACATATCCTATTGCTTCTGTTTCTCTAGAGAATCTGGACTGATACAATGTTATATTATTTATTATGTAGCATGACACATTATGTACATGTCTTAGTATTTAATACGACGTCAACAAATATTTGTGTTCCTGAGTTGTGATGGAGTGACATTTTCATTGCAGTGCTTCAAAGTGTGTATGTGTGGTAGAAGAAAAGCCATGTTGGTGTTTGTCAGAGTTTTATTTTCAATGTATCTTCACTAGCGAAGACATTCTTTTTTTTTTTTTTTTTTTTTCAGACAAAGTCTTGCTATGTCAGCAGGCTGGAGTGCAGTGGCACGGTCTCGGCTCACTGCAACCTCTGACTCCTGGTTTAAGTGATTCTCTTGCCTCAGCCTCTCAATTAGCTGCAATTATAGGCATGCGCCACCATGCCCAGCTAATTTTTGTATTTTTAGCAGAGACGGGGTTCACCATGTTGGCCAGGATGGTCTCGATCTTCTGACCTCGTGATCCACCCACCTCAGTCTCCCAAAGTACTGAGATTACAGGCATGAACTAGTGAAGACATTCTTAGAGTTGCTCCTCTCACTAAAATTCTTTGAAGAAGTCTAGTCTACATGCTCAGTTTGGGTGGTAACATCGGAAAAAAGATTCCAGAACCAGAAAAGCTTGATAGTAGGATGGTTCTTACCTCACTTATTTGCAGAGAATTGGCTTTTGCCAGGACAACTTCTGGAGTGTCGACAATGCTGGTGAATGACAAAGCTTCTGGACGTGTCCTATAGAGTCTTTCATTCAGGAGGTCTTGAGCAACCTTCACTCTGTTCATTTCCACTGAGCCTTCTGGCATCCAACCGATGCCACGCAACCACTCCAGGTCTGCCTTATATACATTCTATAAAGATGCCAGACAAAAATACCATTTCAAGTGTTAGACATACCACCCCTTAGCTGAAAAATAAAGCACATGGGGTTGAAGGGAGGATAAGTGGAGATTGCACTTCCAAAAAGTAAGACCTGAGATCTCACATGATTCAGGGTTTTTAATATTGATGACAGAAGTAATTTGTAAAAACATAATTATTTATACTAGTCATGAATAATATATAGTAATAATGCTGCATTCCATGATATAGTTGATATTTCAAAACATTTTATAATTGAAAAATTTTAAGGGAAATTTTGCTGAATCAAATTCCACTTTAATCCTGTGATAATTGATCCAAGGAAATGCTGTTTAGTGTTTTGGATCTAGCATAATAGCAGCAATTCTTTTAAAAACATTCAGATGATTTATATTTGTCTGAAATATATTTTCATTGCTAGAAGCTACAAATGACACGGAAAAAAAAAAGGCTAAACTAGGCTGGGGAATAAAGGACATGACCTCACTAATAGAGATGACCTCATGTCATCTCTATTTTTGCTTCTCACAACATAACTACTAAAGATGGATTTTATATTAAACAATGTAAATGGTACCCCCCACCCCTGCCCCCAGGTTTATGCAGTACACAGCCCAGGGGCTTGTCCACAGCGGCACTGACAGGACAATTAACAAATCTACATCTTCCCCTTCCCCTTTTCCCAAAATTCATTTTACGTACATCACTCTGCAGGTCATAGGCTTTCTTTGCTTGGATAATGTCGTTCTGATCAGGCATGCATGTCCAGTAATGCAGGTAATTGCGATAATCAATGTCACTGACCAGCGTCTGACATTTCTTGGCCAGCAAGATGCCCAGCATGTCCACGGGGCTAGAGAACTTGGTCTTCCACTTCTGGAATTCCTTCTTGTACTCCCTTTCACTTTGAATTTTTCCTGCATGTATGGCACACATAATCTTGGGATCATCTTCAATGCACTGGGCTCCAATGTGGTGGCCTTTCTGTTTCTCATAGGCTTCCTTGTATTTGTACTAAAATGCCAGAAATACAAGTGTAGACATCCTGTTTTAAAACCATGCTCATGCTGACAAGTGAGGTGACATGATATGGACAAGAATTTTATATTACAAATATTTTGGCATCTCTGAACTATTATTTTTAAAAGTGAGGTTTTATATCATTATAAAAATAATTATAATGTAATCATATATCTTCATTGGTGGAAACTTTCCCTGCAGTAACTCTAATGCCAAAATGTATTTTTATTCTCTGTAACAACAAAGGGAAAGGTCTTGGGAGGTAGAAGGTAGGACTGGAAGGTACATGTGACAATCACTATAGACTGTGGTCCGCCAGCAACCCTCTGGGTTGTTCAGCTTGGTGGACACCACAGGGAGTTAGATGGAAGGCACTCACGTCACTGGCAATGTCCCTGGAGGCCTTGGCACTTTTGATGGAAATAGCATCTGCTCTCAGATCATAGTCCTTCATCTTTGATTCATCCCATCCCTTGGTGTAAAGTTTCTAGGGAAGAGATAATAGATGACAGAAAATAAAAATGTTCGAGGAAGGCAATAGGCCAATTCCAGAAATGAAATTGTTAAGGTGGAAAAAGCATTTTAATTATTCTTAGAAAGGTTTAAGCAATGATTAGGAAATCTCTTACTTGGCTGATATTGGCAGAATTGCTCTTGGCCAGCAGGATTTCTGGGGTGTCTGGCATCACATGGATGGAGGCTTTGTCAGCATCCCAAGCTTCTGTGTATAAATGCTACAGGGCAGGGTGGGGTGGGGTGGGGGAGAGGGAGAGTAAGAGTTTTTGTTAAAGCCAATCACATCATTAAAGTCGTTAACAAATTTAACTCACATTTAACTATAAAATAGCCCCTTCTAATGCTTTTGGGATGTGAGGGAAGCAAAAAGGTCATGGGGAAAATAAAACATAACAATATTTAAATAGCTGTATAATGGTTTCATAATTAATATGATGCAATATAATGGCGGCTATTATTAATTCTTCTCATCCAGTGAATCACAAGCTTATTCAGACCTCCAGAGATGGAGCTCAGTTATAGAACCATGAGACAGTAGACATCCCTAGACTTCAGAGTCCAACCCAAATGCAAACCCAACTCTACTATTTCCAAGCTGTATGATCTTGAGAAAGGTATCAGAGATACTCCTCATATTCCTCCTTTCTGAGAGGGGGATAATCATTCTTTTGTATTGTGTATTTTTTGAAGATGACCCATAACATATATAACACAGCCAAGTCATAGCAGATACTCAGCGATTTTTATGGTGATTCCTATTGCTGTTATCATTGTGGTTGCTGTTGATGGATGTGGTATAAAAGAGTTTCTAGAGTCGTATACCCCAAACTCTGGAGTTTGCTGTCTGAAGTCACTTTCATATTCTGCACTGAGCACTCAGTTGTACTAGCCTAATGACTGGAAGGCTTCCAGGCAGGTGTGGGAGAATTCAAGTTCAAGTCAATCTAAAATATGCATGCTAAGGGCTGACTCATGGATAAAAATAAATAGACTGATAGAACTTTGGAGGAAACAAATGATCATCTATCTTGTGTAATAAAACTGAAAGCAGAAATAGTAGCTAGCTTTCAAAAGTGTATTTCCATAACCTAATGTGGAGAAGCAAACCCAGCAACCAATTTTAATGTATACCAGCACTGCTATGAAACAGTATGTGTTTCATAGCACTCAGAATGAAATGTAAATGGCTTATATTCCTTACCAGATGGCTAAAGACACATCAATGGCCTGAGTCTGCTCTGCCTAGGAGAATGTGCAAGGAAAGGTAATGTATTTGTGATGTCTCCAGGTCACTGCTCAGAAGGGTGAGTGCATCACTCCAGGGAAATCATCCCAGGCTCTGTTCCCACATGCACATGGAGAATTAGGGGGCAGGGTGTTAAGAAGAGCAAACAGGGTCCCCTTGAATTCAAGCAGATTCTCTGTTAAAGGCCTACATGAGAAACAGGCCTTAAGACATCTCCTTTCTCAGGGGACCCTTAGAAAATTTCCTACTTTATGAACCAAATCTGTGGAAGGTATGTTTCTGGCAACAGGAAACAGCTGGAGACTCACCTTGCTCATGGTCAGGGCATTATTCTTTGCGAGGACAATTTCCGGAGTGTCTGTAATGCATGTGAATTTGAGCTGGTCTGCAGGCTGGCGGTACTTCCTTTCACTCAGAATTTCTCCAGCCCTCTTCACCTTCTCGACCTCTACAGAGCCAATGGGAACCCATCCGATGCCTCTCAGCCACTCAAGATCAGATTTGTAAATAGCCTGAAAATGAAATAATGTTAAATATTATTTGTAGAGTTACTATTTTCAAGTTTCTTAGAAAAATTGTCTCAATATGTATAATTCATTTTTAAATTTCCATTCAAAAGTTATAATAGATACATCCTATGAGTTAAACAGACACATAATTATAATGCAATCGATTCATTTGGAAAATTAGGTTGTTTAAAACAGGAATTCTTAACCTGGCATCAGTGAACTTGGATAGAAAAAATATATAACATCCTCATTTTCATTAACCTGTAACTGAAACATAGCATTTCAATCATTATAAGCAATAGATTACAGTAGTATTGCTACTACACCTGACTTTGTCAGCTATAGAAATCTCAAATCTTTTTATGTCCTATTATAGTTTGATACAGTTTGGTTCTGCATCTTCATCCAGATCTCAAGTTGAATTGTAAACCTCAATGTTGGATGAGGGGCCTGGTGGGAGGTAACTGGATCATGGGGGACTTCCCCCTTGCTGTTCTTGTGATAGTGAGTTCTCATGAGGTCTGGGTGTTTAAAAGTGTGTAGCACATCCCCCTTTGCTCTCTCTCTCCTGCTTAGCCATGTGAAGATGTGCCTGCTTCCCCTTCACCTTCTACCATGATTATAAGTTTCCTGAGGCCTCCCCAGCCATGCTTCTGGAACATCCCACGGAACTGTGAGTCAATTAAACCTCTTTTCTTCATAAATTACCCAGTCTCACATAGTTCTTTATAGCAATGTGAGAACAGACTAATAAAGAGCTGTTGCTGATGTCTTGAAATATTTATGCTCATTACTTCTTTGAAATTAGTTATTACAGTCACTGCTAGAACTTTTTACTTAATGTATTAATAAAAAGCACATTACAGGTTTGGTTTAATACTTTGATAATGATATTTCAATATGATTGGTTTTGTTTGAAATGAAATACATATTTTATTTTGTGCATTTCAGAACATTATCCTAAAGAGTTGTCTGTAGGTTTCACCAGACTGTGGAAAGATTCTATGGCACAAAAGAGTTAGAATGCTTTTCTAAACCTTGACTGAAGATTGTTAGAGCCACTCACATCACTCTGCAGGTCATAGGCCTTCCGAGCTTGAATGACATCGTTCTGATCAGGCAGGCAGGTCCATTCATGCAGGGGGTGCTTGTAGTCTATGTCGCTTACAAGGATCTGGCACTTCTTGGCCAGCACCACCCCCAGCATGTCCACTGGGCTGCTGAACTTGGTCTTCCACTTCTCAAAGTCTTTCTTGTACTCCCTGTCACTCTGGATCTTGGCCACATGGATGGACCACATCATCTTGGGGTCATCCTTAATGTTCCGGGCACCAATGTGGTGGCCGAGCTGTTTGCGGTAGCCTTCCTTGTACTTGTACTAAAAAAAGAAAAGGGATATGAGTCTAATGACAAGAACATCTTATATACTCACGTTTCATAGGTTCACACACACATTGCTTCTTTTTCTTTTCCCGATCACTAACGCAAAGGGGAAAGGTGAATACCATCAACCCTATTTTTAAAAGTCAAAATCTGAACCTAGCAGGGGTTTAGTGATATGTACAGTCACACCACAAGCAGGTGGCAGCATGAGCCTAGAATGAAGAGCTTCTCATTCTTAATATTTTTCCTCCTCATTATACTACATTACTTAGTTTACATTGGATTCCTTAACAAGTAGAGGTAAATATATTATACAATCTAATGGAGCATCTACTTAAAGACATGGTTGTTTTCCCAAAACTGTTTGACATTAAGAATATTTTAGAATATTTCCCTTATTAGAACTTATACTAGACATCTCAGTCAAGGATATGTGTTACATTTAGATGGAGTTTACGTGGCACCAGGAAATGGCCCCCTTATTAGCCTGTCAACATCAGTGAGCTTTCCCTGTGAGTCAGTTTATCTACCTTTAAGGTTCAAGGATAACACATTATGGTCCATTTCACCATGAAACGATTATGGTGTGGGCTTCTCCCGCTTAACAGCAAGAAAAGTTTTGATAATAGGGCGTGTATCCTTACCCTTGGCAAAATGAACTTCTAAACTGATTGAGATCTATCTCATAGTTTTTGGTTTACAGAAGGAATGATGCATATGTGTAAGGCATGAGGCCCTTCCAGAGGAGGGAATGTCTAGATTTGAGTCCTAAGTAGGCTTGCTGCAGAATGAGGACACTAGGCACCCTTAGGGAGTGTTTCGCATGTGAAGAAAAGGAGTAGAGAAGAGGAAAGTGGGTGCTGAGAAAAAGCCTTGCTTACTTCACAATCTGTTCTTGTGTCCAGTGAGGGACATCTCACTAGGAGTTACAAAGGACAAAACAAATCTCTAAAACATACCCATCTAGTTTTCTTTTAATGCCAGAATAGATAGAAGTAGTACGGAAGAATTTACATGTATATTGGCTGTTTCCCACATATTATTTAAAGGGATTAAATTAATCCCTTTAATTTCACAAACATCTAGGTCAACTGCTGCTCAATTTCCTGTTTTTTTTCTTTTTGGAGACAGAGTATCCAATTTCGGAGGCTCAAAAATATGAACCCATTTTTGGTGTCCATAAAAAACTCTTTTAAAAATAGTATGTCTCTATTTTTGATTGACTGACAGGTATATTGGGTCCAGAATTTTGTGCTTTTCTTTTTTCCATTTACAATTCTGTATATGGGAAAATCGCTAAAGGGAATTGAGACTTGTAGGGGTAACTAAATTTCTGGCAAGAAAAACTAAAAGCTTTTGTCAACATCTTTGAGTAAGAAATGTCTTTTCCAAAAACATCCGCTTACATCGCTAGCAATATCTCTTGAAGCCTTGGCTGCTTGGATTGGAATGGCATCCAGACGCAAGTCATAGCCTTCCTTTCTGGACTCTTCCAAAGCAAGTTTATAGAGTTTCTGTAGAAAAGAAAGTAATTATTCATTACTTCTTCCATAAAAAATGAATCTTCTTATTATTGTATTTTCTCTGTCCTCATTTAAACTACAGACATAAATCACAAGGTCAAACATTAGGGTGGGTTTATAGATAGCTTTGTCTCATGGGTGCTTAAGGATTTTTAAGGCACATGTTCCAAACTTTGGGATTTTTATTTCAACAAAAAATGTGGGGAAAAAATCAACATTTGGTTGACAAAATTTTATTTGCCAAACAAACAGATGTAAAAAAAAATTACTTATTGGCCAGGCATGGTGGCTCACACTTGTAATCCCAGCCCTTTGGGAGGCCAAGGTGGGGAGATCACTTGAGGTCATGAGTTTGAGAAGAGACTAGCCTGGCTAACATGGTGAAACCCTGTCTCCACTAAAAATACAAAAATTAGCTGGGCATGGTGGTATGCACCTGTAATCCCAGCTACTCAGGTGGCTGAGGCAGGAGAATTGCTTGAACCTAGGAGGCAGAGGTTGCAGTGAGCCAAAATTGTCCCACTACATTCTAGTCTGGGTGACAGAGTGAAACTATGTCTCAAACAAAACAAAAAACAAAAACAGAACAAAGCAAAACACTATTTATTATTGTCATCATAATATAAAAGACAGGCCATCTTAATACTAAAGAAGGACAATATTTTAAAATGTAATTTAGTTTTATGAAAAACAATGCCTTGTGCTTATTTTTTCTTATTTTGCTGTGGACTATTAGACAATGATCCATTTGTGGACTGGGATTTCAGGATAATTCCCCTTATGAAAATGTTAGCTTGGGCAGAGATGCCTAGAAAAATGTTTGCAAGTTAACATCAAATGATTCTCAGAACCTACTGAAGCAGCAAAATAATATGTGGCTTACTAACTCACCAGATTCCAACCCACTCCTTGCCTACTCACTAGCTGCTGAAAAAAAATAATGACTTGTTATCCACACTGACCTGTAGGGGGGGCTTTAAAAGTATAATTCCTACGGGAATATTTATTTGTAATCATTCAGTTCCTGAGAACCTGTTAATAAAGTGGTAGCCTACTTTGTGGACCCACCACAAAGCTTAAAATTGAATCAAGCAAGAACTATTTCTTCTACTGAAAATGGTAGTTTGGAGTATGTGTAATAAATTAGTCAAAACATTTTCCTAAGAAAACGCCTACAATAGTTCATTTTCTCCTTTCTGTTCATTCCAAGATCAACAGTTTACTCACATCACTGTAGTTTATTCGGTTGAGTTTGGCTAACATGATTTCTGGTGTATCAGGCATGACATGAATAGTTTTCTTGTCATTGTCCCAGGCTTCAGTATATAAGCGCTACATAAAAAAATAAGAAAAAATATTTTAGTGTTCACAGACTTTATTCTTTTGATTATGTGCCAGTCATCTCTCTTGTATTCAAGGTAGAAATAAAATTATTAAAGCTGCGTGAATTCCTTACCTTTGTTTCTTATTAAAATTCTTTCAAGAATCTAATACTTAACTGTTAAAGGACTTGTCAGTTATGAAAAGTATAATAGAATTGAAGTATTTAAAATAATTTCTAGGAAAGAGTTATAGCACACAGTATTTTTTTTTAACAACCTACTATTTCAATCAGAAGCACATAGTACTTTTAACATTGGTTTAACATTTTGAGGTATCACTAAGTAACTATGGCATTATAGTGGGAAAAATCATTTTAACAGGTATCATGATTCTTATTATAATCTTTAAAATGCAATAATGCATCAGAATTTTTACAATGTTCTATGGTAACTTTCAGTATCTAACAGTGAGGATTGAAGACTTACCTTATTCATGTTTATAGCATTGTTTTTTGCCAGCACCTGCTCCGGAGTGTCTGTTATACTGGTAAATTTCATTGTGTCTGGATGCTGACGGTAGATATTATCACTAAGTATCTCTGCAGCTCTCTTGGCCCTAACAACTTCTAAGGAACCAATCGGAACCCAGCCAATGCCTTTCATCCATTCAAGGTCTGACTTATACAAATTCTGCAGATGAACAGATAAGAAACACTTTTATTAATTAGTGTTTCAAATTCATAGTTACAAAATGGGTTACCCTAGAGAAATACAAAAGTACTGAAGAGATGAGATTCCCAGCATAGTCAGTCACTCACTACATACATTATTGAATCCTAACACTACACACATTATTAAATCCTAAGCGTATTTTTTTCCTGAGCATTTTTTGGGTACAGAGGAGTACACCAAGAATGGTTGTTTTTTTTTTTTTAAAAGTAAAAGACATGGTCCTGCCTATGAGAGTAATACAAGATTTTTATACAGGAGCATGCTTTCTTAGCCTTGAAAAATATATTCTAATAGCTCCAAATAAAACCACATACTCAGACTGATGATGTGTGAGTACTGCAATCAAAAAATTCTCACTGTTATTTCCATCTTCAAAAATCACAAAATTTCAAATGTATACAGGAAATGTGATGTTGCAGAGATATGTTTGGTATTTACCTAATTATTCATTTTATTTTACTCTCAGTAGGACATGATGAATAAGTATTAGATGACCGGACTGGTTTTTAAAAACATGAGAATGACAGAATTTTCCCGTTAGTAAGTATAAAATGTAAATTAAAATAACTTAGCATAATATACTTTCCCTCTTACTGTCTCCATACTATACCCTCTGCCAACACACACCACACTTTTTACCTCCTTTGCCAAAAGTTTGCAGTGATGTATCTGTAAGGGTTAAATTTCATCTGATTCAGACAAAGGAAGCCTGAATCCCTAGGAAGACTTATACCTGTATACAATTGATAACATTTACCTTATTTCCTCTCCTACAGAGAACTTTTGGAGAAGAAGACAAATTGCAGTACCTCCAGTGGAAAAGTCCTTTCCGACACTTAATTGTAAATTGTTTGAAATATACAAACAAATTGCACTTCATTGGCACTAGTCAGAACCCACAGACACGTTTCAGACCCACTTTTAACACTCAGAGCTAATATCAAGAAAACTCACATCACTCTGGAGGTCATAGGCTTTCCGTGCATGAATGATGTCATTCTGGTCAGGCAGGCAGATCCATTCATGAAGAGGATGTTTATAGTCCACGTCGCTGACCAAGGTCTGACATTTCTTGGCCAAAACGATACCAAGCATGTCCACTGGGCTGCTGTACCTTGTCTTGTATTTCTCAAATTCTTTCTTGTACTCACGGTCACTCTGCACTTTGGCAATGTGAAGGGACCACATTATCTTGGGGTCATCATGTACTGCTCGGGCCCCAATGTGGTGACCCAACTGTTTACGATATGCTTCTTTGTATTTGTACTGAAAGAGAGAATCCAGTAAATAAGGAGGAGGTACAAAGGGCCATTCCCTGTTGTTCTTTCTGTGGTGGTGCTTTCTACGAAATCTTCAAGGCAACAGAGGAGTTTCACTGGTCATGCTGCCATGATGCTGCATATTGGACTGTTGTGTTTATTGGCACATCCCCACAGAATAACTTCACAATGGTTGTTTTACATATGCTAGAGAATTCTATGTTGGCAAAAAGTGACAAAAAGTGAATACTGAAATGAAGAACCCAATTACAGTAATAAACCATGACAGTGTCTCAGAGATCCATCATGTGAGTGAGTCTATTTAAGAACATACCTGGGGTGTGTGTTTACATGGATCATTAAAATTTTCTAGCATAGTCTGAGAAATAATTTCCTCTTCACAAATGATTTGGGAGGGTTAGTTTAAAAATTAAAAAAATTCTGTTATTTAATAGATGGAGAGTTTCAGTTTTACAAAATGAAAATCCTGGAAATCAGTTGTACAACAATATGAATACCTACCAAACAGTACCTACCAAACAGAGCCCTACCAAACAGTATACTTAAAAATGGTTAAGATGGTAAATTTTATATAACATATCTATTTAATCAGAATTAAAAAATTTTAAAACCTATAAAAATGGACAATTTTATTACTCTTGGATTAATTTTTAGCATATCCAGGCATATGTTTTCATTTTTAGGGTAAAGAAATACTGATTCTGTGCACCCCATGGCAAGAAAACTTTTAATTTTTTTTGCTAACCTATGTTCTTTTTCAAGCGATGGGGCAAACTCAGTTAAGCCTCCTTCTTTTCTGGCATTTTTGCCTTGAGTGTGTTCCAAGGAGAGCTTCTGAGATTCTGTAAGTAGCTCAGCATACATACATCCAACTTTAATCAAGGCACTCACTCCTATTGAGCAAAGATCAAAAATACAGAGTCAAATGAGCCACATTCCACTCTAGGCTACGCTTCTGTGGTGCTTGTGATCTTGGGCATATTATCTGTATCTCAAGCCTCAATATATTTGCCTATGTACTGAAGGGACTTAAGGTGGATGACGACCAAAGAGATGTCCAGTTGTATTCCCTGTGTGGCTGGCCTGATGCCAAGAAATGTTAGGACTTGATCAATTCTTACATCACTGGCAATATCCCGAGAGGCCTTGGCAGCCACAATGGGAATGGCGTCACTTCTCAAGTCATAGCCTTCTTTCTTGGCTTCTTCCATGGCCTGACGATAGAGGTTCTGAGGAAAGAAGAAGTAGCTTTTAAATATAGAATTCACATTCACTCGAGAAATACATTTTTGTCAAAGCAAGACCACTTTTGGATGCAAAACTACACTAGTATATTCAGCCTTAAATCAGAAAAAGAACTCTTGCTTTCTGTTTATCCTTGGATATTTATTTAAATGAAAATTTCATATTCAGCAAGTTTTGACATCACAATCTCTCTTTGCACAAATCTTATAAATTTCATACATTAAATGAACAGCTCTTAGTGTGTTTAGATTGTTCACTACTTGCTCTTTTCATGCAACAACCAAGAAATGTTCATTTATTTAACTCCAAATTTGAACTGGGAACATTTTTACTAGCAGAGAATAGTATCACATAATAACATATAATAATACTACCACTAGGAGGATGTGTCCATAATAAAATTTAGTGCTGAACTAAGGATGTATCACTCTTTCTGAATTCTGTTAATGTTGATTTGCTCCCTCTTTATTATTTCATCAATTGCTGAAAGTTATTAGCAGACATGAGGGTAGCAGGTATCAAAGATTTAGAACTGAAAACTGTAAAACAGACAAAATTCTATTTATTAACTTCTTCTGTGAATTGAGAATGCACCGCCACTGTTCAATTTCTGTGGCAGGGCAGATGTACACAGAAGACAAAACATGAATGTTACCTGGGAATGTCATTTGAGAACCAAATCATCTATACCAATGGTTTTTAGCCCTTTTTGTTTGTGAACCAACGATGAAAATTTTGACTGATTCTGTATCCACTTAACAAAAATGTTAAAAAACTGCAAATGTCAGTATTCAATAAATCAAAACAAAATAAATGTACAGTTTGATAATTTCTAAACATAAAAAATAAAAATTTATTGGCTCTCTTAATGAGACATGACTTGTAGGAGCTCATGGTGGCTTGATTGAAAAAGTTTTGATGGGCAATAATGAATTAAGTTTCCTGGTAGAGTTTTGTGGGGTTTCTGTTGTTGTTATTTTGTTTGTTTTTTGAGAGAGTCTCACTCTGTTGCCCAGGGTAGAGTGCAGTGGCACAATCTTGGTTCACTGCCTCTCAGATTCAAGTGATTCTCGTGCCTCAGCCACCCAAGTAGCTGGGATTACAGGTGCATGCCACCACGCCCTGCTAATTTTTGTATTTTTTTTTTTTTTTTGAGACGGAGTTTCGCTCTTGTTGCCCAGGCTGGAGTGCAATGGCGCGATCTCGGCTCACCGCAACCTCCGCCTTCTGGGTTCAGGCAATTCTCCTGCCTCAGCCTCCTGAGTAGCTGGGATTACAGGCACGTGCCACCATGCCCAGCTAATTTTTTGCATTTTTAGTAGAGACGGGGTTTCACCATGTTGACTAGGATGGTCTCGATCTCTTGACCTCGTGATCCACCCGTCTCAGCCTCCCAAAGTGCTGGGATTACAGGCTTGAGCCACCGCGCCCGGCAATTTTTGTATTTTTAGTAGAGATGAGTGTTGCCATGTTGGCCTGGCTGATCTCCAACTCCTGAATTCAAGTGATCCTCCTGCCTCAGCCTCCCAAATTGCTGGGATTTCAGGCATGAGCCACTGCACCCAGCCACATGCATCACAGTAACTACTAGGATAACTTTTTTTCTTTTTCTTTTAAAAATGAAATCTTTACATTATCATACTTAAATATTTTAATGTACGTCTTAATATTTTAAAATGTATTCTTTCCACCTTTTGCAAAACTTCAAACCTACAGAAAAGTTGCAAGTTCCAACTATCCAACTTATTAACATTTTTGCCATATTTGCATCCTCTATCTCTTTCTCTTTATGTGTGTATGTATTTCATTTTACTTATTATTTGCAATTGTTGAACTGATTAAGAGAAAACTGTATACAACATGGCCTTCATCCTTGATTACTTTATCATGTGTCTCCTAAGAATAAAGATATTTTATGTAACCACAATATATGTATCAGACTCAGGAAATTTAACTTTGATACAGTATTATTGTCTAGTTCTATTCTCTTTTATTATCAAATATAAAGTCAATATTCGAATTTCATCAGTTGTCCCAATAATTTCCTTTATAGCAATGTTGCTTTCCTATCCAAAATTCAATTCAAGAGAATGAGTAGCATTTAGTTCTCTAGTTTCTTTCTTCATCTTCAAACCATGCCTTTTTTGTTTTAACATAGATGAGAGTGACTATGAAGCAAGTGGGATGCCACTCAAACCGTAGGGGCATTCTTGGGCAGATAATTTAGAAGAGTGTGTCTATGGAAGTTGAAGCTATGTTAACTGATTTGTGTAAAACGATCCATGCCAGATTACCCCTTGGAAGGCCTCTGTGTAACCTCAAGGGTGGTAGCTGAGGTGTGAAAGCAGCTCATCTATATCCAAATACAGCCTTGAGATCAATCTACGATTGAATAATCTTTCATTTCGCTTTCTCCCTTTCCTCTTTTACGAGGTTTATTGAGTTAGATAAAGCAGACACAGTACCAGTAGACAGTTCTGGAAAAGAACTTAGAAACAATGTGTGGTTTTAAGGGAAAAACTACAACGATCTATGGTTCTACAAGGCTTTATCATCCCTCTACTGTTCAGTGTACTTTTCATTGCTGACGCTGTGTAAAGACAAAATCTTAAACGTAAGGAAAATCCCTAAAAAGTGTGGCACAAATAATTAAAACTTAATTTTTATGCCCCATTCTCAAATTAGATTGAATTAAGAATACTGGACTAGTATCTGGATTTTAAATATGTTACAGAGGCATTTAATTTTTTAAAAAATATTTTTATGACTTAAGACACAGGGTCATTACTGTGTTTAATAAGTAGATTATTAAGATGTGCCAGTTTATAGTCTTTTCAAGATGAGATTTTACAAGAAAAGGCTAAAGAATCAATGTAATATCTCTGAGATAAATTCCAGAGGGAATTTGTTTTACTTCAAAATTTCTAGGAATGTTTCTTTTGAAAGTGGAAGGTCAAATATTTCAATTATGTTTTTTTCTTTAAGAATAAATGCCCTTGTTTTAAAAATGGTAGAAGTGGGGAAAAACGTACTTCAATCATCTCATGGCTTCAGGCCAAAAAATAGAGTTCTTTAATTCTTTCAACATTTAAAAAAGATGCAGTGCTTCGAAGGAGAGCACACTTTTAGCTATCATCAAGGATATATTTTAAAGCTTGTTACTTAAGAAAACTAGAATAGGTAAATGAGAACTTAAGAGGAAAAAATGGATGGATTTGCTTACTTTTACATTTATGGAATGAAGGTACCACAGGCAATGGGTTGAGAAGAAATTCATGTGGGCCATTCTGAAGTCTAATCGTAGATTCCTCAGGGGATCAACATGTTAATTCAATGTTATTTTTATTTATTTGTGTGTATTCATGGGACATGAATGTGATTTTGCTGCATTAATACATTGCCCTGTGGTGAAGTCAGAGCCTTCAATGCACGATCATGCAATTTTAAAGAAAGTAAATCCAGCTGAAAATTTTAGAATTAAAAAATAGCCCAATTTCCTTGCAGCAGTCTGAAAAAAAATCTACTTGAATTCCTCTAATGTAAACAAATGAGAGAGGCTTAAGAGCTTCTTTACAATCTGGAATAGAAATTAACTTCATCTGCCGAGAAGATAACCCAACTGAGAAGCTCTGTGGCCAAGAGAAAATGGCCCATTCAAAAGTGACTGAAGCCAAGGCCAATCAAATATTTATAATCACGCTTGTCAGTTGGTCTGTTTCATAATGCTGGAGAAAGCGAAATCATATCCTCTTCATTTTACTGGTCATGATTATTTGATCTAAGCATGCCTTCTCTTTAAGGCTTCATTATTATAAGCAAAAGTAATTAATATGAGTAAAATAATAAATTTGGTCATCTTTAAAATCAGTAAATTTTCTAGTGCTGTCAAACTGAAGAAAACTCTGCCTTTCTTTCTAAAAGAAAATGAAGCCACATAAACATGTTTAAAAAATTAGTAGTCTTCTTGAATCAACCATATAAATTCTTGACTTTGGCAAGAACAATTGAGCAAAATGCTATTTATGCAGCAGTATTTCTGGACTGAAAAGATATGCAATGACAAGTTTAGCAAGGCTGGAGATAGTTCATAAAATAATGTATTTTATTGTTCTCAGGCCGTGTGAAATGGGTGAATTTAAGCATTCTTATTTCAGTTCTTGTAAATAAAGCTCAAATTATTTCATGCATGTTAAATACACCTAATTTTCATGGTGAGTTGAGTGTAAAGAAGAGACATTAAAGTTTATTAAACAAACATTTTGCACCAGGTTCCACACTGAACATGTTAAATATTTTATCTCATTTAGTCATTCTTTAAAAATTCTTTAGGATAGGCATTTTAATCCTACTTTACAGATGAGGTAACTGAAGAAAAGAAACTTGCCAAACAAATTTTGAAGCAAGTACTACATTGATTAATAGCAAGAATTATTTTCAATTACGTTTTAGTCATTAATAGTTGACTTAAGATATTTTCCCCTCCTAAAATGAAGATACTTTTGTGTCTGTCTATCTCTCTTTCTTTCTCTCTCTCTCTCTGATCTATCTACCTTTCTATCTACCTATTCTTTAATACAATGATATGTATAATGAAGATAGGGTAAATGGCATAAAAAGCCAGCTAAACCACCTGGCTTACATGAGGATTAAATCCATAATTCTGACATTTTTACATCAGCAAAAATCAATGTGGCCAGACCAAAGAAATAAAACAATCTTACCTCACTATAATTTATTTTATTTTGTCTTGCTAACATGATTTCAGGTGTATCAGGCATAATATGGACTTGGGTCTTGTCTTTGTCCCAGGCTTCTGTGTATAAGCGCTGTGAAGGATAAAAAGGTTAATGAATTAGAAAAATAGTTTGTTGTAAACAAGAGTTTTCAATTAAAAAATCATGACAAAATTGAGAGGCAGCTTTATTGCTGTCTGTGCATGTGCTGTATGTTAACATTCTTTTCAACCTCTTTGATTTTACAATATACTTATTGTAACAAAATATAAATGTATACTAAGATATGAAATGGAAAATATATATGTGGCATATATATATATATATATATAAAATCAAACACACTTGTGTTTGGTAACCCCTCACCCCAATTAAATTAAAAGCAAGTATTTTCCAAGCATATATTCACATCCATATTTGTACTATGGCTATATTAACAAATCCTTCCCACAATTTTATTTCTTTGATGTGTTCTTTTGTTGGTTAATTAACTGCAAATATACCTAGATATGCTATCTCTAGATTTCTTTTTGATAAATATTATGAAGATTTGTATCTTTCTTTTTTTTTTTTTTTTTTTTTAATGAGACAAAGTTTCACTCTGTTGCCCATGCTGGAATGCAGTAGCACAACCATGGCTCACTTCAGCCTCAGCCTCTCCAGGCACAGGTGATCCTCCCACCTCAGCCTCCCAAGTAACTAGGATACAGGTGCACATCACGACACTCAGCTAATTTTTATATTTTTTGAAGAGACAGGGTTTCAACATGCTGTCCAGGCTAATCTCCAACTTCTGACCCCAAGTGATCTGCCACCTCAGCCTCCCAAAATTGTTGAGATTACAGGTGAGAGCCACCATGGCTGGCTTGCCTCTTTCTTGTTTGTTCTGTGCTTACCTAAATATGTATTCAGCAAGAAAGAAACCTTCATACCAAACCACTAACTCTTACAGACTTCAAACAATTTGAACCCAAAATAGGTGTCCTATTCTTAACTCTGACTATTTCACAAGAGATGTCAAAGCAGAAATGCTCCCATGTATTGTTATCTAACAGAATATGCAACTGAATCACTCTACATTGAATAGCAATTTAACTGGATTAAACAAAGGAGACTAACTTAATTAACAATAGGTATCTTAAATGACACACAGCCCTGACTTATTTACCCACAAATTGGGTGCTCACCTTGTTCATGTTGAGAGCATTGTTCTTGGCCAACACCTGCTCTAGAGAATCAGTGATGCTGGTAAATTTCAGCTTGTCTGGAGGCTGGCGGTAGATGTGATCACTGAGTATTTCTGCAGCTCTCTTGCACTTGACTACATCCACAGACCCAATGGGGACCCAGCCAATGCCTTTCAGCCACTGGAGATCAGATTTGTAAATGTTCTGGATAGATTAAACACAAAAGCAAGTATTACTGAAGTTGTTATAACATGATTTCAAAAATAAAAAATTAACACTAGAAAAGCTTGGGTAGTCAAATTTCATGTATATGTCCTTCAATACAAGAAGGCTGAATTGAATATAGTCTCATATTTCTTTCTCTCCAAAAAAAAAAAAAAAAGGAAGAGGTGCCTAAAAAATGAGCAGAAAGAAGACTGTCATCCCTTCTAAGAGTTCTATCTAATCCTAGACCACTGTCTTAGTATTTCTATGAATTACTATCATGAACACAGTTACCATGGATCTTAAGTACTCACATCGCTCTGGAGGTCATAGGCCTGCCGAGCGTGGATGACGTCATTCTGGTCGGGCAGGCACGTCCACTCGTGCAGGAAGTTCTTGTAGTCCACGTCGCTGACTAAGGTCTGGCACTTCTTGGCCAGCACCACCCCCAGCATGTCCACTGGGCTGCTGAACTTGGTCTTCCACTTCTCAAAGTCCTTCTTGTACTCCCTGTCACTCTGGATCTTGGCCACGTGCATGGACCACATCATCTTGGGGTCATCTTTAATGTTCCGGGCTCCAATGTGGTGGCCGAGTTGCTTGCGGTAACCATCCTTGTATTTGTACTAAAATAAAGGTGGTCATTTCAAAAATAAATATGAATAGAAAGGCTTAGAAGTCTCATTAATTTAAAACTTTATTATTTTAAAATTGCTAATTCTTGCAGAGAAATGAAAGAATCTGATGATCAGTTTATCTCCCCATCCTAAATCCCGATTAGACTTTACAGCACTAATCTAATGGGCAGTAATCTAATGGAAGTCTCATAAATAGCCTAACAGCAACAGTCTCATAGGAATAGTCCAGTGGGAAGGTAAGACAAACTACATGGTCTTTTGGCTTGTAGACGTTAAGTCTTTAAAGGAAGCTACACTTTCCAGAAGATCATTTGGTACTGTGTACTGCTGTTTCTTCATCTTGGGCCCATGAAGTCACTAACCCAAAACTCTTACATATGATTTTGAGACTGCTGTTCCTGAGTCCACAGATAGTAATTTAACCCTCCACCACCATCCAACATACCCACACTCCTTCCCAAATCTGACTTTGCTGACTTTCACTGGGGCACTGACTCTCTGAAGTGGTCTAGATTATGTTTCCATCCTACCAGCACTGCTCTGTTGGAGATCAAATTTGACTGAGGTTTGTTTGGGATTCCTCAAGTGAGAAAATGGAATGTATGTCTACAAAAAAAGCATTTTGTTGTTGGCGGTGGTAAGGGGTAACTGGATATTTTCTATTTCAGATACTGCACCACACAAATATTTACAGAAGTCTGAATTTTCAGCTGGGCACAGTGGCTCATGCCTGTAATCCCAGCACTTTGGGAGGCCAAGGCAGGCAGATCACCTGAGGTCAGGAGTTTGAGACCAGTTGGCTAACATGGTGAAACCCTGTCTCTACTAAAAATATAAAAATTAGCCAAGTATGGTAGCAGGTGCCTATAATCCCAGCTATTTAGGAAGCTGAGGCAGGAGAATCACTTGAAGCAGGGACATGGAGGTTGTAGTGACCCAAGATCATGCCATTGCACTCCAGCTTGGGCGACAAGAGTGGGACTCTGAGACTCCATCTTAAAAAAAAAAGTCTGAATTCTCCACCAAATAACCCACTTCTTTCAGAGATGGCAGGAAGAGAAATTATGTTCACCATTTTGTTGTTTTCCTCATCTTTGTCTTTCTGTTTTCATTTTAAAAGAACTCAAAACAAAGCACTTAAGATAATTTTCCAAAAAAAAAAAAAAATGAGCTGGCAAAAACACAGAGCAGATTTGGGGAAAGGTGGATTTTCCTACACTTGGTTCTATCAGCTCTTTTTCTGAGGTTGAACAAATACATGTTAAAAAAAATAAGTTATTTTTTAACACCTCTTCTGCCATTTTCGATTTTCTGTAATGCTCCATGCTCAAAATATGGAGATGAAATTTCTCATAATTATAGGTATGAAAAAATGTAGAATCACATCCAATTTTATACTGAATTGAAGTATACTGGTTTAGGTCACCCTCTTCCTCCCTAAGACTCAGATACTAAAGTCTTATGAAGCTTAAAATCTAAGTTTTTTCAGATGAAAAACATTTATTTGATTTAGAAAAATAAGTCAATAAATGTGCTTAAACTGGCCCCCAAATGTTATAATAGTAATGATCCTCCATCTTCACTTCATCCATCCAGGTAAATATCAAGGATGTTGCTACTTACGTCACTGATAATGTCCCTGGAGGCCTTGGCAGCCACGATGGGGATGGCGTCACTTCGCAAGTCGTAGCCTTTCTTTTTTGCTTCTTCATTGGCAAGTTTGTATAGACTCTAAAGAAAGAAAGTCAAAAAGTTCTAGCAAAAGGTTTGACATCAACAATTCAGAGATTATTAAGTGACTTATATAATAAAATTTAAAAAAGGATAGGAATTGGAAACAATCCAAGTTTCTGGCAATATGTAAAGGAAATAAATTATATTCTACCAAAAATACTATATAGCATTAGAAATAAATGGGACATATCAATGAACATTAATATGTATTGATACATTATTTTATATCATTATATATAAGTTATGCATAAATATTATATACATATCAGCATAGATTAATATAATCTAGTAATACAGCTTGATGAGCAAAGCAGCAATCCATATATATCACTAAGTGGAAAAAATGGCAGAACAATGTTTAATATTATCCATTTATGTGTATAAATATATTTTTATTCCTTTTCTAGACCTACGATTTGTATGACAATCATGTAATATTTTATAATGTTTAAAAGACAAGACAAATTAAAATCTAAAAAATATAGTTAGCAACTACAATCACAACTTTCTAAATTTTGGTTATATCATGTTAGTAAACCAAGTGTCTATAAAATTGCATTTTACTTTAAAAAAAGTCCGTAATCAATACTGTTGATAGAGAACAGTTCTTCCTCATGCCTAAGGTTTTCTTTCTGTAGGCAAAGCTCAATTATTTTAACTACGGCCCTTTCTGTCCCTTTACTCTCTCTGCCCTGGAGAGGCGCACTGATTTACTGATGCATCTAATTGGTAGGGATGGAATTAGTGGGCATGCTTGGCTCAGCCCTGCCCTTCTCCCTCTAGGAAGGAGCCTGGTATCCTCCTCTGCTTCTGTTTTCTAAACAGAGCCTCACTTCTGAGCGGGAAGAATCAGGGCAGATCGTCTGCTCCAGAACAGCCTGTGCCTGGTAGGTAACCCTAATTCTGATGTTCAGTTAGTATGCTTATTGGGCTCTCATACAAACGGATCCTTTAGCGTAAGTTTAGTAGTTTTTTTTTTTTTTTTTTTGAGAGGGAGTTTTACTCTTGTTGCCCAGGCTGGAGTGCAATGGTGCAATCTCACCACAACCTCTGCCTCGTGGGTTCAAGTGATTCTCCTGCCTCAGCCTCCTGAGCGGCTGGGATTACAGGCATGTACCACCAAACCCAGTTAATTTTTGTATTTTTAGTAGACAAGGGGTTTCTCCATGTTGGTCAGTCTAGTCTTGAACTCCCAACCTCAGATGATCCGCCTGCCTTGGCCTCCCAAAGTGTTGGGATTACAGGCGTGAGCCACCATGCCCAGCCACGTTGGTAGTTTTTTAAAAAGTGAGATTTTGACTTCTATTTCTACTCCTTTGTTTTATTTATTAATTTTACTCAGGGCCCAGGTAGGGAAGAGGTGTGTGTTATTAGAGGCCTACTTGGGAGGGGTGGCACATTTAGTAAATAAACATATAGCACACCCAGTAGAACTTGATTTTCAGATAAACAACAAATAATGTTTTGGTGGAAATAATGGGCCAGTATTTTAACTGACAATCCTAAGAAATGCCTAAAATACTACTTAGTCCCACTGACTCACATTGGAAATCACCATGAACAGAAAAGACAATGCGACTTCAATTTGTCAGCAGAATCTCATATAATATTCAACCCAGAGATGAAAGGTTGGATGGGTAGAGTATTAAGTGAAAGACCCACATGCACCATGATAGCTGAGGCCCAAGAATCTCCATAAAACTAATACTGTACAGACAAACAACAACAACACTATAATGTAGCACCATGGATTTTTGCCCCACCTCACTGTAGTTGATTTTGTTCTGCCTTGCCAACATAATCTCTGGTGTGTCTGGCATTATGTGAATTTGAGTCTTGTCTTTGTCCCAGGCCTCTGTATATAAACGCTATAAAAGAAGATGTTGATTAAAAATCATTTGAAATAGAAATGACAAAAAGTTCACGTAAAACTGTTATTAAGGACCTAATGGGGAAAAATAAGCCAGACTTGAACATAAAGTATTCCACTGGAAGCGTGAGTCTTATTACTAGTTATCAAGATTGAAACTGGGAATAATCGAAATTATTTAGAGGATTTCAAGCATGTAATTTAAAAAGCAAATTCGACCCCATGGCTTCATAGATAATTTCATTCCATTAGTCATTAAAGTTTAATAACATCTTCTGGCATCTTGTAGAAGCTTGAGGCAGCTGGGGCTCACCTTGTTCATGTTGAGGGCATTGTTCTTGGCCAGCACCTGCTCCAGAGAATCAGTCACGCTGGTGAATTTCAGCTTGTCCGGAGGCTGGCGGTAGAGGTTATCACTCAGTATTTCTGCAGCTCTCTTGCACTTGACCACATCCATAGACCCAATGGGGACCCAGCCAATGCCTTTCAACCACTGGAGATCTGACTTGTAAATATTCTGAGAAGAGGAAAAAAGTCAAAAACTCTTCATCAAAATCAAAGTATTTTGGGTAAATACACAAACAGAATCAGTAATAAAGTGCAATTCTGTTTCCTAGTTAGAAAACACAATTCTAGAAGAATTATGCTCATAAATGACCCAGAAATATCTTCTAGCTGTAATAAAAACTTATCAAATGTCTCAAGCTATTAGGAGAGGAGTGATCTCAAGTAATATCTTCTGTCAGTTGGTTCAGTGAACGATATCATAATTGTAATGTGTCTATGCAGAGAATACCAACCCAGAGTGACAGAAACCACACACACATCCAACAACAGGCTCTTAGTGAATCAATTTTAGGCCTAGCTAAAGGAAATGCTCCAAAGCCATTAAAAGTTCCACTGTTTAAGAATATTGATGACATGTGGAAATGTCATTAATACAATATGAAATTTTAAAGTAGCACATAAAACAGTGTGGGTAGATAAATTATACGAATAAGAGTGGGTTTTTCTAGTGGTTGGATTGTGTTGGATTATTATTCCCTTCGATGTATTCTTCCATATATTTCAAAATACCTGTAATGCCTTTAAAAGCACAGTTAAAATATAATAGTGATGTAGAACCCCTGAAACCCTGAGGCAGATCTTCAACAGCGGTAACTCTGTCCAAGATTCAGGGCAATAAATAAATATTTAATTGTTCATCTATTAAATGAACAGTTTCATTATGCAGGGTTCCCGTCTTTTCCTCACCAAGTCCTCAGGATGGAAGCACAGACATCTATATAGAATCATTTTGCCGTATTTTTAGTTCTCATTTTATTTAAAAATATTTTTTTGCTAAAGATTTTTATGTACCCATTAAGTACTCATAGCTACTTCACAGTCATAGTATTGGACCTTTGCTTGGCTCATTAGAAAGATTTCCCCTGTCACAGCAACTAAGTAGAAAATAAAAACTCATATTTTGTAGTCTAGATTAAAAAAACCTATTAGAATTGGCCTGTGCTAACTAGTTATTGCCCCATAAATAAAAATAGCAAGAGTGAAAACAAGACGGGCACGGTGGCCCATGCTGTAATTCTAGCACTCTGGGATCCTGAGGTGGGCAGATCATCTGAGGCTAGGAGTTTGAGACCAGCCTGGCCAACATGGTGAAACCCCCATCTCCACTAAAAATACAAAAAATTAGTGGGGCATGGTGGCGGCAGTCTGTAATTCCAGCTACAGAAAAGCTGAGGCATGAGAATCACTTGAACCCAGGAGGCGAAGGTTGCAGTGAGCCGAGATCACGCCACTGCACTCCAGCCTAGGCAACAGAGCGAGACTCTGTCTCAAATAAATAAATAAATAAAAATAAAAACAATAACAGTTTATACCTCTGGAATGCTTTTTAACTTCCAAATACTTCCCACAGTTTGGAGGTCATATCGAAGGGTGAGGAAGGCAATCCAGAGAAGGTACCCGGCAAATAGACAGATGGCAAGCAATCTGTCAATGTTGTCATTGCATGGGTGACATCAACCCTTTTAAACTATCTTCTACGTGCAGGCAAAGCCTTTCTTTTTGGAAATAATTGCTAAACACAGGGTTCTGTATGTCAAATGCTACAGAACAGACGTGGGAGTTTTCTCATGTAGGCTGTAAGGTTTTAGGAACAACCAATTAATATATAATTATTACTAACTAGTTTTAGTCACCAAAACTTGCTAGTGCTTTAATTCCTTCAAAGTTTATAAAATTCAGAGTGCAGGAAATGTGCCTTTCACATCCAGATTTGAGATAGTGCATCTGCTTCCAATAGGTTGTAGGTTCTGTCCTTACCATGTGGCTCCTCCACAGAGAGCCACGCTAGGAGGAAGTTTCTGTCACACAGTCCAGTAGTGTACAGACACAGAGACTTCTTTTATTTCATAAGCATAATATTTAGCTTTGCAGTAGGCAGAATTCAATAATTCATTTTGCAAAGAAGCCAAAAACAAATTCCAAAGTAATTTCTTTTTAAAATAAAAACATTTCTTCCTTCCTTAAAAGAATAAAATAAAATGTCTCCCTCTAGTGGACCCTGAATTCCAACATTACTTAATTCCAATTTTGTTTTTCCAAGACCAAGTCCACTTTGTAAATTTTACTTACTTATGAAGCCTTGTTATGTATTTGTGATAAAGCAATAAAACTGTATTCTGATTTAAAACTTATTCATAGACCAATCAACCTTAACTTGAGTAGGTCAATGGATTATATATAAAGGATAATTTTCACATAGTTTAAATTACTTCTATGAACAGCTCCATTTGTAGATGCTGTACTCACGTCACTCTGGAGGTCATAGGCCTGCCGGGCGTGAATGACATCATTCTGGTCGGGCAGGCACGTCCACTCGTGCAGGTAGTTCTTGTAGTCCACGTCGCTGACTAAGGTCTGGCACTTCTTGGCCAGCACCACCCCCAGCATGTCCACTGGGCTGCTGAACTTGGTTTTCCACTTCTCAAAGTCCTTCTTGTACTCCCTGTCACTCTGGATCTTGGCCACGTGCATGGACCACATCATCTTGGGGTCATCTTTAATGTCACGTGCTCCAATGTGGTGGCCGAGTTGCTTGCGGTAACCATCTTTATATTTGTACTAAAATGAAAGTGCACAAATCAGGTTTTTATTGTAACTCCCTTAGAGGCCACAGGTCTGTACAAAATCAACTTGCTTACATTATAGTTCTACTGACTTTTGTTAATAAGCACTAACTCAAGCCATTATCCTGCCTTCATCCTGGAAGCCTTTATAGAGGTAGAAAAATAGATGGAATTCATGTAATTGTAGTGTATACCCCACATCAGCTACAGCCTGCTACTAAGGAATATCTCTGAAAACAGGAAGTGCATATGTGGGGAAAGGTCACCTGTGGAAGTTAGGGAGAGAAAATTTGAACCAGGTAACCCAGAGAACTGGATTCTAAACACTAAAAGCATGTCAGAAAAAGGGTGCACTTGGTGGAATGGTGTCTTTAATAAACAGTAAAATGAATGACTGATTCCTACAAGGACCACCTGTAGTAACAACAGAGGAGAATTTATTATTTTTGTTATTTACTGGATTCATGCACTCAATGGCAGTGGCAAGCTCTTGGCATCATTTTGAAAACGGATTGTACTTGCAAAACTGACATAGCAACCCAACTTGTTAGATCATGCTCCTACTAAGGTCATGGGTTCTAGCCTCACATGGGCCAACAATGTTTTTATTATTTATGACCAATGACATCATTCTGAAATCTAAGCCAATTATCCAAAATACACGCTTTTAGTCTCAAAGACAGCTGACTAAGTGTAGGTGAGTCAGCAAGAGGCAATATGGTACAATGGAAAGGAATGAGATTGTCTGGAGTCTCAACTCCATCACCCACTAGGAGTTTGATTTTAGGCAAGTTGCTTAAACAATCCACAAAATGGGGATAATGAGGATATCTACATTCTAGGGCAATTATGAATAAGAAGTAAGACAATGCATGTAAAACACTTAGCAAAGAGTTCTCAACGGGTTATGGTTATTTCATTATTTATTATTATTGTATGAGTCCATTTGCTGAGACAGTCCCACATACATATAGCTGAATCACTAACATAAGATTCCAATATAAAGGACAGCAGTGGGCCTTGATTTTTAGAACAGTCGTTTGTTCCTCAAGAATCCCTGAAACACCAGGAAAGAATGTCAGTTTTACTCTGGGAGACATACTACAAGACTAGGAGATATTGTGAAGAGTGTGATCTTGGCTGGGCATGGTGGCTTATGCTTGTCACCCCAGCACTGGGGGAGGCTGAGGCGGGTGGATCACCTGAGGTCAGGAATTCGAGACCAGGCTGGCCAACATGGTGAAACCCTGATGCCACTAAAAATACAAAAATTAGCCAGGCGTGGAGGCGGGCACCTGTAATCCCAGCTACTCGGGAGGCTGAGGCAGGAGAATTGCATGAACCTGCGAGGTGGAGGTTACAGTGAGCCAAGATCGTGCCATTGCACTCCAGCCTGGGCAACAAGAGCAAAACTCCATCTCAAAAAAGAGGGTTGACCTTAGGTCAGTAGCCACCTCTGGTACTGATCAACCACCTTCTTTTCATAAGGGTGAATTGCAATAGCAAGTGGCATAAGTGTTTTAAAATACTATATATTAAAATGTTACAGAAAGCCAGGCCCTGAATTGTACTAGCAGAACTTATAAGCTTTTTATAAGCCTGGTGATAATTCTTACATAAGCATCTCCAAGCCTGCAGCTTCACTCTAACAGTGTACACATGAATGAATCTTTCTCTGTTCTTGGTTGACCAGTTTTCATGGAAGATGCTGTGTCCTACAGGTTACAAACCCCTTTTGTAAACATCAACATTTTCATTTCCCTTAAAACTGAGGTTTTGAAAAATTCTACACAAATACATCAGGATATATTTTTAATGGTCCAGGAAAGGTTCTTTTTCAAGATTAGTTCAGTGAAAATGCCACATTAGCTTGACTACATACTCAGAATGGAAATGACAACTCACGTCACTGATGATGTCCCTGGAGGCCTTGGCCGCAACGATGGGGATGGCGTCGCTCCGCAAGTCATAGCCTTTCTTCTTTGCTTCTTCATTAGCAAGTTTGTACAGACTCTAAATTTGGGCAAATAATAATAATAATCAGCTAGATGCTGACATTTATATCTAAAAACTGACAGAGGACTGTGATAATTCACTAAGTTCTCCACAGACAGTGCCTATAATTATCTTACTTCTGAGAGTTCTAAGCCTTCTGCATGTTTGCTGAAGTGAAGACTCAAAAATAAAGGTGGGCACAGTGGCTCACGCCTGTAATCCCAGCACTTTGGGAGGCTGAGGTAGGTGGATCATCTGAGATCAGGAGTTTGAGACCAGCCTGACCAACATGGTGAAACCCCGTCTCTGCTAAATACAAAAAAAATTAGTCGAGTATGGTGGTACATGTCTGTAATCCCAGTTACCAGGGAGGCTGAGGGAGGAGAATTGTTTGAACCCAGGAGGCGGAGGTGGCAGTTAGTTGAGATTGTGCCATTGCACTCCAGCATGGGCAACAAGAGCGAAACTCCAACTCAAAAAAAAAAAAAAAGATACCCATAAAGACCAATGCACCTTTATTTTTTACTTTAAAAACTATGTTGAATTAAGTATATATACATATTATAGGGTTGTTTTAAAATTTTTTAATTAAAACAATAAATCCAGTTTAAAAAATATGGGAAAAATTAAGCTGAAACTCATCGGTTTATCGTGGTAAAATGTGGCTGGGAGGGAAAGACTTAACTGTTGATCATGGCAATCAATTCAACTCACATTTATTCTGCCCTGACCCTGTGTCTCTGACTGTGGTGGGTACTTGGGAATCAAAGATGAGGTTGAGGCCCCTCTCAACCCAAAGTTCCCTGACAGAACTGAGGGAGAGACTGATAACCTGCGAGACCAACTGCTGAAAAGTCCAACCACATTAATAACGAAGAGCTCCAGAAAGGAGTCATTTATTCTGAATTCAGAGTCAGGGAAGTTCCTGCAGATGGGGTGACTTTTGAGTTGGACTTTGAGCAGAGTTTCAATAGGCTCGGGTAGCATGAAGAGCAGAGGAAATCATGTGAATCAAGTCACCACTGCGGTGGGGAAGCAGAGGGGTGTTAAAGAAGGTGGGTGAGGCCCCAGGGAGAAGTGGCAGGAGAGGGCAGAGAAGAGCCTGGAGTCAGACTGTGAACGCCTGGTTCTAAGTTGGTGTTTAATTCTACAGAAAATAGGAAAGCAGCCAAAAAGTTCTCTTCTTTTTAACACCAGAGGGGAGTGCCCATGACAGCGTCCCAGGCTGGGTGGGTGGAATAGGGGATCACAGGTGAAAGGAGGAAGGGCACCTGGGCCTCCTCAAACCGGCAGCCGAGCAGCCGCACTAACACATCCCTGAGCTTTGTCAGCAAAGACAGAGTTAAGAATTCCAGAAATGCTGAGTGGTTAGATATAGGGGGCGCCCTTTGCTTCCTGAAATTCCTGCACATATAAGGCATGCTTTCCTGTAACAAGACCTATCGTATAGGTTTAGCTAAAAATTCAATGCTTTCTGACTGGGGAGTAAGACTTGATGTTTTTAGTTTTTGGTGACAAGAGCTAGCTACACAAGCACTAAAATTACAGTTTCATTTCCAAAAAAACATTACTTAAGATGGTGGCAATTCCACCTAAATTCTCTAAATTGTGCTCTTCAGAAGAGTAATATATTGTTGATTTATGCTGCCAAAGAAACAATATTTTTCTTGCTAGTGGCACAATGCTAGGTGAAATAACTAACACATCAGCTGCCAGAATCCAAGATTCACAAAAATCTCCACAGGCTTATACCCACAAACTCAGAATACGAAGAAATTGCAGAGATAAATGCCAATCTTTGAACAGAGATAAATTACCAATGCATAAATGCAGGATGGAAGAAACCTAGGTTTGGCCCACATAAGATGTCTTAGAGTTTAAGTTGATCTCAAGTTCTGTGTGCACCAGTGGTGATGGCTGCCAATGTGCCCTGGGAGCACAGGATGGAGAACAGAGGTCAAATGTCCAGAAGAGGAAACACAATAGTTAAGCATATTCAACGCCAGTCATTCCTCATTCATAATATTTTGCTCAGTTCTGAGAGTCCCACTTTATGATATCATGTAAGGAATGCTCAGGAACTTGGGATATTTGGATTTGAAAGTGAACCCAGGTGAAGGTGGCAGGGGAGGCACCCTGGCACTGTTCTCCATCTCTGAGGGTTGGCACAGATTTGCTCTGTGCAGCTTCGGAGGACTATGGGAGTTTTCAGTGAGAAATGCTGTGACTCAACACATCAGAAGCACCTTCTCATAAATTTTCTATAACAAATGGACTGATTTATGAGATTACTTCCTTGCCATTGGGAACCCTTAACCAAATGCAGGTCAACAACTTATTTGGAGTGGGGGGGGGCACCTTTGCACTGGTGTGGACACTTGGCTCTCTGCCTAAGTATCTGTGATTCTGCAATGGTGGCATGTGGCCCTGTGCTCACTGAAAGTGAAAAGGAAATGGGCTTACTAATATATACATTGACAGATATTTCTCTTTCTCTCTCTCTGTGCATATATGTGGGTTTTTGTGTGTGTGAATGTGTGTTACCTGGTGGTACTGTGGATTTTAGTTCCTGCCTTTAATCTTATACACTAAAAATCTTAAATTTGGATCCTAAACCACATTTTAGGAACAACATATGGAAAATATGTTTACTCCAGTTATGCTTTAGCATAAAGCAGAGATACATGTATAGGTTAATTGCTAATTTCCTAACTTCAAAAATTAATAAGAGAAAATGGTCTACATAATCTCATGGTTACAGCTTAATTAGTTCTTGTCATTTGTATTTCCTAAATGACAATTCATTTGCATAAAGTTTGACATTTATGCTGGTGATTGAGAAATGCAAGAGTTGTTACTCACACGAAGCACAAAAAAGATTCTTTATAAAGCTGTCATGTGGCATTACATCACCATAGAGTAGATCAATTGAAATAAGCAGCAATGTGCAAATGTCGAAGAATCTGCTCTCACCTCACTGTAGTTGATTTTGTTCATTCTCGCCAACATAATTTCTGGTGTGTCTGGCATTATGTGGATCTGAGTCTTGTCTTTGTCCCAGGCTTCTGTGTACAAACGCTATAAAAAAAAAATAGACAAATTCATCAGGAAAAAAGTTCTGTGTATAGTTAATATAAATTTTAGGACCACAAAAACTCTATAAACAAAAGCAATAAAAGGTTATGAGTCTTATACAGAACTTACTACTTGGAGGTGTTTTATGCACACCTCCAAGTAATAAGTTCATAGTGGAATATATATTTATAAATGCATTCTAATAATCTGAAATGTATGTTAACAATTAAAAGAAAAATGAGAATAAGCATATTTTATTCAGACTATTTTTTTCATAAAATATGCCACTTTATCAAAACCATTAAATAACTAAATATAAGAATATACATGATATATATCACTTATTAATAGATAGATGACAGCCCGATAGACAGACATATATATAGATAGATGCCTTTTGTTGCTCGATACTCTCTTTCTTCATTAATGCTTCATTTTTGTAGATTCAGCTTTATGAACCCCACTTTGGTTCTTAATTTTGAAGTCTCACCTTGTTCATAGTGATGGCATTATTTTTGGCCAACACTTGTTCCAGAGAATCAGTCACACTGGTAAATTTGAATCTGTCTGGGGGCTGGCGATAGATTTTATCACTCAAAATTTCTGTTGCCCTTTTGCATTTTTCCACATCCAAAGAGCCAATGGGCACCCAGCCGATGCCACGCAACCACTGAAGATCAGACTTGTACATATTCTGTTGACACAAATAGTCAATAAATATTTATCTCTGTATCAGCAATGCATTTTCATCTAAAGGATAAGAGATCAAGTAAAATCACTCTCAAAATATAGTTTGGTGGACAAGCCAGGTATCACACAATATTCCATTTTGGTCTGAAGGGTTAAAGGATTAAAATTCCTAAGAATAAAGGCATTCTATTTGCCTCCTGTAGGGGGAACTGGCAAGCTTGTGCCACATATTGCCATTTTCTTCAAGGGGTGTTAACTAATTTCCCACCTCTGCCCGTTATTATGACTGTCAGTGCTCACATCACTCTGGAGGTCATAGGCCTGCCGGGCGTGGATGACATCGCTCTGATCGGGCAGGCACGTCCACTGGTGCAGGTAGTTCTTATAGTCCACATCACTGACTAAGGTCTGGCACTTCTTGGCCAGCACCACCCCCAGCATGTCCACTGGGCTGCTGAACTTGGTTTTCCACTTCTCAAAGTCCTTCTTGTACTCCCTGTCACTCTGGATCTTGGCCACGTGCATGGACCACATCATCTTGGGGTCATCATGTATAGCTCGGGCACCAATGTGGTGGCCGAGCTGCTTACGATAGCCCTCTTTGTACTTGAACTAGAAGAAGAAAAAGACAGAGAGTCATCTGTTTTAACTTTTACTAAAACACAATTACTAAGCCTAAACTTTTCTATTTATTTATAGAAAATTTTCCCTGAATATATAAATTATATATGATACATGTATCTTGTAAACCATTTAGAAAATGAAATATATGTCATATATCATCAATATGAAATACATATATAAAACATATCTCATATAAAATATATATCATATATATATTCACACATACAGGAAAAAAAGAAAAATTAAGATATAATGCTGCAATTAAGAAATAATTTTTTATGATTCATGTGTGAGAATATAATTAAGTCATACTGTATATGGGTTTGTGCCTGCTTTTTTCAGTTATTATATAAGCATTTCTATGGTCATTAAATAGTCTTTCCATATTTAATTTTTTTTTTTTTTTTTTTTTTTTAGAAAGCATCTCTATTGCCCAGGTTGAAATGCAGTGGTACAATCTTGTCTTACTGCAACCTTCAACTCTTGGGCGGAAGTGATCCCCCTGCCTCAGCCTCTCAGTAGCTAGGACTACAGGCATGTGCCACCACACCTGGCTAACTTTTAAGTTTTTTTGTAGAGATAGTGTCTTGCTAAGTTGACCAGGCTGGTCTCGAACTCCTGGCCTCAAGTGATCCTCTCACCTTGGCTTCCCAAAGCACTGGGATTACAGGTGTGAGCCACAGAGCCTGACTTATACACATGATTTTTAATGATATTTCAGGTATTTCATTATACGGTATTTAACTCTTCTGTGATTGTTGAACATTTATTCTTAAATTACTATTACTTCCCATATTTTGGAAATAAAGAAAAAAATCTAGTTTTTTTTTTTTTTTTTTTTTTTTTTTTTTTTTTTTTTTTTTTTTTTTACTTCATAGACAAAAGAAATGGAAAGAAAAATTTTTAGAAATGTGAGCAAATCCATCTTTTAAAGAAAGCAAATATTTGTAGCCCATCACTGGATGTAGAAACAAATACATGTTCCACATGAATTATTGAACTTTGAATAATATGTCCTATAATTCAGCCCTTGTAGGTTCATTGGTTCATACAGCAAAGGCTGGTTTCTGAAGGAACCCTACAGTAAGTTCAACTGTATATGAGAAATACATCACTGGAAAAGCCCAGAAAATTATCTGAACTATAGTCAAGTATCCAATACTTTTGGTCAGCAGGAAAGGGACATGTTTTGAAATGCATGTTGCTATGGACTCAACCATAACTGGAATTTAGCCTTTGTGTTCATAACTCTATTACCATTATTTTAAACCACTCATTGAAACAACAAACTTAGCAACAGCTTTAACCTCACGGCTTATTTGTGCCACTTTACATCCAGGAGAGAGAAATAAATCTTTGACCCAAAGCTAAGGCAAAGAACTTTCCAAGTATACTTACTTCGCTTGCAATATCTCTGGAGGCCTTGGCTGCCTTGATAGGAATGGCATCTACTCGCATATCATAACCTTTCCTCTTGGCTTCTTCTAGGCCAAGCTTATATAATTTCTAAAATAGACATAAATAATAAGTTGGATTTATAAAGTGCATTGTAAGGAAAATGTATCATGCACTATGAATATATTGCTTACCTCACTGTAATTTACTTTGTTTTGTTTAGCTAATAAAACTTCAGGGGTATCTGGCATAATGTGGACGGTGGTTTTATCTTTATCCCAAGCTTCTGTATAGAGGCGCTAAGAGAAACAGAAAGACATGACTGGTACAGGCCAGTAATGAATACACACATGCAAACAGTCTGATTTTTAATGAGAATAAAGAAATTCAGCTCAGTGAATTGGCATTTTGTGACATTTTCAGGTCTAGATGTCTTGTGTGAATAAAAAGCACAATACTTTAAAACCATATTAGCATCAAGCAAAGGAATCAAAAATAAGTTTTCTTTTATAGAAACAGATTTCAGTGTTTCCATAAACAAAAAATTAATAACCTCCTCAAAGAAAGATAAGGCTTACATGATTCATGGTAATAGCATTGTTTTTTGCCAAAACCATCGGTATGGAATCCATAAGGCTGGAAAACTTGAATTTATCTGGGTGCTGACGGTAAACATGGTCACTCAAAATCTGGGTGGCTCGTTTGTTTTTCTCATCCTCAAGAGAACCAGCAGGCATCCAGCCGATGCCCTTTAGCCACTGAAGGTCTGACTTGTACAAATTCTGAAAGTGTAAGTGACAAAGCATTAAATGATTTGTCATAATTAAATCATTTATCATGATTTGTCATAAGTTGTCATAGTTAAATCATTTGCCCCTAAAGAAATAAAAGTTCATATTATATTTCTAATGCTTGAATTCTTAGGAAATTCTAAATTTTTGTCATGAATTATAAATCAAAATATTCAAGCATATTTTGAAAAATATTTTAAACAGAAGCACATAGACAATGACTCAATTCTTTGATTGTCTAGCTCGACATCTAGAGGCTTCCTCCAAAGCAGTAGAGCTTTGCTCTTTCTCTGTGGAATAATGGTGTCTTCAGATGTTTGGGTGACTAGATGGGGTTGGGCATTAGTCCAGGGAAGTGGAACTCAATTGTGTAAACTCAATTCCCCTTACTATGGGACTCTGATTCTTTAAAAAGCAGACATAGTGTTTTGTTGGCCAAAGGAAATCCTTAGACTCACATCGCTCTGGAGGTCATAAGCCTGCCGAGCGTGGATGACATCACTCTGGTCGGGCAGGCACGTCCACTGGTGCAGGTAGTTCTTGTAGTCCACGTCGCTGACTAAGGTCTGGCACTTCTTGGCCAGCACCACCCCCAGCATGTCCACTGGGCTGCTGAACTTGGTTTTCCACTTCTCAAAGTCCTTCTTGTACTCCCTGTCACTCTGGATCTTGGCCACGTGCATGGACCACATCATCTTGGGATCATCCTTAATGTTCCGGGCTCCAATGTGGTGGCCGAGCTGCTTGCGAAAGCCTTCTTTGTACTTGTACTAAAGAAAAAAAAAATGGTGTCTCATTCTTTTCAAAATTAACTTCTGTTGCCATCTTTGTGGCAAATTACAAAGCACACTAACTCTAAATATTTTACTAAGCCTAGAGAGCCAAAGACTTCAGTCTTTTGATAAGAAAGATTAAAGGCTAAATTCAGCTATGAAATTCCATACATAATAAATGCATCCTTGATCTTATCCTCATCCCACACTGTATGAGATCATTTTATTCCATTGTAATTTGTTACCCCTTAGATTGTGTTCAATTTAAAATTAAATTGAGACTGCTTTGAAGTGATAAATTGCAATCAAATCAATATCAACAGAGGATAAATTCTTACTTCACTGGCAATTTCCCGGGAGGCTTTTGCTGCTTTGATTGGTATGGCATCAACAGGAAGATCGTAACCTTTTCTCTTCAGCTCCTCATAACCCATTCGGTAGAGTTTCTGTTAAGAAATGATCACTTTGGGAAATACTGTTCCCCATAGACAAATACAGCATAATGATCAAATGTGCTAAATATTTTGAGTCTATGAGAATAGCATCTGTGCCCTAGAATACTCAAACGTAATCAGAAATTATGCCCATTGATTGCTAACGATCCTGTTTTAAACTTTAAAGCTCTTCGATATTGCCTAGATCAGCAAAATTGTCAGCTCTTCCCAAATACAGTCATGCATTGGTTAATGACAAAGATACATCCTGAGAAATGTATTATTAGTTGATTTTGTTCTTGTGGGAACATCACAGAGTGTACTTATGCAAACCTAGGTGGTACAGCCTACTACACACCTAGGCTATATGGTATAGCCTATTCTTCCTAGGCTACAAACCTATGGAGCATGCTAGTGTAGGCAACTGTAACACAATGGGAAGTATTAATATTTGCATATTTAAACATAGCTAAACATGGAAAAGATACAGCAAAAATACAGTATGATTATGTTTTGGGACCACTGTCCTGTATGTGTGCCATTGTTAGCCAAACTGTTGTTACGCAGTGCATGTCTATACTTGCAAGAATTTGGCAGAAGTAAACAGCAGAGAAATGAAATGGATTATTATTTAGGTGCTGTTTTTCAATTAACATTGACTTTCATTAGAAGTTTTTGTTAGAAAAGAGCTTATGGCTTTTCATCTAATTCTTCTAATGGGGAAAAATCATGCCTAAGGGACTGTCTCTTCCATGTAGCCGATGCATTGTGAAATAGTCTGTCTTCCAATATGGGACCATCCCAAATAGGATCCACATCTATAGGTAAGCTATGAGTCCACCATAATTTCTAAAACTTAAGATGTTTTGAAGAAAGTTTAACGAATTTTAAAAGCTTAAGTGAAAGAATGTGTTCTTTCATATCTGTGACATAATTTAAAAATTTAGAATTTAAATGGACTTTTATCCGGAAACCAGGTTATTGAAAGTGCCTATTGATCTTGGACTTGTGTTTATCTGTTAGTCCTTCGTGGCAGTACTTTAATACATTCTTTAATGTTCAAGACATTCTATTAGAATTTAGAGTTTATTTTTAAAATATTTAATTTTTACATGTATAAATTTCAGGAGATTATGCTGCAATGACAATGACAATAAAAATAAAATTCTCCTGCATGGGTTTTGGATGCTCACTGATCCAAAATTTTACTGAGTATCTACTATGTGTCAGGCATGGTTCTAGATAAGCAGTGCAGATTCAATAAGAATTGACTTTGCCTGCAAAGTGTGCCTGTCCACACTGGGGAGAGCAATATAAGCCATCACATTATGAGGATATGTGTAACAATGGACTGCAAAGAACAGAGAATACAACTCCTCATTCTGCCTGACACAGCACGTACTGACATTTTAATGTTCAATCTAAAAGCCACTAAATAAGAAATCTAAATCATATGTAGTTTATTAATTAAAGTAATTCAGGGATTCAAAGATCTTCCAGACAACCTCACTGATTTAGAAACAAAATGAGCTTTCTGAAAACACATGCTGAATTTGAAAACTTACATCACTTGTGTTGATTAAGTTTGCTTTAGCCAGAACAATGTCAGGTGTATCAGGCATGATGTGGATCTGAGTCTTGTCCTTGTCCCAAGCTTCTCTGTAAAGTCTCTAAAATAAAAAATAAGAATTTTTCAGTGGTGGTGTTAGATAAGTGAATGACATAGTTGCCTTCAAACAGAATTGCTGAATTTATCTGAATTAAACATTATACAGAATTGACATCATAAGCAGACAACATAAGCAGAAAATAGATGCATTATTTCTTGACTTATCCGGGACATAACTGCCTCTCAAAACAGAGATTATAGGTCACATTTTCAAAGTTACAGATAATCCCGCCTACAAGAAATCAATCTAGGTAATTACAGGCTTTGTCAATATTATAAAATAAAACCAGGTTCTTCATCTTTTGGGTTGTATCTCAGTGTTTGAGAGGCAGCCTTCGCCTTTTCAAAGATGACTTATTCAAAGTGTGCATAGAAATCAGGGAGTTTTATTTCCTATGTGGTTTATTATTATTATTATCATTATTATTTTGAGACTGAGCCTTACTCTGTTGCTCAGGCTGGAGTGCAATGGCACAATCATGGCTTACTGCAACCTCCATCTCCTGAGTTCAAGTGGCTGGTTCACCATAGCCACCTAATTTTTGTATTTTTAGTAGAGACGGGGTTTTGCCATGTTGGCCAGGCTAGTCTTGAACTCCTTACCTCAGGTAATCTGCCTGCCTCAGCCTCCCAAAGTGTTGGGATTAGAGGTGTGAGCCACCATGTCCAGGCCCTATGTGGCTTATTATTTACAGTTATACCTCATAATCATTGTGAAGGATTAGGATTCCCAAAAGGATTTTGTTTGGGAATTTATCAAAATCACTTGGATGTCCCAGAGCCATCCATATGTTTAACAGAAGACAAAGGGATCCAAACAAAAGTTTCACTGATTTACTAAAATGAAGAATTTTTTTTTTGAGACAGAGTTTCACTCTTGTCACCCATGCTGGTGTGAAATGGCACCATCTCTGCTCACTGCAATCTCTGCCTCCCAGGTCCAAGCAATTCTCCTGCCTCAGCTTCCCAAGTAGCTGGGATTACCAGCACCCACCACCATGCCTGGCTAATGTTTTATTTTTAGTAGGGATGTGGTTTCACCATGTTTGCCAGGCTGGTCTCAAACTCCTGACCTCAGGTGATCCACCTGCCTCAGCCTCCCAAAGTGCTGGCATTACAGGCATGAGCCACTGTACCTGGCTAAAACTAGGAAAATTTGATGAAAAACAGAATATTTACACAGAATCAGAAAATATCCCTGCCAGATAACTTATCCATTACAAAGGATAAAATGGTTACTTGACAGTATAGCAACCTGTCAATATCACTTTAACCAAGTGACCAAAGTTTAAGTTATTAGTAATAGAACAAATTAACATCCTGTGCCTCCTGATATGAGGTACTGAGGAGGATACAATGTGTGATCTTCTGTTGAAAAGACAATCTGAGCCTAATCACAAGGACCCACCAGAAAGCTCAAATGGAGGGAGATTCTACAAAGTAACTGGCCTATGTTCTTCACAAATGTCAAAATCTTGGAAGGCAAAGAACCAGCCCAGAGTAAATAAGACTAAAGACATGACAAATAATGCAACCTGTGGTCTTGGATTAAATCCTGGGCCAGAGAAAATTTTTTCTTTTTCTATACAGGACGTTAGTGATAAAACTGAATAAATTCTGTAGACTAGCAGACTAGTGGAAATTAATTTTGTGATTTTAATCACCACAATGTGATTATGTAACAATGATATTTTTGGAAAGTACACACAGAATATTTAGGCATCATAAAGCAATTTACTTTCTCATATAAATACATAGATAAAGATATAGGTCCTAGAGCAAGAAAGGGAGAAAAAGAGACAAAAAGAGAAAGCAAATATAGTAAAATGTTAACATTTGGGGAATATGTGTGAACATATACATGCACACACACATACACACACATGTGAATTACATGTACTAATTTTTCAACTTTTCTGAATGCCTCAAATTACTTCAATATAAAATTTTTTAGTCTCATTGATTCCTTAAACTGTCCATTTCCCTTTGAGGTACACAGTATGAGATGTGTGTGTGATACTTTTCTTTTTCCTGCACATGTTTAGTATGGTACACATAACCCAGAGAAGCCAATTAAGACCCTTAGCACCAAAACTAAGCAAGGCTTGTTAATTTCCATATACGTGTATCCCAGTTTTGCACTACCCTTTCGGGTTTCGTAACACCAGAGTTTCTCTTTGAAAGTTTTTTTATTTGCATATATTCACGGGGCACAAGTGCAATTGCGTTGTGGTGAAGTCAGGGCCTTCAGTGCATCCATCATTGGAGAAACACATGTTGTACCCACCAAGCAAACAGCAGAGCTTCTCTACCTCATAACACTGATATTGTGTACTGGATGATTCTTTGTAGTGGGGGCTGCCTTGTGTATTGTGGGGTGCTTAGCAGCATCCCTGGCTTCTACCTGCTAGATGCCAGCCAGTAACATGTCACTCCCCAGTTGTGAAAACCAAAAATATTTCTAGATGTTGCTAAATGTCCCTGTGGGACAAAATTGCCTCTGGTTGAGAGTCACTAAGTTAGATTATTTCTTCAATGGCAGGTGCCACTTTCACCTCATGGAATGCAGAGAAAATCCTAAAATTATTTACACTGGGATGGACGTATTGATCTATTCAGAAGGAGAGAGAGCAGGCTCAAGGACCCCAGCTGGCCCAGGTTTTGTGTGGCTGTCCTGAGGCCTGAGAGCTCCATATTTCAGAAAGTAGAGCACACTGCTGGGGAGTCCTGTCCTGGGACATGTATATTGATAAACTTCGTGATCTTGGGTTTCTCTCTTGGTTATCTCATTAGTTCAGAGCTTTTTCTCTTATGTTTCACGAAGAAAAAAGAAACTTGCATTCCAAGAAGGGTGACATATTTTGTACAAATTTGTTATTTCTCAGTCAGTTTGTTGGATTCTGATTGTCATCATAAAAATGGTAAAAGAATAAGTAAATGCTTAAACATTCATAATGCAGCTGACAGGTCAGCATTTACTACACGTCCTAGAAATCAACATTATAAAAAGCTTGTGAGGGGTTAGTTGGGAAAAGAGGAACTCCAATTTATCAATGCTCACTCTAAGCTGATTATGGGTTTATATATTATATAAAACTTCTGATGTATATGATATACATAAAGTACATAGTCTATTACATATAGTATAAATATTTAGATCCTCCTAAGACCTATAGTATATGTATTTAGATCCTTCTAATAATGGATCTAAATATATATACTATATATTTACTATAGTAATGGACCTAAATATAATACTATATAACAGATGGTTATTATATGTCTATTTAAATGTTCTTACCAATTACAGAATCTCAGTGTACATAGTTCAATATTTATAATGTTTAAGGTTAGGATGTAGCCGAGCAGTGTTGAGTAATCTTTTCCTTCTTTGCATGTAATTACTCCACGCTGCTATCTTTTATTTATTTTTTTCAATGAATATTAATTACATGCTAGACAATGAATATTAATTACATGCTACCTATTACATGCTAGACACTGGTGTCAAAGCTGGCAAAGAAAGTAAGTTGAAGATGGGATATATACTTACTTACAGTGACAGAATTATCTATTTATCTTTATTCAGCTAAACTAAAAGCATTATACTCATTTGGCAGGAAATATACTCTTTGTAATATCCATTGTGCCTGCGTAAGGTACTCAGACTCTTTCCCCCTCATACACTCTACCCCAGTAAAAAAACATCTGGGTGTTTCATGCACTCAAGTTTCAAAGAAAAAAGTTTGTCCAATCATGTACCCATTACATTTTGGTTAAATAATAAATAAATAAGCTTTGGGTGACAAAAACTGACACTGATCCATTTTTACATGATTCAGTGTAGGACAGCTGCTAATTCAAATAAAGTGACCCAATATAAAATATTATATGGTGATGTAGGAGGCAATGTTTTGCTGTTCTCGTTTATTAAGCAAGTGCTATTGAGCAAATACTAGGTAGCAGGTACTATAATCTATTTTATTTATTTCCAGAGTACTACTCACATCACTCCTATTTTTGGCATTTGTCTTTGCCAGAACTATGTCCATGGCATCAGGAATGCTGGTGAACTTATTTTTGTCTGGAGGCTGACGATATTTCTTCTCACTGATGATTTCTGAAGCCCGCTTGTTCTTTTCTGCCTCTAAAGAACCCAAGGGACTCCATCCTATGCCTCTCAGCCACTCAAGGTCAGACTTATACAGATTCTGTGAAAAGACAGAGCAAGCCATCAAAATCTTATTTTCACCTGGACTCTTGATTCAAGCGATTCTATGCATTACAAACAGATTCATTTTAGATTTTCATAATAATTCCTCTTTCTAGTTTCTGCTTTTCTTTGACTAAATAGCTACTCATATAAAATATGAATTAATATATAAACTATTGGATTTAATAGAAACTGACCTCACTTTGAAGTTCATAAACTTTCTTAGCTTGAGTAACATCATTCTGATCGGGCAGGCACGTCCACTGATGTAAGTAGTTCCTGTAGTCCACGTCACTAACCAAGGCCTGACACTTCTTGGCCAGTACCAGTCCCAACATGTCCACTGGGCTGGAGAACTTAGTTTTCCACTTCTCAAAGTCCTTCTTGTATTCTCTTTCACTCTGCATTTTGGCTACATTCATGGACAACACAAGTTTTGGATCATCTTGCAGATTCCGGAATCCAATATGGTGGCCAAGTTGCTTTCGGTAGCCTTGTTTGTATTTAAACTGAAATCAGAGAAAACACAGTTCTTTCAGTAACACAAAGGCCAAGGTAAGCTCAACTCGCTTTTCTTTCTTTTCTTTCCTTCTTTCATTATTTCGAGACAGGGATCTCACTATGTTTCCCAGGCTGGTCTTGAACTCCCAGGCCCAATCTTCTAGCTTCAGCCTCCCTAGTAGCTAAGATTAAGGGCACATGCTACCCCACCCAGCTTCAATTTGTTTTCTTTTAATGTTTGTTTTCCAAAACTGAAATGAGAGAAGGGCTGTCTATGCTAACAGTATGGAATGTTTACTTACTTAAATTAAGCCTTGTTTACATGGAAGCTTCTGAAGAAATCTAATGTAGTTGAGTATCAAGAGGTTATGAGAAGAAAGTAATTCTAACTAGATGCAGAAATATATGCTTGGTTGTGCTAGATATTGTGTATGCTGACTTTGGGGTTGTGTTTAATAAAGCTCTTGTGATATTCTTATAGAAATGATATCCTCATGGGTTAAATGGCAGAAAAATTAGGAAGATGCATGACTTGGTAAATATGCCTAATAGTGCAGATTAATTTCTTAAATAGCAGGATTTTTTTGTGGCTTGCCACGTGGTTATGTCATATAACCTTGTCCTGTTTGGGATCTATATCTTGCATGTACAGATGGCTAAAAATAACTAAATATGTTAGATTAGAAAGAAAATTCCACGGGAGCTCAGCATACTGGATGGGTCAAAATGATTACATAAATGTAAGACAGTAAAAGTAAAATTTGGTATTTAGATTCAATTGAGAAAAATCATATTAGTACTAGATGGCAATAACAACAGTGATAATAATGAGTATTATAACAGCATTTACTTGACGTTAGTGCTGAACACATGTCATGCCTCATATGATACCCAATTTCATTACTACACATATAAAATATTCAGGGGTTTAAGTGGACTATAAACTTCAACATGAGCAATCTGACAAAATTGCTTTTGAAAAAGTAGTGCCATAGATTCTGTATGGGGCACAGATAAGCTCTCTGACCTGATCTCCTGTATCAAGAAAACAACACTGAATTTTGGGGGATTCTATTTCAACAGGAGTTTTGAAAAAATAGCATAAGTTACAAATAGAATAATCAGAAGATTGAAGAATTCATAAAACTGAAACCAATGGAGGGCAAATATGAAATGTTTGAAGTGATATCAACTGGAGGAGGAAACAGGCTACTTTTTGGTGTTATAGCACAGAGAGCTAGAGCTTATTGGTAAAATCCTTAGATAAAAATAAGAAAGTATGTAATGGCAATTAGAAATGATCTAACAAAGAAATGACCTGCCCTGATGGATTCCCAAATTTCTGTAAAGAATTTTTTTATTTTTGAGACACCGTCTTGCTGTGTTGCCCAGGCTGGAGTGCAGTGGTACAATCACAGCTCACTAAAGCCTCAACCTTCTCAGCTCAAGTGATTCTCCCACCTCAGCCTTCCCAGTAGCTGGGACTCCAGGCGCACACCACCATGCCTGGCTAACTTTTTATTTTTTGTAAAGAAAGAATCTCACTATGTTGGCTTCAAGTGATCTTCCTGCCTTGGCCTCCCAAAGTGCTGAGATTATGGGAAGGGGCCACTGCACCCAGTCTCCAAAATTCTTATATTTTGAGGTATCTACAGACTGTTGGAGATGGAGACAAGGTAGGATGCTAAGTTTGAGATTAGATTAAATGTCCTTTATGCTATTTTCCAACTCTAAATTCTATGATTCTGATTCATTAAAAACTTACATAGTTCTGATTTTCTGAAATTTTATGAATACGAGGACATTTGAAATTGAGAGGAAACACATCTCTATAATAGTGGGAAAGTTTGCTTATAGTTCATTTGACAGTAAAATTTCAAAAGGTTCTAACTAACGGGCTCACACAAAAAGAAAGGTACTATCAAACGTTGAGTTGTTAGGAAATTATTCATGTTATTTCTTCAATTCCTAGACTATCTTTCACTACAGCATTAAATGAAAATGAGTTTACACATCATTATTGCTTTAGGTTTATCACCTCGTTGATTTATTTCAACAAGGGATTGACTTGCAAGCTGGAGAGTGGGTAATAACATATCATTGAATTAATTTTCCAGCATTTCTGGAGTGCCAGAAATTAATTGAATTAAACAAACTCTTCCCTTATATTCTTAAAATTTATTCTCAGATTCCATCTTTAGGCACTTTCCTTCTCCACTCTGTACTTCAATCTGCATATTAACTAAATCACTGTTTTCTTTTAAAGATTTTGATTAAGAGGTCCTGCTTCCCTATGAAATCCTGGTAATTTATTCTCTATAACTAAGGCCTTCTGAATTTTTGTGGTTAAGTTTTGGGATTAACAAAATGATATGCAAGCTACATGCAGAATATCTAAGTAAAATGCTTGTAAAAATTAATTAATCAATAGAGACTATATCTAGTTTTTCACGAGATTTGCTACCATTTCTAATCATTACTGGAATCTACCTTTGGGAGAGCAAGTCTATGAAATTTAGAACAGATTTTCAGCAGAAAGAAGAGTTAAGTAAACCCTTGGCACCTTAAACCTAAATTTCTGGATGTTTTTGGATTTTTTTATATCCCAAGATAATTTATTACAATTATGTAAGTGCAAAATGGACTAAATTGAAATAATTGACGGCCTATTTTCAAACATGTGCATATAAAATCTATCAGCATCAGTTTGTTGAGGTTGATTTATTATCTGGCACTTTGAATTTGTCTAAAACAGACAAGTAGAAAACAGGAAAATTATTATATTTTCAGGCAAAGTAGGGAAAACCTGCAATCTCTGGGTCCTTTGTAATATCCCCAAGCGCAGCATCTTATTCTAATACATCTTAGAGGTCTTCTGGCCCAACCTCTATTCAGGAATCCCCTTTTGACATATGAACAGTAAAAAAGAAGGGTGAACTCTAGATAAACAAAGAGGGTAGGAGAAAATGAAGGAAGCATTATATTTTGAAAGGTAGAGCCTATCCATAAAAATAGTTACCAACATTAAGCTACCTGATTCAGAAAAAAATATATCCTTCTAGAATTCAAACTAGTACTCACATCACTAGCAATGTCTCTTGAAGCTTTAGCTAGCTGTACAGAAATCGCATCAACTGGGAGATCATAGCCTTTCTTCAAAGCTTCTTCCCATCCAAGTTTATAGAGTTTCTGAAAATTAAAGATATTCTTCAGCATTATTCTGTCTAAATAAAGAATCCCAATAGATAATTAGGGGAAAAGTTTACCTACAGAGTGAATATCAGATCAAATGCCATCTACCCTATCTTTAAAGATATGGATAAAAATAAAACGAGCTGTTTCAAGGAGTAGAAAAGCACTGACTCAGCATCATATGACCTGGCTTTAATCTTTTTGGCTGTGAGAATCCTGGTGGTAAACATATTTTATCACAGCCTCTGCTGCTCAGAAACAATTTGGTCATATCAGGCATATCAGGTACCTTTCTCACTGCTGTTAACTAAAGCCTGGGCTTACTATTTTGTAGACAGATATTAAGATAATTGCTAATGAAAAGAAAAACAGGTCACACATTTTAATTAAGTGATAAAAGCAATAAATGGTGAAATGCCTTTTATAAATTGCAATAATTTAGTTGTAATCTTTCTGAGTTGACTTTACTGATTGAACGGATGTATGTGTGTTAAAACTGGGTAATAATAAAAATAGCTCATAGTTATCCAGTACTTTCCATGGGCCAGGTACTGTGTTGAGGGTCTTACACGGAATTTCCCATTTAGTCCTCATGGCAATCCAATGTCATAGGCACCTTTATGGTCCCAATTTTAGGGATGAGGAAAGTGAGACTGAGAGAGGTAATTGAATTACCTAGCATCGTACAACTCAAAAATGGCAAAGCCAAAACTCATACCAAGTTGGTTTGATGCAATTTTTAATTTATTTATGTATTTATTTATTAGAGACAGGGTCTCCCAGTGTTGCCCCAACTGGATTCAAACTTCTGGGCTCAAGGGATCTTCCTGCCTCAGCTTCCGAGTAGCTAGGACTACAGCTGCATGTCATTGCACCTGGCTGTTTGATATAATTTTTCCAACTATTATCTATTGATTTCCTACTTGGTACCAAGCACAACAAGCACAGAGATGAGCAGGCACAGAGCCTTCCTCCATGAAGCATACAGTGGTGGCTGATGCCTTTGCCCTTAACCACTCTATTTTGCAATATCCTGGGCTAATCACTTCCAAATTTTCATTGTGTCAACATTTATATCAGTATTTACTATTACATTATTTTATAAGTTTCACAAGTTTCAATACAAAACTTAAAAGTAATTTTTATTAGCTTTACCTGACTATACATTGTTTGATTCTGCTTGGCTTGTAAAATATCTGGTGTATCAGGCATCACATGAATCTTGGTCTTATCTTTATTCCAATCAACGGTGTATAAATGCTAGGAAGTAGGGGGAAAAAGATATGAAATTTGAATAACTGTTTGGGACAAGCAGGAAAGAAAAATACATATTTATATAGTAGTACTTGAATGCACTCAATTTGAAGTAGCAAATAATAACTAAGGTAGCATATAATTCAGAAAAATCCCTAAAAAGAAACTCAGATTAAAAAAAAAATCTTTCAATTATTTCCTATTCTCTACAGTGGATTGAAAGTATTCAAGATATAATAATTAAAAACATGAATAATTTCTAACCCAATTGAAGGTCGAGAGAAGAAAAAAGTAAGAGGTGGGCAGAAGAAGAGGAAGGTATAGGGGAATGATCTGGAATGGTTTGCCACAGCCTAGGAGTGATGGACCTGAATTAGATTTCTCTAAAGAAGAACAAGATCCTGCTAGCCTTTCCTCACATGGGTGTGGAGGGCCACCGTTGTCTCTACCTTGTTCATGGTATGTGCATTCTGCTTGGCAAGCACCATGTCCATGGAATCAGTCAGTTTCTTAAACTGGAAGTTGCTCGGGTGCTGGCGGTATTTCTGATCACTGGCATATTCGGTTGCTTTCTTGGCCTTCTCCACTTCCAGGGAACCTGCTGGACTCCAGCCAAGCCCTTTGTACCATTCATTGTAGTCTTGCTTATATTCATTCTATAAAGAAGATAAGTAAATTCTACTTTATCTTATCCATTTAGATACAAAAGCATGGCAGGTAAACAGATTGTGAATCTCCCTTCCCATGCTAGGATTCCAACCATCACCCAAGTAGAAGAGAGGCTTACATCACTCTGTATGCGATTCATATTCCTTGTCAGCTCAATGTTCATTGCATCTGGAAGGAGGATGTACTGGTGAATCAGGTGCTTGTAGTTAGTGTTGGTGATGTTGGCTTGGGCATCCTTGGCAGCTGTGACACTGAGCATGTCGGCAGGCGTGTGGTAGCTGGTCTTTGTGTTCTCATAGTTTTTCTTGTACTCCCGATCAGATTGCATCTTAGCCACTTGCATGGAATGGACTAATTTGGGATCATCCTCAAGACTGCGGAAACCAACCATTTTCCCCTTCCCTTTTTCATAATTGTATTTGTATTTATACTGTGAAGAAAATGTGAGTTTTTACACAGAGCAATTCCTTTGACTAAAAATCAGTCTAGTGTCAATATGCTATATTTCATTAAAACATTTGTATAGAGCTCTACAGTTCAAAAACATATTTTTTCATATTTATTGGTGTAACTTAATACAACTTTCCCTTGTGAGGTAGATGGCAAAGTTCTTATTACTGCCCTCATTTTATGGATGAATAAGCTGAGACCCAAGGAGCTTAGCAACTTGCTGAGGCCACTGAGAATTAGAACCCAGATCTTGTGATGATGCATCATACTGACTTACATATGTACTTTGCCATTAGTGCTAAGAGGACTTTAGTAGGTAATAATACAGAAAGTTTTAAAAAGCAAAAAACAGAAAATTTCTCTTAGTGCTGTCCTAAGAAATCATCCTGTCAGTCATTTACTCGTGAGAATAGGTTCAATTATGAGACACACTGTGTAATTTTTGAATAGCTTTATATTTGTGGAGCTCCTTTTTCTTTAAGACTCTCTAAACTGCTATAATGGGGAAGAAACTGAACTATTTATCATCCCAACTTTCTTCTATAGAGGGCAGATCTTGATCCATGAAGAGCTTCTTTTTCTGCCTATCTCCTTGTGGGGGTTGAGTGTGCAAGTTGACGGCAGAAGGTAGTAGAGCCAAATTACTCCAATATAATAGAGGGGAGAAGAATTTGGAGGTCTCAGGATAATAAGAGAGAGTGGGATGGGCTGGATAGGTAGGGAAGATGAAGAACAAAGATACAAGAGGAAAGAGAAAGTAAAACTGCTGGGTGACCAAGGGACAAGTGTTCTGAAATGTGCTCCTCCCAGGACCTCCAAGTCACTAAATGCTCCCTGTGAGTGGATTTCTTGTGGAAGCAACCAAATGAAAGAATTGAGTTTCATATAGGTGGCATATTATGACAGTGATGTGCTGGTACTCCTGCTTTTTGCTGGGGGTGGGGGGAAGCCTTACTTTGTAGTGTTTGCCAGTTTCTGTCATGTAAATTCACCCATTATAGCCAATATCAAGGTACCAATGGTTTAACAACTGGTTTGCAGAAATTCCTGATTATTTACTATCACCTATCATGAGCCCAAATGATCAGCACCCTTGCATACACGAGCATCCTGTTAGGAAGTCAGATCTGAAGAAACAGGAGGCAAGAACAACACAAGCCTTTCACCAACAAAGTTTAGATGACTTCGAATTTCTATAAGCCATAGCCTTGGTGACAGATTCAAATTAAGTTTCCCTAGATCTCATGATTCAGGGAGCTGACATCTATGAGGGTCATAATGTGGTTAGCTTGGTGTTTTTTCAGAAATATCAGAGAAAACACTAAAGCAAGGTTAAGAGGCATTCACAGACAGTGAAATCCACTGCTTTTCATATTGTGTCCACTCAGTGTTTCCAGAACTCAGCCCTTATTATTTTGGTTCCTTAGAAACCCCGAATCAGGTGACTGCTTTCCTTCAGACTTACATCACTTGCAATATCTCTTGACGCCTTGGCAGCTTTGATAGAAATTGCATCAGGCCTGAGATCGTAGCCTTTCTTTTTAGACTCTTCCAAGGAAAGTTTGTAGAGTTTCTGTAAAGAGAGGTGAAGGGATGAGTTTTCTTCTAAATATGAAAGCCTGGACTTATTTTAGAAGAGTAAACTAGCACTGTGGCATCTTTTTTTGTTTTGAGGAGAATGCTTCATTGGTGTGTCAGTGGCTGAATGTTCCTACAAGTATCGTATCTGTGTTTGAAGAAAAATCTATAACAAACTCAAACATATTTTCAAGAAACTACCAGAAAAACTAAAAGTTACTGGTCTCTATTAGGTTGTAAATATACTTTAAAAATGTGAAAGTCCCAAAGATTCTCACTGATGCAAATAAGAGTTAAAAGAACACTACAAAACAGCCATGTTCTTACATCAAAAGAAAACTTCAGTTTTATAATCAACCCTTTTATTTGTATAATAATGTGGAATCTATATATTTTTTTAAAAAAGGTCAGCTAGTCCACATCTCTGTGGAATTCAAACAAAGATAAGAAAAAAAAATGGGTAGGATTAGAGGATTTCCTAGCAACTATGATTAGGACAAAAAAGGAAATGAAATAAACATCAAAGCATTTTCTAACAAGTGTTGTACATTCCTTGTTTTGGGGTTTGCCCCAAATTCTCCAAAATGTTTTTCTTCCCTTTCCATTTAACCCTTTCTTTAGAACATCTTAAAAGTTTGATGGAAAGGCTCTTTAAGAACAAAATCCTAGGACTCTCATTTCCTTTTTCTCTTCTCCTGGCCCCCGAGCCTCTCTTCTTTCTGCCAAATCTCTCAATTTAATGAGTGCCTGCCCCTAGGACAACATCACCCTTCAAATTTTTAACTGCTTGACCCAACCCCATCGACAGCCCTACTGCAACTCCATGAAGGAAGATTAGAAAGAGAAACAGTCTCATGTGTGGATTTCCACCATTATTTTTTAAACATTCACTCTTATAATTGAGAGAGATGTCAGTTCATTTGTTCTTACTGGTTCAAATCTGCTGGAGAGAAAGATGAAAACGGGGGGAACTATACTTACATCACTCATATTAATTGCATTTGCCTTTGCCAAAATAATCTGAGGGATATCAGGCATGATGTGTACTTTGGTTTTATCAGCCTCCCATGCTTGTTTGTAGAGATGCTAGGAAAAAAACAGCGTAAATTAGTGTTTAAAATCTTAAAAGAAGCTCAGTTAGTACATACATATCATTGTGCATATATAGCAATATCTAACTAGGTATTTATTTATTTATTTGAGACAGGGTCTTGTGCTGTCACCCAGGCTGGAATGCAGTGGCACAGTTATGGCTCACTGCAACCTCCACCTCCCAGGCTCAAACAATCCACCCTCCCACCTCAGCCTCCTGAGTAAGTGGGACTACAGGCATGTGCTACCAAGCCTGGCTGATTTTTATATTTTTCATAGAGACGGGTTTTTGCTATGTTGCCCAGGCTGGTTTCAAACTCCTGAGCTCAAGCGATCCACCTGCCTCAGCCTCCCAAAGTGCTAGTATTACAGGTGGGAGCCACTGCACCTGGCCCAAAAAATTTTAATGGAAGTGTTGCTTATTAAAACAATACAGCAAAGAGGATATACAATGGAAAGTAAAAATGCTTTTTCCCCTTATCTTACAGCATGGAGATGACATTTGCCTCCTAAAATTTTCTGTGCATATTAATAAAAATACATATGATACTTTTAAAACACAAATGAAGCCATGTTCTACACCTTGCTTTTTAATTTAATAATATAGGTCAGATATCTTTGAACCTTCTTACAATAATTTGCTTCATTCATTTAGAGAGCTATATAAGATTTCATTAGGAGGTACAATCTAATTGATTTAACAAGTTAGTTCTCTGTTGATGAATATTTAATTAATAGTCTCTAGCCTTTTTCTGCTACAAGCAATGTCATGATCCTTGTGGTGGACATGGAGATATGCCACCAATATACCCATTCAAGGAAGGACCTGATGCCCCACCTTTTGGCAAACAGTCTGTAGTCATCAGCTGTCTCACTCAAGAGCATGCCCTTCCCAGATAACCGCATCCAACAACTCATCGAAGTGGAGGTACACAGATCTAGCCATTTCAGTTCAGTGCATGTCTCTACTGACAGAGACACTTGAGAGCCCTCTGTGGGACTGGCCAAGACTTTGTTATACCAGCATCACTCTTCAGCTTCTCCACCTGCCTCGTCCTTTCCTCCCAAGGACTAGAATCCCCCAAAAATACTCTGTACCCCAATTTTCATCTCAGCATCTCCTTTCAAAAACCCTAAAATGCAAAACATAGTCTTGTGTATATGTATGTCTATGTATCTCTGCACACATACATAAGGATTTCTATAGGGTAATGATACCTGAATTTTTAATTTTTACAAACATTAACAAATTGCCCATTAAACGTTTACTTTAACAGAAACTCCCTTACAGATACTGTGTGTAATATAGCTTTCTAATTTTTGCAAATGCAGTAGATGAAAAATGTTATCTCTTTGTTTTAGCCAGTCTTAATTAAGCATAACATTCTTCTGGAATAGAGGTTGGCCATTTTTTTTCTGTATAGACAGAAATTTGTTAAATTTCAGGCTTTATGGGCTGCACAATCTGTCATTAGCTACTCAACTCTGTTGTTGTAGTTCAAAAGCAACCAGAGACCATATGCAAACAAATAGCTGTGGTTGTGTTATTATAAAACTTAATTTATAAATACAGTTGTTTTCTGAACCTTGTTTTAGACCAGCACTATACAACAGAACTTTCTGCAATGATGGAAATATTCTGCATAATCCAGGGTGGTAGAATCTAGCCACATAAGTTGATTGATGTAGCTAATGTGAATGAGAATCTGAATTGTTAATATTAATTAATATAAATATAAATCAACATATGTGGCTAGTAGTAATAGTATTGGACAGTGAAATGCTAGTGGAAAGAGCAGTGCCTAGTTATCAGAATCCCTGTTCCAATCCAGACCCTGCTGTTGACCTGCTGTGTGCCCTTCGGGGAGGTGCTCTGCTTCTCTGGGCTGTTCTTTTCTCAATTTTGCAATGAATCTGCGATTCACCTTGATGATCACCAACATGTCTCTCAGTACCAGTGCGTGCTGGTTCTATGATTCTCATCTTGGCATCATTATCCTGAAATGTTAATCACTAACACTGAAAAATATCTATATGCTCATGATAGTTTAGATTTGAATCGTAAAAGAGGCACAGAGGCTTGTGCCTTGTCTTTTAGGCAGGTCCCTTTCAAGGAGGTTGATCTGCACAAATCTTTCAATTATCTGAAGACTCTAGGGGGTTTACGCCATGAATTAGCATAATATAGCTTTATCTTTCTAGCACAACTAGGGCCATTATTTTCTGCAACTGTTTCATGTTTAGATCTAAATAATCTTTTTCTGTATTATGTTAATCAAAGGCATTTCTGATTTTGATCCACCAGTGCTGCTGCAGTTATTTTATTATTTTTAACTTCAAAAGCAGATGTTCAAGATTGATTGTACTTGTTGGTCTTGATCTCTTATTGCAAATCAATGTAAAAATAGAGCAAGGCTTTTCTAAAAGCTGGAATAATTAATGAACCAAGGCAATACTGATGTAGAACAATTGCCCTCAAGATTGCCCAGAGAAGGTCCCAGTTTGAAATGCTGCTACATCCATTAATCTTGGAATTTTCTTTGATCCCATCAAAGCAGTAAGGAAGCTGGGGTTGTGGGGGGAGGTGGTTTGCAACAAAAGCTGTCACCAGGGAATCTGCTGATTCAGTGTCATGAATGTCTATTCAACCTCACCTTATACAAACAGGACTCATTTTCAGCTGCTGCAGCAAAAGAAAGAGTCCCTATTTATTTGATTATGTCAATAAGATAGGATGGTTCATGGAAATATGCAGACCACTAGTTAGAAATAATTCCTATCTTTTTTTTTTAATCCCAAGACTATTTTTCTAGGTAAAATAACCTCAAGTATGATGCCCTATAACTATTAGCAAAACCTGTGGATTAAATATAAGTTATACCTGGATTCTCTCTGATGCACATGAAACACTGCATTATTGAAAGACTTACTTCGTTCATAATTTTTGCATTATTCTGGGCCAAAACCATGTTCATTGAGTCCATCAGTGTGGAATACTTCAAAGTGTCTGGGTGCTGGCGGTACTTCTTTTCACTAATAATCTCCATGGCTTTCTTGTTTTTCTCCGCTTCCAGGGAGCCCAGAGGGAGCCATCCAATGCCCTTCATGAAGTCAGCATAGTCGGCCTTGTACTGATTCTGCAAAAGACGCAAAATTAAATCTTAAAGCTTCCCAAGGATTCCAAGTGTGTGCTTAATATTCTGTAACTTCCACTTCATTTATAACTTTTCTGTAATTTTTCCACTTCAATATTTGGTGGAATATTGGTATTCAACCAACAGTATGTTGAATTTCATCCACTTCCTCCCTAAGCTTTCATCTTTTTTATATTTCCTTGCAGGATAAATTAAAAATAAGCAGAAATGTCTTTGTGACTTTTCTCAATGTCTTCATAATGAAAAAGTACTAAGGAGTACCACATAGATTCATCTGCCAGGTGACTGTTATTTCCTTGAGAAAGGTGACAATGCTGACCTTTCTCACAAAAATTCCCAAGTCCCCTTGGTTAACAGATGACCATGGAAACCCCATGTTTCTCTTATGCCATCTTTGATCACCCACCCCTGTTACAATTCCCTCAGGTATGCCAGAAACTTTCCTGGTACTTTGTGTAAATTTCATTGTTTGCCCCTCTGCTTTGACATCTCTCTCTAAAACTGTATCATGGTTGCTTTCATTCAGACACTATGTAAAGACTTAGCTTTGTCTTAGATGAAGGGTTTTAGAGCCTCTCTAAAATTAGAGAGGGAGGCACTGGTGAGGGAAAGGGAGCAAACTCTTTTTATTCCCTGGCAATTAATAGCTCAGCCTTCACATTCCCAAAGAGAAATGTAGGCTTGGTGTGGTCTGCTTTGGGTTTGTAACTTAATTCAGCTCTCCAACCATCAAATGGCCTCTTTAGCTAAATTCTTGGCTCTATACTGTCTTCCTTATATTTATTCCAAAAACGGCCTCAGCCATCACCTCCTCAAAATTTCATCAGTAAGATCTGCAAGGTTAGAAGTGGTGGAATGAAAGCCGGTTGGGGGGTTGGGGAGGGGGCCTGAGCTATCAGGTTATCCGATTTCTTTTCCTTTCATTCCTCTATTAAAAGCCTAATATGCTTTTGACCATCTTTGCTAGACATATGTCCTTCACTACATTCTTTGTGAAACGAAGTTCCATTTGCTGTCGTGGTATTCAGAATCCAACAATGTTCACACCAACAACAGCAGAAAAGACGTCTTTCTAGAATTGATCTCCTTTTGCTAAAAGACATGAATTCAATCTAAGGTAACAAATGAAACACTCTGTGGGAAATTGCAGAAGAATTTCTTTCAGGATTTTCAAAATGTTATTACTTATGGTCATTCATGATTGCTTATTATCCAGAGTAAATGCTCTGCAAATGTTGTGGCTTTCACATACATCACTTTGAATCTGCATCATATTTTTGGCCAATTCAAAGTTCATGGCATCAGGAAGCATGTTGTAGGTATGGATCACGTTCCTGTAGTTGGTGTTGGTGGCTACTTCCTGAGACTTCTTGGCTGCTACCACACTGAGCATGTCCACCGGGGTGTGGAAGGAGGTCTTGGATTTCTCGTATGCCTTCTTGTATTCCCGGTCTGACTGCATCTTGGCCACTTGCATGAAGTGCACCAGCTTGGGGTCATCTTCCAGGCTCCGGAAGCCAATGTGTTTCCCTTTGGCTTGTTCATAGGCTTGTTTGTATTTGTACTGTGGACAGAGAAGAAATTGTGACAATGAAAATGGTGAAAGAAAGAGAACAAAGTACCATTCGCTACATGACATTAGCTTTGTCTTAGGTGAAGGGTTTTAGAGCTACTCTCAAATTAGACAGGGACGCATCGTGAGGGGCAGGGAGCAAACTCTTTTTACTTCAGTTTTTTTCCCCCAGACTTGAGTTCATGGAAAGAAAATAACCTTAGAGTTATATGAAGAGATCTGAAAATAAATTGGTTTAGAGAGATTTAGAAAGCAGATTTCCCCACTCATCTGTCTGAATGACAAAAAAGGCTGCAGGCATGATTTTTCATGGTGCATCTTTAAATTCAGGAGAGAGACTGGCCATGGGCCTCCTGGATAAAACGTAGATTGCATCTTTACATTTGCTTAGAATTGTCTGTAAATAACTTGAATACTCTAAAGGCTACTTATTTTAACAAGACTCAGTCACTATTTACATTAATTAATGAACAGATGATTAGAGGGTGCTAGGATGGGGGGAAGGGAGGTGTCTTGTACGTCACATGGGATAGCATTCCCACCAACCCTGAGTAAAGCTGACCACAGCTCCTACATGCACACAAGCTTGACACATTTGTTCTTACTTGCTCATCCCCAAAAAGGTCCAGTGGAAGCACTTACATCACTGGCAATGTCTCTAGAGGCTCTTGCAGCCTTAATTGCAATGGCATCAGGCCTTAGATCATATCCTTTCTTCTTTTCCTCTTCCCAGCCAGCTTTGTACAGTTTCTAAACAATAAAATAGAAAAACAACAGCATCTTGTTATTGGGGTTAGAACAGAGGTCCCAACTACAAAGTGGTTGGCATGTAGAAGACAGACATAAGTATCAGTTCCCTTTACCCTTCTCCCCAGCTTTTGCTGTTGTTAATCTACTTACATCACTCATGGTGATTTGGTTTACTCTGGAGAGTAAAATATCTGGTGTGTCTGGCATGACATGAATGGTGGTCTTGTCCTTGTTCCATTTTTCAGTGTAGAGCCTCTGCAATGAGAAAGTCAGGTGCATGATTTTACAGCAGGACAAGTTTACCTCAATGCTAGCAACGGGAAGAGATTGGCATTTCCATGGTAGAAGAGGTTAAATGTGGTATTAGAGAAATGGATGAAATAACAAAAAGATGGGCCGAGTAAACTAAATATACAATGAGAAAAAAACATTATTGAATAAGGGAACCCTCTACCACCAAAGCATCAAATACCATCTTGCCTCCTCTGCACAACTCGGTAGAGTTTTGTGGTTCTGTCACATTCGTAACATGCTATTGGGAGATGACCTGAGGGGGGTCACTATGAAAGAGAACACTCTCAACATGATGGAAGCAACAGAGTCCTCCTACCAACACCACCAAGACGATCAGAAAGATAGAAACACTGAAGGAGATGATGGGGGGCATTTCCAGGCTCAATGGCGTGAGCACCATGAGGGTTCCCTGGGCGAGGCTAGCAGGTGAGTCCTTACCTTGTCCATGTTCAGTTTGTTACTCTTGTTAAGTGCCTGTTCCATTGTGTCCATGGCGTATGTGAACTTTAGCTTCTCGGGGTGCTGGCGATACTTCTTCTCACTAAGAATCTCTCCTGCTTTCTTTGCCTTCTCCACCTCCAGGGACTCTATGGGGACCCAGCCAATCCCTTTCATCCAATTGGTGAAGTCAGATTTGTACAGATTCTTTACAATGAAAAACAAAAAAACATTTTTCATTTCAGAAAGAGTCAGGGCTTGGGTTTCTTTGGCTACATGATTTACTTACAATCAAAAAGGAAAAAGGGAAGATGGGCAGGGGAAAAAAATCTGCTTTTTACTTCCTACAGTCTTTCAGAAGAAATTAGTTATAAAAGTGATTGCATTCATGGTGGTTTTGAACAGGAAATTCTGACCCAGCAATTCCTTTAAAAAGTTAACTTTCTTGAGGAAAAGAAAAATTAACAGAATTTCACCCTGGAAGGAAAATTATATAACACCCATTTGAATCTCCTAATTTTTCATAGACAACATCATATGTTTGGGTCTAACACCAATATTTTAAATATATATGTACGCATATATAAAAAATTAACAACAAAACTACCTATAGTTCAAATGAGTGAAATCCTAAAACTCCCAGTTTTGGAGGGGATCCTTAATTACAGTGAGTGTGGCCAGGTCTGGGATGCAGTAAGTGGTTCCTATTTTTCCCTCCCACCCATTAGAAATGGATGACAACTTGATAACCAGTACATACATCACTCTGAATCTGCATGGCATTCCTGGAGTGCTCCACATTCAAGGCGTCAGGCAGGAGAGTATAGTTGTGGTATGGCTGTCTGTAGTTGGCATTAGTGGCAACCTCCTGAGATTTCTTCGCAGCTGTCACACTGACCATATCCAGAGGTGTGTGGTACTTGGTCTTGCTGGCTTCATAGCCCTTTTTGTACTCACGATCAGACTGCATTTTGGCCACATTCATGTAGTGAACCAGTTTAGGATCATCCTGAAGGCTGAGAAATCCAATTTGCTTGCCTTTGGCTTTCTCATAGGCCTCCTTATATTTGCACTATTTGAAAACAAAGGACAAACAAAAGTTGGAAAGCATAGCAGTTTGATATAAACCTAATTTATACAACACATTAAGCAAAAGCTAAATTCAGTCTGAATCTAGATAACATCTAAGTTTTTTTCATACTTTAAAATAAACAATTAGCAAAATATTTTTAATGGCTCATCTTGAGAACTGCTCTGGAGAGATCATTAAGAATGGAATAATGGGATAGTTTATATTTACACTCTTCATAAGTAGATTATTTGAATATACCCAAAGGTTCCTGAGAAGTTTATTACGCATTTGATATACACTTTTATTTATTTATTTTGAGACACGGTCTTGCTCTGTCCCCCAGGCTAGAGTGCAGTGGTGTGCAGTCATGACTCCCTGCAGCCTCCAACTCCTGGGCTCAAGGGGTTCTCCCTCCTCAGCTTCCCAAAGTGCTACGATTAGATGTGTGAGCCACCATGTCTGGCTAATGTATGCTTTTTTATTATCGTATTTCCATTATTAATTTGTATTAACTTAAAAAGTATTTGCATAATTATGAGTACATTTCAGCCCTAATACAAATTAGTGTATTAATCTTGAAATTAATGTGTTTTTGCTCTATCAAGGTGTTTATTATGTCAATTCATATAGGAATATAACTTAATTTGTAAAAAAAAATAATTAAAATCCTGTTATGTAATTAACTTAAAGTAATTAACTAAAATCCTGTTATGTAATCCATGGAACTAGAAATATGGAAAACCACAAAGAATTAGCAAAATATTTTTTCTGGTTTTCCATGTTTCTATTTCCATGAATTTTTTTCTTTGTGGAAATTATAAAATTAAAATGTTGTATTCTTTTAAAATACTTGGAGACTTTTCTAATTTAGTGTTATTTTAGTATATCATGACTTTTTCTGTGACAAAATCCAAATAAAAAGTGTTTAAGTTCCTAATGATAGTAATGAAAATTTCAAATACTTCACAGTTTTTAAAAAAGAATTTTCTTCTTTGTAACAGCTTTATTAAACTTTCAAATATGTGAAAAATATTTTAAGTGAAGCAATATAAACAATGTAATTGGCAATCAGGATTTTAGAAAATATTTTTATATTATAATTTCTTTACTTGATTGTTCATGCAGTTGATACAGTCTTACATATCACATATAGATTTTTTTTTTTCCTTTTTTAGAGACAGGATCTCACTTGGTCACCCAAGCTGGAGTGTAGTGGTACAATTACAGCTCACTGCAGCCTCAAACTCCTGGGTTCAAGAGATTCTCCCATCTCAGTCTCTCAAATAGTTGGGACTATAGGTACACACCACCACACCTGGCTAATTTGTTTTTATTTCTATAGACACAGGGTCTTGCTATGTTGCCCAGGCTGGTCTTGAACTCCTGAAGTCTTTTAGATAGACAGAAAGTTTCCTACTTTTAAATAAGACTTACATCACTAGCAATATTCCTTGAACTTTTTGCAGCAACAATTGGGATGGCATCTGGTCTCAAATCATAGCCCTTGGCAAGAGTTTTCTTCCAATCTGCTTTATAATAAGCCTTCAAAAAAGTAGAGGTTATTTGATTATTTGACAACATTAAAAGAGGAATGAAACAGAATGCCAAAATATTTCTTATAAAACATGTCATAATAGATCCATTTCTATTAAGACAATCTACAAAGTTAGGACTATTTGTCTTTTACATATATATTAGATTTTATTTAAAAGGATTAGTAAACTGTTTACACAGTATAATCTCAACTGATCAAAAAATGTATATTTTTCATAACAATGCAACAGAAAGGTAATGCTTTGACTGTTGGATAACAGAAGGTTTTCATTTATTTTGCATAATTTTCTATATTTTCCAACTTTTCTATAATATATAATACTTTTGGGAAAAATATTCTTGCAATGAAGTATTTCAAGCTTATGGAAAGATATGAATACCAAAACTAAAAATACAGATGTAGTACAACTCAGCTTTTATTGATCTTACTGCTTAAATATTACTTATAAAATTAGAAAAAAATTTAAATGAACCAAAAGCATAGGAATGTATAGATGGAGATGAAACAGAACCTAAAAACATTGGAAAGAATGACTAAGCCATCTTTTAAGAAATTAACAATTTTATCCAAGTTTGATTATGTTTTTAAATTAGGATTTATCAATATCTTTTTTTAGAAAAGGAAACAATTCATAATAGTGGATCTAAACATTACCACCAATTAGGTGTCTAGACTACTCAAGAGAGAGGCTAGTTACATACAAAAAAAGAATTTGTGAAGAAAACGAAAATTTTCTGGATATTTTCATAAGTAATTAAAATAAAAGTTGCCAAAAGCAACATTTTCCACACTACAGACTAGGCACTCTTGTGTTTTCTAAGCTTGTCTATCTCATGTTCCATTTTTTTTTTTTTTAAATGGGACACAATGTACTTGACTGACTTTACAACCCACTAATGAGTCACAGCCCATAGTTTGGAAAAGTCTGTATTAGGCAAAATTGTATTGTGGCCCTAGGCTCATGTTGTATGGTTAAGGGTTTAACGTGGAGGCTCTGTGTTCACACTCAATTTCCCCCTCTACAATTCTCAGGGCAAGAGTTACGAAGAACCAGAAAGGAGAGGCCCGCATAGGCAATATTAGCACTGGGCCAAATACTCACGTCACTCATGTTGAGGGCGTTGACCTTGGCTTGAATAAACTGAGGCAATTCAGGATCAATAGTGTACTTGTGCTTCAGTTTCTCTCCCTCCACCTTGTAGTTCAACTAAAAGCAAAGGAGGCAGCAAGCACATATCATTAGCTCACATCATGTAAGTTTCATCAAGCACAGAGACCTTTAAAAAGGAAGCCTATCATTGTGTTTTCCATTTACGAAACAAATGCCTACTCTGTTATAAGGGAGGGGACCCTGGTAGATGCAATTATGTTCTCATTCTACCAGTATTTACTGTGGGCCAGGCAGGATGGTACATTCTGTGTTTAAAGAGGTGAGGAAGGCAGATCTGTCCTTATTGGAGCTTATTGTCCAACAAAAGGGACAGACAAAAAAACATGTAAACTACAAACTATCACTAGAATTTGTGATGTGTGGTCAATGGAGTAATTGTAGCAAAGAAACAAGGATGGTCAGTAAAGCCACTCTGCAGAGGTAATATTTATGCTCAAACTTGGAGACGGGGCAGAGGAAGAGCATTTGGGACCTGAGGCTGGAAATGTCCTGGCCACCTTGAGGAACTGAAAGCAGTCTAAGTCATGGGGCTGGAATGTGCCTGGGTAGAGGTGCGGTGGGGCGGTATTAGACAGGAGGTGCAGAAGGGTCATAGAGAGGAGGGTCTTTTCAGTGAAGTTGATGAGTTTAGATTTCACTTCACATTCAAGAAGTTCCTAAGGGGTTTTACACATGAAAGGGACAGGCTTGGATTCGTGTTTTAAGACAGGCTTTTGTGGTTGTTTGAGACCCCAGGCAGGGAGTCCAGATAACAGGTTATTGCAGTTGTCCACATGAGCCATACGGAAGCTGGAAGTAGGGTTGGTGGCCGTTGGGAGCAGGCTGGCTGAGAGATATTTAGGAAGCTGACTCAGCAGATGCACTGGATGTGGGAGTTCACACAGGGAGGTGTTAACAGTGGCTGCCAAGTTCCAGCTTGAGTAACGAGGTAGATGTTGATGGCATTCATTGTGATGGCGAAGACTTTATATAGTGAGTGTACAGTTTGCCTAGCTAACTGGAAAAACACCACGAGAAGCGACATCTCGCTCGGTACAAAATAAATCAAAGAATTTATACCGTGTATTACCCCTAAGATAGAATTAACCCTTAGACATCTGTGATAATGTGGGGGCAGAAGCTAAAATCCACAGATATTCAAATCCAAGGCAAGGAAAGCGTTCCCAACCTTCCAAAATCTGGGGCTAAAAATACAAAAAGTCTTTCTTTGCTTTTTACTTACCCCTCTCTTGCTGGTGGAGGCATTTTAACAGAACTCTAAAATTAACAAGTCATGTGAGGCCCTGAGCATTGTAATTAGCTTCTGACAGAAAGAATAAGAGTCCATATAGATATGGTCTCAGAATGAGATCCCAGATGACTGCAAATAAACTGCTTATCTCCTCCCCAGAGGCCTCATTCTAAGATTGCCTCTCAGAACATGGAGCTATTATGCAAGGGGATTAGGACATTACGCCTCTTCCCTTTATGACTAGGTAGAACTATTGCAATCAAAACAATAAATAGCTTCTTTTGCAATTCAGACAGAGCCACAGATAATAATAGTAATAATGTCATTTCATATGTATAATGTGTATCTGCTTACAAATAGCACAGGCTCTCTACATTTGGAAAACAAAGCGAATTTGGTATAGCCCCTCATTTTTGCCTCCCTGTTTTTCCCATGTTCAAGATCCCAGTTGCTTCAGAAGTCAGCCCTTTCTCTCGTACCTATGAAAGCAGTTTATTTGCTGACATAGATGCATCCTCATGCATTGAATTAGGAAGGATGGTGGAGCGGCTCAGACATGTGGGGTTATTTATGGACAAATCCTTTGAAAGGAAACCACTCACATCACTTAGCTGCTTTGTGTTCTGCTGAGCCAACACCATGCCCATGGAATCAGGCACACTTGTGAACTTGATGGTATCTGGGTGCTGTCGATACTTCCTCTCATTTAATGCATCGCCTGCTTTCTTGGCCTTCTCAACCTCCAGGGAACCAATAGGGATCCATCCGATGCCCTTGAAGAAGCTGTTATACTCGTCTTTATACACATTCTGTAAAAGGGTAAGCTCATATGAGAAGATACCCTGGAGAATATTCAAGGGATGTTTCTGGGATCTGAAACTCGCTAGCCAAGGGAAAGGAACAGCAACTCTTCAGCATGCTCATGTCTGACTGTCACAGAGCTTATCTGGAGGGTGGTAATAAGAAGAAGCTGCTCTGTTGTTACAGTGCATTACACAACACAGAAGGGAATCTAAGTCACATATTTTCATGGATACTGCTAAAAACATTTTTTGTTGTTTTTGACAATAAATTGGTACTTTCCACAATGGTTGTTTATCTTAAAGCAGGTTTTTTCAAGTCTCTTACTTGAGACTGGAAGCCTGATAAAATGGAGAGAAATGACCATGCTTCAGAATGCATTATGCAACACAGAAGGGAATCGAGGTCTCCAAGGGTACTGCTGGAAAATATTTTGTCACTTCTGACAATAAACTGGGCTTTCCTTTTGATTTCACTGATGGCTCCAAAACTAAATTACATCCATACTGTCCACCTAGGCTGTGCCTGAGCTCATCCGGGGAGCAATAATTTCATCAAGTGACAAGAAATATGTAACAGCTCTTCCCTTTACAGAGGACAATTCTAAGAGAAATCTGGCTCCTGCAGAAGGAAACGCCCTGATTGTTAAACACCTCTCTGTGCAGCTCTCCATGAATCATGTTGCAAGCATAAATCTTTCCTGGTTCATTTTAGATGACTCATAGATTTACATGGAAGACATTGTGACCTTGAGTTAATAAAGGAAAAAAATAAAACCCCACCTTTCCCAAATTCAGGAAGGATAGAAAATTCTTCTATATTGCATTTTATATCTATCACCATTGCAGCCAACCCATCAGGAATATCCATCTTCTCTTGCTGAGAATCAAAGTGGCTCTCATAGTTAGTGGAATATACTTTTATCTTTCATTCATAAGTTATTAAAGACAACATTAATGATTATGATATAAGCATAGAAAGCAAGCAAAAACAGCTTGTCTACTATGCCTTTAGTAGTCTTTCAGTAATGGTTGTTTATTCTAAAATGAATTTTTCAAATATCTTACTGTAGTATGAGGTCTAATAAAAGAGAGAAATGATCATCCTTTAAGTGCAAACATCTCTGGGTCTGTTGTTACACATACTTACATCACTCTGAATTTGATTGACATTCCTCGTATGCTCAAGACTCATGGCGTCTGGTAGGTATGTGTAATGATGCAATGGCTGTTTGTAGTTGACATTGGTGGCAACATCCTGGGCCATCTTTGCAGCTATGATGCTAACCATGTCCCCAGGGGTATGGTAGCTGGTTTTGGTGTTCTCATAGTTCTTCTTGTATTCACGATCGGACTGCAACTTTGCTACATTCATATAGTGGACAAGCTTGGGATCATCCTGGAGGCTTCTGAAACCCACATGCTTTCCCTTTGCCTTCTCATAAGCTTCCTTGTATTTATACTGTGGAGGCAGAATTGGGTTAGCAAAGTCCTAGGCATTGATAACATTAATGCTACAATTATATTCACATACAAAGACACTCAGAACATTGTGACTTTCTCAAGAGTGTACAAAAAATGCAAACCACAACCTCCTCCAAAAGGTTCAGTGAAAACTTATATTGGAGTTTCAAGCCAATGTCATGATACATTTGAGATCAGTTTATTTTCTTTGCTATGACTCCTAGATGGTTTGCATGTGGAATTTTATTTAAAACAAACTGAATTTTCACACTTAATATGAACATAACACATTCTAAAGATAAGAGCAGTATCTCTTGGCTTCATAGAGATGTGAGTGTTTTCAATTTAATATGTTCTTTTACGTCACAAATATGGGTCCCAGCTGAAAGACAGCTGGGCCTTCACCAGCTTCTTTTATCAGCAGCTGCTTTCCAAGCTCACTGCTGAAACAGCTGCAAATGAATTAAGGAGCCACAGTAAGGACAGGACCTGCTGTGGGGTTTTCCCATCAATAGAAACCTAACGGACAAAGTTCTGCTGTCCACTGTCTCTTGCTGCTGTAAGCAGCAATGGGATATAGATTGAGCAATCCTATAACAGGTCAAAACCTCAATTGTTATGCAAGACAATTCAAATCCACTTAAACGCTGCAGACTTTCAGCTCCTGCAATTTAAGCCTTAATTCATAAACAAGAGTTTAGCAGGCAAAAGGAGTCAAGTAATTTCTAGGCATGTGAAAAAGCACTGTGCAGTTGCTAAAAATAAATAAATAAAGTTGTATCATAGACTTTCACTCTCTACTTAAACTAGAAATGCATTTCATAGTGATGTGCATTGTGTGCAGATCTTTGAGAAAGACATTTTCAGTCCCATTCCTCCAAGAAAAGCAGTAGCATTTTTACACCCCTATCTCCTGTGTGGTCTGTACACCTGGTTGGTTTCTTCTCTTTTCTCAAATCAAGATTCTAGTCCCTGGGATAGCATGTAACAGTGAACTCTGCAGGGCATGCATGCTTTCTAAAAATTTTGTTTTTTAAAGATGGAAAGGAGTAGAAGTGTATACTTTTTCTGGTACAGATGAAATGGACATCAATTTACATGAACCAAAATTATATCCTAAAAAAGTAGACTTTTCCCCCTTTGGTTTATAAAAATCTGTACATTTTATATAACATTTTTTCAATGTTTTTAATACAGTTATAATGCAGTCAGTCATTTGAATTTAATGTGGTAATGCAGTCAGGATGTTCCCACTGAAAATAAATGTGGGCTGTCAGAGAAATGTGTCAGTGAAGGTAATTTGGGCTGTGAATCAAAGGAGAAAGCCACTGTCAGATTTATGACAGCCCTGCCAAGTGGGGTCAACTGAAAAGAATCACAAAAATATTTCTAAAAGCGACAGGTTTTCCAAACAATATTTTGAGACTTTAAATGCCATTAATTTGACATATTTCTTTCAATGAAGTATCAATTTAAACAACATTTGATTACTTTTTAAAAAGGCAAACACCCAAATTTCATCTAAAATTTTTACTCACATCACTGGCAATGTTTCTCGATGCCTTGGCTGCAGTGATGGGAATAGCGTCACCCAGCACATTGTTGCCCTTGGCTATTAAGTCATGCCAATCCCGTTTATAACAGACCTGGACAGAAAAGCAAACAGGATGTCAGCATCTGTGTACTCATCAGCTTAAGTGATTCCTCAACTGCTGGGATTGTTTTGTTCTTTTCCAGACAGAAGTTAAAGGAATCCTCCATAGCACATACCGCTTTAGGAAATCACATTGGCAAAGTGTCACACTTTGTGTGCAGCATGAGATCATTGAACTCTGCACTAATTATTGACCTATATCTGGTTTTGACACCTATTGAAGAGAGGAATATTCAAAGACTGGATCCAGAGAAAAAGAACAACGTTTTGGAAACTATGGTATGTGAGGATCAGCTAGAGACACAATGAAGTTGTTCATTCTCATGAAAGGAAGGTCAAGAGAACACCTGGTGGTGAGTTTTCGAAATTTTAGGGTTGTTATTTTAAAAAGGATCTCATTTATTGTTATGTTTCTGGAGGATAACAACCTCCCCCACATGCAAAACTAGGAAAATTAGGTAGAAGTTTTAGGGGAATAGATGTTGGGCTCTACATAAAGAAGAATGTTACATCCTTTAAAGTTGTCCTACACTTGAAAAGGTCACCTGAAGAGGTAAAGGACCATCCTTATGGGATATGTTTCAATGGGGGATTTGTGGGAAACTGACCTAAATAAATAGTCAAGGCACCATCCTACTGTTAAAGTCTATGATTTTATTGTCAGGTCTGAATTTGACATCTCAGCGAAGACTCTACTTACGTCACTTATATTGTAAGCATTGCACTTGGCCTGGAGAAACTGAGGAAGATCAGGACTCATAGTGTATTTATGTTTCACATCTTCTCCTTTAGCTTTGTATAAGATCTGCAATAAAATACATTTCACATAGTGCAGAAAGGAAATTCTATTAACTGCTTGCTTTAAACAGTTATTTTTAGCACAATCAGCCACGATTTTCTACTGTTAAAAATCATCAAAGGCATTTCTCTCTCTTTTTTTAAAAACAAAACAAGCATCTTATTATCTTAATACCCACAACTTTGTGTGTTAAAATAGAAAGATAAAAAAATTCTTAAGAAAATAAAAATTGTTCACTGCCAGAGGTGAATGGAAAGGTAAATTCAACCATGAAATCCTAGCAAGAATAATAAAATTCACCAGAGCCAAATAAATTTATTCTTTGCCTGTGAGTTAATAGTTCTCACATTTTTGTAAGTTTTTGTTTCTTTATCCCTAGAGAGAAAACAGTAGTTAGAATAAATCTTTCATTTCTGCTAAAAACTTTCCAAAATAGAATTGTATCAATAAAAGCATACAATAATTTCCTCATAATATAGAGGTGCTTATACACCAATCTAGCATACTCAAAAGGCTCACTATTTCATATTTACCCTATGTTGTTACTTTAAAGAATTATATATACTTTTCACTGAAAGGTGTCAAAATATGTGATGCAGAAATCTTACTGCATCCTCCTATCATATACATCCTTATTTCCCTGGCATGCCTACGTGGAGTATGACAAGTAAACTGGTATGCATGCAGCCAAGATAAAATCTGACATGGCTAATAGCTAAATTAATCCCCAAATACTAAATAATCTCTTCTAGGACCCAAAGAGTTATCTCTAAGTCCTCACTGCCTTTAAGCACAATATCTAAGCAATCACAGATTCATGAATTCAGCCTTCTACGCAGCTCCTTTTCTGACATTGCTACTGCCTTAGCTTCAGTCCAATTAAGAATTCCTCGGATTTCAGTGACAGCCTTCTAATTGATCTTCTTGCCTCCAGTCTCTCCTTTCCAAAGTCTCCACACTTGGGGCCAGCATTGTGTTTTAAAATACAGGCCTGATAATGGGACTCCACAGATTAAACACATTCAACATCTCTTTTTTACCTACCACATAATATTCAGACTCTAAAAATTAGCACATGAGCCCCTTACTAATCAGGTTACAATTTTGAGCCTTTCGCGTCTATACTTTTTCATTCCTTTTCTACTGCTATTATATTTTTCCTTTTGCCAGGAATGCTCGCTTCTCTCACTTGCCTGGGAAACTCAGGTAGGCACTTACCTTTGTACAAGGCACCTCCCTTGCTCTCAACATTTTCGTCTCCTGCAGCATTTGTCTCTCTGGATGACAATGCCCTGTTTGTAGCCATGTCTTTGTCTTATGCTCTTACCCTACATTCTTGTGAATTTCCACATCCCATGAATCCTCATCTATTTCATCTTTTTGCCACCAGCAGGTACTACAGTGCCTAGCACACAGATGTTCAAAAAGCATTCATTAAATAAATTAACAAGTGAATGCTTTTGATCTTCTATACACCAGACTTTCCTTTAGAAACTTTGACTTCAGCCACAGCATAGACGCTGCTCATGTACAGGCACCAAACGACACTCATCTCAATCAGACCTAAGTTAAAAAGTCTATGATAATAGTATACGCTGAATTCTTAGGAGCAAAGACACATATTCATATGTATTACTTCTCTGTATTAATGTTTTATATATGAAAAGAAAATATGAGAAGCTTAATATAGAATCGAATACAACAAATCTGCCAAAATAAAGTGTCTGGGATTTAAGCTTAAATTCTGTGTATGTATGTGTGCATGTGTCTGCATGTGGCGTTCTAGAATAGAATTTTTCCACCATGTCACAATATTTCAAAGATTTAAAAGGAAGATAAAAAGCAAGAGAGAAGAAAATGTTAGTGCCCAAACTAAACATAACTGTAATTTAAAAAAAAATTAAATAAAATAATAAATTTAAAATGGAAAGAATAAAAATATTGGGCTGCTGTTGACTTAAATTGCCCAGAAGAATAAAAACATTGGGCTGTGGTTGACTTTTCTTAAAAGCTTCCTCCATATCCTCTGTCCTCTCTATTTTGTTGTACTCACATCACTGACTTGCTTCGTGTTCTGTTTTGCCTGGACCATAACTGGGGAGTCCACGATGCTGGTAAATTTGAGGGTGTCTGGATGTTGCCTGTACTTCTTTTCATTCAGAGCATCACCGGCCTTTTTAACCTTTTCGACGTCAAGACTGCCGATAGGAATCCAGCCAATGCCTTTCATCCAGTTGTTGTAGTCTTCCTTGTAGACGTTCTACAGCAATGGAGAAAAGAGGAGTGAGGGCCCAGGCCAGGGTTTTTCTCATGGCAGACCCTGAACCTACAGGTGGGTTTTCTTGAGGAGTAAATGACACTTACATCACTCTGTATCTGCATCATGTTCTTAGACAGCTCCAGGTCCATGGCGTCAGGCAAGTAGGTGTAATGATGGAGAGAATGCTTATAGTTGACATTGCTGACCACATCCTGAGCTTTCTTAGCCGCCACGACATTGAACATATCATGGGGCGTGCTGTATTTGGTCTTTGTCTTCTCATAGTCTTTTTTATACTCCCGATCTGATTGTGTCTTGGCCACATTCATATAATGAACCAGTTTAGGGTCATCTTGAAGACTTTGGAAGCCAACCATTTTCCCTTTAGCTTTTTCATAATCTTTTTTGTACTGAACCTATTGTAAACAAAGGTAGGCATAATTTAAAATATAGCTTTGAAGGTATTACTAAACAATGAGGTCATGATTTGAAGTAATTGAGCTTCTCCTAAATTCTTGTACTTCAATAACTGAACAATTAGCAATTCACTTCTATATGCTTTGAAATGTAGCCTGCTTAAAATAAAAATGTTATGTATTACAGAACCCACTTGATTGTCTGTAGCTGTTTCCAAGAGAGGTTGAGATGGGGGCATTACCATAATTGGTATCAGTAACAAAATAAATCTCTATAGTCTTCCTTTGCATTTAGACATTGGTAAAGAAACAGGAAAAGATAAATATTTCACAATCTCTATCAATTTTATTGTGTTACTAGAGTGCAAGTAGCTGGATATTTGATTAGTTTTAGCATTTTTTTATAGCAGCAGTAGGATGTTAATATTAATAAGAGAATTTTAGTAAGTCCTTGGATATTCAAAGGGAGACCCAGAGCCAGGAGCAGGTAAACACTAACTGGCTCTGGGTAACACAGTGAGGGGGACTGAGCTTCCTTGGAGAGATGTGGAGGGCCCTGTGGGACACTAAGAAGCAGAGGCACAAGGGCAGGTTTGTGGTATGTCGGGGCAGGGGTGGCTGAAAGAAGGCACCCACGGAGAAAGGCGGTCAGTGAGAAATTCTGGGTGGGACGGGGCATTTCAGGATGAGGACATTTGTTATTCAACCATCACATATTCACACTGCAGCGATGGAAACCTAATTTCAAACAATCAGGAAAGTGGTGTTTGGGACTCTAGGAAGTCAAAAGGAAGGGGCTGTGTTTCATTTCTGGGTCATACAGGGCAGCAGGAGGAGACCCGCAGGAGGAGGGCCCAGGTGAGCTCAAGCCAGCCAGGAGCCAGAGGTCAGCTGAGAAATAAAAATCTCAGAGATGCCACAGAAATCATGGGGAGGGGGATTCCAGTTCCTATAGAATAACAGATGGGGCCTTGGGCCAGTTTTATTTAAACCTCAAACAGCAAAGTGACTTCATTTCACATCTTGGATAAAGACAAATAGGACAAGAAATAAAATTCTTAACTCTAGTAGAACCCAAAGACTGGCTATTAGAGGTGGTGAAATTGAGGCTAATTTACCTGTCTGTAGAAGTAATGAAGGAAAAAGGGAGAGGAAAGGGAAAGAAGAAGATCATATCAATAAAGTTTTGAGAAAATTTTACCATCAGGAGGCAATTATGACTTAAATGGTATCTCCACAAGAGAAGTAATGTGAGTCAGTGTAGAAATAGACCCCCTCAAAGTTAAATCTATTTAGGGAACTTTATTTCCTGAATAGTTTTCAATCAGATTTGCTTCCAACTGGGGACCACATGCATGGAGACATTTGGGTCATTGTCAGACCCCAAGCCCACCCACCCACATTTTCTAGTTGCCCACGTATGACCACAGCTGGACTTACATCACTTGCCGCCTGCCTGGCAGCTTTGGCAGCTCTGATGGGAATCGCATCAGTTCTCAGGTCATATCCCTTCTTGCTCAAGTCTTTCAAGTCTGCTTTGTACATATTCTGAAAGAAAAATGTCATTTAAGTACAACTTAGAGACCATATTAGTAGAGTCTGACACATACATCAGCCCAAGTCCGCCCACGCACCTCACTGATATTGTAGGCATTAACTTTAGCTTGGATGAACTGGGGCAGGTCTGCTGGCAGGTTGTATTTGTGAAGAATTTCCTCTCCTTTGGCTTTGTAAGCGATCTGAAAGAGATAAAAATGCACAAACAGAGAGAAAAGTTTAATGGCACTGGAAAATAATTTCCTAATGGATCCTATTTCACAGAGGTGGTTTTAAGGAGGACACTCTTGTGCATTTGCATATTCATGTGCAAATATCTGTAGGCATTCGAGGTCTCACATGCAGTTGCTTAGGATCCTGTCTCAGTGCTTATTCAGTTTTACAAAGATCCCTTGGAACTTGCACTAGGAACTTCTGGGCCTAGGTAGGGGCACAAAGTGGCAATTAGCCCAGGGAGGCGGCCTGATGAAAATGGTCACCTGCAAACACTTTCCTGAGCGTGGGAAAGCATAATAGGGTAGAATACACCAACCACCTATATTATATTTTGTGGGAAATTAAAGATAAGTAGGTTAAGAAATAAAATTCTTGCTATACTCATTCTTTCTGGTCTTTCCTAGAAACAGGCTTGTAGTTTTTGTTGTCATTAAGAGAAGTTCCTCTTACCTTTTCCTTAGAAAGCAATGTCAAATGGCTAAAAGGACAGTCAGCACAATATACATTATTGTAAATATATTAATTAGGAATGCTTTATTAATGAACAGCTGGGGAATTGCACAGCTGCTCATGTAATTGGGTCTCTTCATATTGTATAATAACTACAGGTGATCAGTCCATTTGAAATACGAATGTATTTGTATTAGCTAACATCTACTAACATATAGAGAGGATTAACACTTACATCACTCCTCTGGGCCTGGTTAATTTTAGCCTGTACTGTAATTGGAGCATCTTCAATCGAGGTAAACTTGAGTGTGTCTGGATGTTGGCGATATTTTTTCTGTTCGGCAAATAAAGAGAAAAACAATCTGGTTTTTCACTGAAGGCTAATATGTCAAAATCCCTGAAATTTATTTTGAAGCAATAAGGAAGATTTTTTATGATTTTAAAATGTAAAAATACTAGATTCTTTATTGGTTTGATGAATGCAATACAAAATTCAATATTTTTAAAAATCCATTTAATTGTGGAAGTTTTGGGCAGCACAGACGCAAATACTGCTCTCAGGAACCAGACAGACTCCATTCTTAATTTCTTGCCTATGACATGAAAGAAGATACCCTCAGCTAAGCAGAAAGCAGAAACATCACAGAGTTTTCTAAAGGTTTGACAGAAAAGTAAGCAAGGAGATTTAAAGTGTCTTTGCAGGACACAAACAAGTTCTCTTTTTCCCTGTTACTCCATCAGCAAATGGCATCAAGAAGCTGTGCGGTTGAGGAAGGAAGAATTGAAGAACTAGGGCAACAGCTAGGAATTATTATTAATAGAGGCAGGACTTTTGCTCTGCAAGCCTTAATGTGGTTAGCACATAAATTATCACCAAAGCGCTTAAGGGGCACTGCAGAGCAGACCCTGGGGAGGTGTGCCCACTGGGAGCTGTCAACTTCTAGCCACTTTAGTCCTGTATTCATCTCATATATTTTCCCAGTCCTCTTCCTTTGTGCATATTGTACATCCCACTTAGTAAGATCCCTCTTTCAGCTTCAGACTTCCAAAAACCACTAACCCAGAAGAACTATTTTCTGGAAGATCTTTGAGTAGACAAAATGGTTTTCATCGAAAACAAAGCACTGAACAAGAAGTAAAACTTGAGTGTGGAAAGTAACCTGCACACAGCACCTCTGTCCTGCGTGTTGTCTGCCCTCTTTGAGGATGCACTGGCCTGACAGCATGAGACTCTTCAACTGTCACAGAGGAGGGACACATAACCTTGCTGGCTTATGAGGCTCAAGATCATCACTATTTTTTCTTACACTGAATTATAATTTATATATTACTTCAAAGCCAACCAGAACATGACATAGGGAAGAATTCTTCAAAGACGATTTCTATAACAGCTGTGTTATTCATAATCACACAAAAAAAGGAAACCATCCACATATCCCCAAACCGGTGAAGCAATAATAACAATGTGGTACGTATTATGCTAGGGCAGAAGTAATTGTGGTTCTTGCCATTGCTTTTAATGTCAAAACCGCAATTACTTTTGAACCAACCTAATAAATCCATACAAAAGATTACTAATCAATAATTTTAAAAAATTACAAGCGGAATCATGGATGAATCACAGAAACATGACATGAAGTGAAAGAAGCCGGATACAAAAGAAATTTCTAGAAAAGAGAAAACTTTAGAGACAGAATGCAAATCAGTGGCTGCCTGGGGCTGAAGATGAGAGCAGGAATTTAGGGGGAAATTTTTGGGGGTTCTAGCAGCATTTTAAAATCTAATTGCAGTGATGAGTGCAGAATCATATGAATTTATTAAAACTTGTCAAGGTGTATACCTAATTTTATTGTATGTAAGTTATACCTTAATAAAATTGTTAAAAATATTTATAATGAATAGTTCACATCAACGATTTTGGTAATATAAAGGTCTGTGCTGGTCTACCTGGGTAATTTATGCACGTGGTAAGTTTTTTCCTTAGCAACAGCGACTGGAGAATGAAGCAATGAAGGAGGCACTGTCCATGGTTTTGAGAGCTTTAACACAACATATTCACCACTCGCCCTCTGACACACCCAATGGCTTTACCTCATTAAGGATGTCTGAAGCTCGCTTTGCCTTTTCCATTTCTAAGGACCCAAAAGGCACCCAGCCACAACCTTTCATCCAGCTGTTGTAGTCAGCTTTGTATTCAACCTAAAACACCAAGAGAAAGGTTACATTTCTTTGCTGTGTCATCTTCATTATGTAAACTCCAATGTTTTATTCAAAACAATGTTTTTGAGATTTCCAACCAGCTTCCTTACTCCAGACACTAAGGTTATTGTATATATTTCTTTGCTGAGAGATAGTAACAGCTCTTAGATTTTTGCTTTCCTTCTAACTGGCATATGTTCCATTTCATCCTTATTTCCAACGTAATGGAAGTATGTGGTACTCTAATTCCAAACTGGAAAATGCTCAAGTCTAACCTGCCCTTTAAAGAATAAGTGAAATTGTCAGGTAATCAAATGTGAGACATTTGTTTTCTGGAACTTTAAGTATTATGTTTCTATCAAATTAAAATAGAAGGCCACATTGAAGGTGGATTATTTGCTCATTTTCTAGCTGTGTAAGACTTAATGGAATTATTTGTTCTGCTTGCACTCATGGCCCTTCATGTGTACTGGTCCACTTTGGAGTGTTTCTACATTGGCTAACAACAGTTTAAAATAGTTGCACTTGTTAATTTGCATAAGGGAGCAGTTATTATTTGGAATTAGTCCTAGTTGAGGCACAGTTACTTGATGGTATTAAAATCATGAGCTACTTTTGTTGTCTGACCATCGGTGGTACCAAAAATGCACATTTTAGATACAAAATTCAAACTGTTGTTCTTTACTGTGGGCCTTTTAAGTGGAATGCAAAATCAACAAAGTATTCAGTTCCTGTCCTTCAGAGGCTTATGATCTATTTGGGGTGAAAAAACATAACAAAATCAAACTAATGACAAGTAGAATAACAATGCATAATATAGAATTGTTAGTGGCAGGAATGTAAAATTTTGCAGCCGATATGGAAAACTACTTATAATGGTTCTTCTACAGATAAAAATTAGAGTTACCATATGATCCAGCTATTCAACTTCTGGGTTTATACTCAAAAGAATTGAAAGCAGGATCTCAAAGAGACATTCACATACCCATATTCATAGCATCAAAATAGCTTAAAGGTGGAAGCAACCCAAATGTCTACCAACAGATGAAAGGGCGAATAAAATGTGGCCTATCCATATAATAGAATATTATTCAGCCTTAAAAAGGAAGGACATTTTGACACATGCTACAACATGGATAAACACTGAGGACATTTTGCCAAGTGAAATAAGCCAATCACAAAGAGACAAATATCGTATGATTTCACATCATGAGGTATCTAGAGTTAGTCAAACTTAGAAACAGAGCATAGATTGGTGGCTGCCACAAGCTAGGGGAAGAAGGAAAGTGGGAGTTGCTGTTTAATGAATATAGAGTTTCAATTTGGGAAGATGAAAAGGCTCTGGAGATTGGTTGCACAACAATGTTGATATACTTAACACCACTGAACTGTACATTTGAAAATTGTAAAGGTGGTAAATTTATGTTATGTGTACTTTAACACATTTTTAAAACTAGAATTGTTAGGATGAAGTATTCACTTGTGCAGTTCAGACAAATTAACTTGCCTAAAGAAGTTTTGATCTGCAGAAAAAAATAGTTATAAATATTTATGTTAAATGATATATTTTCTTTTCAGATAGCAATCTATGTAAAAATCATCGATGCTGATGAATACGATGATTATGATGCTGGTGATGATAAATACTGAATGTTTATTGAGAACTCACCCAGGCCTAGCACCATGCTAAGTGTTTTGCATGCATTGACATCCTCCAAACAATGTTTTTGATTTATTTCCATTTTACAGAGGAGGACTCTGGACTTAGCAAGGCTGATAACTTTCCCAGAGGGAAACAGTGATGGGATGCATGCCAGATCAGTTCTTCCTAACCCTGAAGGGCATGTTCTTAGAGAATCACAAGGGTTGTTTTGCTTACATACATAGGACAATGCAGACACCTCTGAGAAGTACAAAAACCTCACTCAACTTTGAAGTCCATTTCAGTTTCCAGCTTTTTAAAAGAGGCTAGAGAAACCCTGGTTACTCACATCGCTCTGTAGCGCGTACGCCTTCTTGGCGAGGTCCACGTTGATGCTATCGGGCGGGTAGCTGTAACTGTGTAAGATGTGCTTATAATCAACGTCGCTGGCAATTTCCTGAGATTTCTTAGCTTGGGTGACTTGGAGCATATCCAGAGGTGCCGTGTAGATAGTTTTTGACTTTTCATAATCTTTTCGATATTCATGCTGTGAATAGGAAATTATCATTTATTATAACAAATCTTCTATGGATTTCCAGAAAAGACAGATCTTTCATAAACAATAAGTTAGAGAAAGAGTCAAACATCTGAGTAGTTATTTTGCCCAAAAATGTGTTCATATGTTACACACTGTTGAAATCCCTTCAAAAAGCACACGTGGGCAGACCTTCTCAAATCAGTGAGAAACCGTCAGAGTCACAACAGACAATGGGCCGCAGCTCCTGCTCAGTCAGGAACCGGAATGCTTTTATTCTAAAACAGGGTTTCTCAAGGACCACTAACAAGTGTTACTATTATTAATGTAATTTAACCTATGAAGGGTTTTCCAATAAAGAAAGAAGCATTTTTTAAATGTAATGAAAACCATATGACAATTTGATTTTATAAAATGGTTACTTCATACACAGGGCTGTAGAGTTAGTTTCTTGGCTGTATAGAGTCATTTTTAAATGGAGAGTCAACTGATTTTTTAACCTATGATTGACAGGAGATAAGCCCTACTGAGAATCTCAAAGGTTTTCATATCCAGTTCAATTTTGGCAACAATTTAAAAGAAACTTCAGATTGCAGCAGTTAAAAGACTTCATAGGAGAAAAGTTTGGGAAACTGAGCCATTAAAATAATGTTGGCCCTTCTGTACAATGTTCTCATAAACTAAATGTCCTGACTTGGCCTTAAGGGCTGCCTTCATTTTCTGGTTTTCTGGAATGGTTAGACAAGGTGCTAATTAGGTCAAATTCCCAGTTTCATCATAGCCACTCACTAATTATCTTAACAGACAGCAAAATTTTGACCTATTCCCTTTAAGAAAATTCGAAACTCATCCTAGTTTTCCATGGTCACATATATATTAGAGACAGTGACCCAAGCTGGTAAGTACAGATGTGCATTATAAATCTTCTGTAACAATTCCTTTTGCAAACGATCTGATCTTTTTGGCTTTCTAAGGGAACTTGATCTTCCTTCTCATATTTTGTGGGTAGTCACTTTCACTGAATACATTTATTACTTAACTATAAAATTGAGACCCTGGTTTATAAAAATAAAGTATGGAAACTTTCTGATAGTTTGCAACAACATTGAAAACAACAATTTGTCTTAATTAGAAGAAAACTGATAAAGCAATGTTACAACAGTTGGTGTGTGGAAATATTTTTGAAGACATTGTTGTTACTGTTTTGTTCATGTTCACACCAGCTGACACATACCAGCACATAGAAAATGTTGTCAAAGATCCAAATGGCTTTAAAAGATTGTTTTTAAAAAGTCTTGCATGTTCAATATCTGCGGCTTAGCATTTTGCCTGGATATTATGTGAGACTGACCCATATGCTATGTCTTTTGGTCATTTACATCAATCAATTAACAAATATTTATTGGGCATTTCTTATGTGCCTACTACAGGGTTCTGTGATAGGAATAAAAACAAAAGATAAAAATGCACATGCTCTCAAGGGGGAGTCATACTCTTCTTAAGCTGAGAGAACTTAACTAGTGAACAAAATAGTCATATATGTGAGCACTATATACTGACATAATTCACTGTGAAGTTACTAGAGAAAATTATGGAATTGGAAGTTTTAAGGTGCTATGTGATGACACAATAAATGCAACATGAGTTAAAGAGGTATGTATAGATCATCATATAAAAGCATGGTTAAAACTAAATGATACAAACACGCTTCTCTTTCATCATAAAAAACTAGTATCTGCAAGCTACATTGAACATTCTCAGTACTCTTAAGGGATTCTCTAAACATTTTATACATAGTACATACTATAATTTGCAATAGTAGATGTTTGTCTCTCTGTAGTAAGAATTTTAACTGGAAAATGTTACATGGCCCATAGATAAGCCTTAAGGAGCCCATGAGTTCACCAAAATTCAGACAAAAGGCATGAAAATTAATGTTCATTTTCTATATAGATGATTCAAATCTTTTGTCAGCGTCTCAAAGGGATTTGTAATCAACGGAGTCTTTTTCCTGGATCTAGACCAAACTCATTACTAAAGCCAATGAAGAACAATGATACTCTATTAAGATTTTTTATTTGTGATTCATAAATGTCTTCCAAAGTAAAGACAGTTTTAAAATTTTCATTTTAAAAATTATTTTTCAATTAGAATAAAATGTGAAAACATCTACTTATGTTTTCTAAAAGGTTTTAAGAATATAATCAATATTCTATTAAATATTGATGAATACAGTTTTCAAAGTGAAATGGACATCAAGTACAAATCAGTGATTTCTCCCCTCAAATGTGGAGGTGCAACAATCCAGGGCATTATTCTAAAGTTTTCTACATCAGTACTTTTGTGAATGTGAGAGAGCCTATGCTTATGAAATCCTTTTCCACACGACTACCTTGGGCATCATAACAGGGGGTCCATCTTGAAAACAATACAGATTCACAAAGACACTCACATCACTCTGGTTTTTGGCTGTCTTCAAGGAGTGCAGCATCTTGGGATCGTCGTTAATGCTGAGGGCCCCAATCATTTTCCCTTTGCTTTTTTCATAGTCTTTCTTATACATCACCTGCAAAGATATCATACATGTCAGATCCCACTCACCAGGAAATGTCCCCGAGGCCACCCTGTCCAGGTCCCCAGGTCCCCAGGCCACACTCACATCACTAGCATTCTTGGTATTGGCTTTGGCTGCCAGCAGGGGAATGGCATCCACTTTAATTTCAAACTTCTTGGCTTTGCTCTTCTCCCAGTCTTGCTTATAAAGATTCTGGACAGAAAAATTCAGCAAAGGAATGAAAAGAAGAACATTAAACACAGTGTGATCCAGTAAAAAAATAAAAATATTTTCAAAATTTGTGTATACATACTTATTTCACCTATAAATTCTGTATTTATCAAATTGTAGCATATGTATTGATTTATCTATCACCCAGTTTCTTTCTCCCTACCACTAAGTATAAACTACTCTTTTTAATGTTCTGTAAACTTTCTAAAGACTCTGCTACCTTAATTTATATAAGGATGCTATAAAATGACAATGACTTGGAGAAGGTGAAATGTGACATTTACATGGGAAAGATGTTGTAAAACTCCAGGGAATAGCAGAGGGGTAATTGAGAGATCTTCTGATGGTAACAGAGACCATGGAAAATGAAATCTGATAGCTAAGTAGGAGTCTTAAGAACATTTTGACCTTAAAAGCTCCACTTACACTCTGGTAACAATCTTAATACTTGTTTATTTGTATAATTCCTAGTCTTGTCTTTCAAAATTGATAACATTTTCTCTTTCCATGCACACCAAACATAGGCTTCTGTGGCTTTGGTACTTACATCACTCAGATTGTAGGCATTGACTCTGTGTTGGATAAACTGTGGAGCATCTGCTGGTACATGGCACTTGAACTTCTCACCTTCATGTTTTGCTTTGTAATTCAGCTGATAAACAAAGGATGTTTGAACAGTTCAGGGGAACTTCTTTGAATTTATTTAGGACAGTTTATATAGCCAAGGTGTTAGTGCCCTTTTTAAAAACATGCCTCAAAGAGATACTCAATTCAGTCAAAGTCTCACATAGGATTCAAAGTCTCATTCCCTATTTCAGGGACTGTGGTATAGTCCCTCTTTTTCCATGGGAGATACTTTCCAAGACTCCCAACGGCCACCTGAAATCATGGATAGCACTGAACCCTATATATACTATGTTCTTTCCTATACGTATATACCTGTGATAAAGTTTAATTCATACATTAGGCACAGTAAGAAATTAACAATAACTAATAGTAGAAAAATTAAAACAATATATTGTAATAAAAGTAATGTGGATGTGGTTTATCATTCTCAAAATATCTGTTTGTTTTTATCCTTCTTTTTCTTGATAAAGAAAGGACAAAGGGGGATGGTGTGAGATTTCATCATGCTACTCAGAACAACACACAATTTAAAACTTATGAATTTTTCGTTTCTGGAATTTTCCACTTCAAATTTTTGGGCCATGGTTGACTGCAAGTAACTGAAATTGTGGAAAGCAAAACCAAATAAGGGGACTGCTGTGTCACCATACTTTGGGCTACCAGCTGCCATTGTGTAGATTCTGTTATATACACAGGAATATGATCTGATCTACACTGCTAGGCTGTATCTGGAGAACATGAACTTCTGTAATCAAAGCACTAACAAAAACAATAATAATTCTCAATAAAACACTAGCACAGTTAAAAATATATGTAAACAATTCTTTCTTCTTTTCTTTCTCCTTCTTCTACAGGGTCTGGCTCCATCACCCAGGCTGGAAGGCAGTGACACAATCTCAGCTCACTGCAACCTCCACCTCCCAGGCTCAAGCGATCCTCCCACCTCAGCCTCCTGAGTAGCTGGGACTACAGGCATATGACACCATACCCAGATAATTTTTTAATTTTTTTGTAAAGACAGGATTTTGCCATGTTGCCCAGGCTGGTTTCAAACTCGTAGGCTCAACTGATCTGCCTGCCTCAGCCTCCCAAAATGCTGGGGTCACAGGTGTGAGCCACTGCACCTGGCTGTGAATTCTTATTTACAATATTAAACATAGGATTGTATTTTTTTAAAAGGTGATGTTAGGTGGAAGGAAGGGAGTGTAAAGAACGGATGAAGCTGTTGAATTTTGGAGCCAAAAGCAAAAATGCACAAGATTGAGAATTATGCAAGAAGCAATTTCAAGGCAAAGTAGATTGCCTACCCAAGCCAATAAAAAGAGTGATTGATAGTGACTGTGACCACATACAGCACTATATTTCTCTTCAGCTTGCTGAGTTTAGCTAAATCAGCAATGTTAGTGTTTAGCTGTTCTTTATTGGGACGCAAAATATTAAGATGCTTGGAAAAGTTGCATATGAGCTGAAATGACTTCTAGGCTATACTGATGCCGTTCTCCTCTTTAACAACTGCATATGAGCTAATTTGTATCATTAAAACACATTTTATTGCAGGAAAAACTGTATCTTTCACTTTCCTATCTTGAGAATGATGCACTACTCTCCAGGACTTAGCTATGTTAGCACCTTGCTGTTCAAAGAGTAGCCTACCAATCACAGCGTCAGTATCACCTAGAGGCTTATTAGAAAGTCAGAATATGGAGTCCCCCGGATGTACTGAATCAGAATCTATACTTCAACAGGGTCAGTAGGCGACTTCATGAATGTGGATATTTGAGAAGCATTGCTGCTTTTCCCCTGATCTTGGCATGTTTGGACCATGCCTGTCTTAGACATTCTTTGACCACTCAATCTAAAGTGCCCATCCAGTTCTTTCTCTGATATCATCCCACTTTAATTCTGTAGCATCATTCTATATTAGTTATCCTATCATTGTTTGATGTCTGTATTGTTACTGTGCCCTTTCTTTCTGGAAAGTCTTTGCTAGCAAATTCAAGAATAGGAAATATTTGCCTTGTTACCTACCCAAATAGATGCTTTTGTTGTCAATTATTTAAGTTGATATGAAGTTTTAGGGTACATGTGACAGATCCTAATGAATAAGATAATCCCACTAAAAAAACAGTAAGTTGTTAAAAATATAGTAATTATTTTTATTATTGTCTAACACAACTTTCCTCAGGCTACAATTCAATCTAGCAGCCTCATTTGTGTTTTAATAAACAAATCTTGAAAAATAACAATATTGGGATGGTAGATGAGCCCATGAAGATTAAGCATGTAAATGCTTATGTTTTAAATGAGCAAAGCACTTGGGATCACCCACACTTGCATAAATCAAAGCACTTACATCGCTAAGCTGTTTCGTATTGAGCTGGGCTTGCAACAGTACAGGAGTATCAGTGACTGCCGTGAATTTGGTCTTATCTGGATGAACTTTGTAGGTATGCTAGAAAAGAAGATGTTCTTTAATGAAATTTATAATGTATTTATACATTATAATTTATCAATATAGTCTTGGTTATACATACACTAACATAAAAAATGGTTCCAGGTCAAAACAGAGTTTATTTTGTTCCTAAAAACTTAGTTGATGCATTTACATTCTCTCTCTCTCTCTCTCTCTCTCTCTCTCTGTCTCTCGCCTTGAATCCCCACTTCCCAAGTTGCCTCTGGTCTGCCTACAGCAACTCAGCAACCAGATTAACCCTTCCCCCACTGAAGCCTTACAATGACTCTTTATTGAACCTCATATTTAGTCTAAACTACATGTTGGTTACGATCCCTACAGAAACCATCTCCTCCCTCATCTCCTGCCATTTCACCTCTTACTACTGCCCTCCTCCCCAGTATATTCTAGCCACCCCATCATTTCAATTCCTTAAATGCTGAGCTTATTCTCTTCTTAGGCTGTTCTTTCCCGCTGCTCTTCCCCTGACCTTGGCCTGGCTGGTCATGCCTGTTTTAGATCTTCCTTGACCACCCAATCTAAGATGCCCACCGAGTCACTCTCTCACACATTGTCCTATTTTAATTCTGTATCATCATCCTATATTAGTTTGCTTATCATTGCTTGATATCTTTCTTATTTCTGTGCTCTCTTCCTTTGTTATTTGTCTCTTCCACTCCAGTGGGAGCTCCTCAAGAGGTGGCCCACTTTTTCCCTATCTTTCTCAGCACCAAGGAAATTGCCTGGCCCAGGCTGCCTTCTTGTATTAATTTGTTAAATAATGAACACCTATCTCAAACCTGCATGTCTTTCTTTTACCCTGAATTTGCATAGATATAAACTAATGGAAATTAAGATTTATAAAATCTGAAATTATTTTGTAGCAAATAGCCCTCTTCATGATAATTGTTGTGTTTCCCAGTTCCACCCCAAAATCAAATGTAAAATGTAATTATATCCTAATCATTAGACATTAGCATTTAAACTCCTGCTAAATTTACCACTAGATGTCACAAGAATCCCAAACACGATTTCAAGAATTCAGGGCAGCTAACTTACGTCTTTACACTGGTCCAGCTTCTTGATTGCTTCATATTCTTGTGTTATTGTCTGAGGGAAATAGCATTTTCCTTTATCTTCTTCATACTCTGCTTTGTAACTTTTCTATAATGAGAAAAACCAAAAATAGATTGTGATTATTACAGGTCTCAATGTCACTGTGAGGCATGAACCATTGTCTTCAAACTTACGTCACTGTTTTGAGCTGCAACTTTCATGCAGTGTGTGTGATATGGGTCCTCAAAGCTGCCTACATAATGTCCCAAAATATCCTTCACATATGAGTCTTTATATTTAGCCTGAAAAATAAAATAAATGTAATCCAAGTTAACAATCATTTGTCAAACAGTAGGAAAGCCCTCCGACCCAGGTGGTAACCGTGGCTTTTCGAACCTCACTGAAGTTCTTCAGCTGAGTATCAAGTTGATATTTCGGGGTCTCACAGTAATTCATACTCTTCGCCTTTGTCTTCTCATAGTTTTCCTTGTATAATCTCTGTTAAAGGAAAAAGAAATTAAACCAAAAAGAAAGAAAAATACACCCCATAAAGTGAAAGCCATATCACTGCTGCACTTTAACTGAAGGGGCAAAATTTATGTTTTCTCAGCATCTATTTTCCACAAAGCAGAAAAAGCAGAATTGGTGTGATAGAGGCTCATGCCTTATATAATCTCACCTGCTAATAATCACAAAGATGTTTATGTTACTTGTCCTAATATTTTTTCAGCCTGAATAACTTAAAGCACACCGATGCTGCTATTTAAGCAAATTTTTGCCTTAAAATAATTTATTTGCATATGTTTAAAGAAAAGTGAGTTTGGCTAGATGGCAGTGGCGCACACCTGTCATCACAGCACTTTGGGATGCCAAGGTGGGCAGACCACTCAAGGCCAGGAGTTTGACACCAGCCTGGCCAACATGGTGAAGCCCCACCACTACTAAGAATACAAAAATTAGTGGGCGTGATGGCACATGCCTATAATCCCAGCCGTTAGGGAGGCTGAGGCAGGAGAATCGCTTGAACCTGGAAGGGGAAGTTTGCAGTGAGCCAAGATCATGACACTGCACTCCAGCCTGGGCAACAGGGCAAGACCCTCTCTCCAAAAGAAAAAAAAAAAAAAAAGAAAGAAAAATGAGTTTTTTAAAGAGCTGATGCAAAATGACATATAAGGTATAAGGTGAACCTTAGATAATTAAGCACAGTCCTAGAAGCATACTCCGTTCAGCACCTGGTGAAACACATTTTGTTACAACTCTATATGAAAACATGATTTGTCTGTATTTCTTTTTTAATTTTTTTTTTATTTTTTATTTTTTATTTTCTTGGGGACGGAGTTTCGCTCTTGTTACCCAGGCTGGAGTGCAATGGCGCGATCTCGGCTCACCGCAACCTCCGCCTCCTGGGTTCAGGCAATTCTCCTGCCTCAGCCTCCTGAGTAGCTGGGATTACAGGCATGCACCACCATGCCCAGCTAATTTTTTGTATTTTTAGTAGAGACGGGGTTTCACCGTGTTGACCAGGATGGTCTTGATCTCTTGACCTCGTGATCCACCCGCCTCGGCCTCCCAAATGCTGGCATTACAGGTGTCTGTATTTCTTTTTTTGCTACAAATTAGGAAAGCAATTTATGTGAAGAGTTTTATTATTTTTTGTTTGATTTCCAACTTTTAAGTTCAAGGGTACATGTGCAGTATGTGCAGGTTTGTTACACAGGTAAACGTGTGCCATGGCGGTTTGCTGCATAGATCCCATCATTCAGGTATTAATTATTCATTAGCCATTCTTCCTGATGCTCTGTCTCCTCTCCCACACCCCCACCTTCCAACAGTGTGTTGTTCCCTTCATGTATCCATGTGTTCTCATCATTCAGCTTCCATATAAAAGAACATGTGGTATTTGATTTTCTGTTCCTGCTTAGTTTGCTGAGGATAATGGCTTTCAGTTCCATCCATGTCCCTGCAAAGGACATGATCTCATTCCGTTTTATGACTGCACAGTACTTCATGATGTATCTGCACCACATTTTCTTTATCCAGTCTATCACTGATGGGCATTTAGGATGATTCCATGTCTTTGCTATTGTGAATAGTGTTGCAATGAACATACGCATGTGTGTCTTTATAATAGAATGATTTATATTCCGGCCGGGTGCTGTGGCTCACACCTGTAATCCCAGCTCTTAGAGAGGCAGAGGTGGGAGGATAGCTTGAGCCCAGGAGTTTGAGACCTGCCTGGGCAATATAGCGAGACCCCATTCTCTACAAAAAGAATGATTTATATTCCTTTGGGTATATATCCTGTATTAGGATTGCTGAGTCATATTTTATTTTTAGTAAGTATGTTAGTCTTTAAAATAAGATCAATATTCTATAAATTTCTTAAAATAAAAGACTTTGCTTTCGAGTTTTTGCCTCATGTAGTTTTTCTTACTTCATCCTTTAACTTACTTCTTGCAAACTACCTTAATCAGTTGTGGGCATTGGGTGAATACCTACATGTGCATGTACCTGTATTTACACATATGAAGCTCATTTCTAGGAGAAACAATAAAGACAGATATTGATATTGCCAGAATATTTTTTCTCCTAATAAAACAGAAGGTATTAAGGAGATGAAGGAAACTTTTGCTGTATTCACTGGCATCGAAGACATCCACAACAATAGGGAAGTTCATCTTCCTTTACCACCTAGGTGAAGCTTTCACGTGTGATTTGTCATCCTGAATCCGAGATTTCAGTTAGGCTAACATCCATCCAAGGTTATTTTAAACAGCAACTTTGTGGCCACATCTGAAAATAGGAGTGAATTACAGAGACACTCACATCACTCTGGTTTTTGGCCACCTTCAAAGAGTGCAGTATCTTGGGATCATCATTAACGCTGAGGGCTCCAATCATTTTTCCTTTGCTTTTTTCATAGTCTTTCTTGTACATTACCTGCAAAGACATCACACGTGCCAGATCCCACTCACCAGGAAACGCCCCTGAGGCTGCCCTGTCCAGGTCCCCAGGTCCCTGGGCCACACTCACATCACTGGTGTTCTTGGTGTTGGCTTTGGCTGCCAGTAGGGGAATGGCGTCCACTTTAATGTCAAACTTCTTGGCTTTGCTCTTCTCCCAGTCTTGCTTATAAAGATTCTGGACAGAAAAATTCAGCAAAGGAATTGGCAAAAGTGATCTGCATGTCATCACCTTTAAAGACTAATGGGTAACTAAATACCTCGTCTCAATATAAAATAAATGGGCCCTTTTTATTGTCCAGGAAATCATGCATATTTTAAATATTTCTTCTCAAGTTGGAGCTATTAATTCTCTAAGTTGGGCTTCTCTACACTCCATGAGAATTTTTTTATCTAATCCTAGCTATTACACTAATATTTGATTCCTAACACTGAATGTTTTATAGAGTAGCACAAACATTCTACAGTTAACTTACTTTTTATGATACAAAGGCATCACTTTCATTTGACCTCTAAGTTCTCTGCAAAGGTTATTTCATAAATAATTAAAATACTTATTGATACCAGATAATCTTAGTACTCATTTGCAGAATTATTGAAGAAATTGAGAGCCCCAAGGGTAATTAAACTTTTCTATAAAATTAAGTTTGAAAAATTAAAGATAGAAATGGATATCTGAACTTCTGCCCTTTCTATCCCCTATATCTTTATTTATGCAAGTTCTCACACATGTAGAAATAAGTATCATTTATGTGAAATAAGGGACATTATAAGCCCAGAGAATAAATGAATTATAGTATAACTTAAATGAATATACGGCTAAAAGATCTACCATTAAAATTTACAATTAAGCATAAACGAGAGGTATATTTTGAGGGATGGTTACAATATATTAAGATTATCCAACTGTATGAAACTACTTATAAGATTGCTACACACATTTTGTAAGGTGAATTCAGTAATATTGGCAGAGGCATAGGAACAGGATACAAATGTTAACTGTTCTTCCCATTTTTAACATTAAACTATTCATTGAATCATAATGAAGCAATTCAAAATAAAAGCACAGGTTGTCAGTATATCACATGGTACAGGGCATGAGGAACTTACATCACTCAGGTTATAGGCATTGACTTTGTGCTGGATAAGAGCAGGAGTATCAGGGGGGATATGGCACTTGAACTTTTCACTTTCATGTTTTGCTTTGTAATTTAACTATGACGAGAAAGAGAGAGAGAGCGAGAGAGCGAGAGACAGACAGACCGAGAGAGAGAGAACATCAATTAGCTCAGAAGAATTGTTCCAGAATACAAAAATTCTTGTGTGGTACATTTTGTAAAATAAGTGACAACATTGTTGAGATCAGAAGAGACTTCTAGAGCTTGGGTGGGCCACCTGCATGACTGAACCTGTGTGCGGGACACTTGCCAGCTATGATCACATCTGTCACCATGGTAGGACCCTAAGGGAATGAGGTAGCTCTGTCAAACATGCCTCCCTCCCTGCATAGCACAGTTGGCCCTGTAGGTTCTGGGAAGTGCCCCGTGCTGTCTTTCTTGCCATCGTCAGTGCTCACGTACCGGAGCCGCTTTCTTTTCATCTGATTAGCAGTCCTCTCACAGACATCAGGGTTTTGATGTTCTAATTGGAGCCTTTATTTCTGGACATAAATCTACTGAGGTTACTTTTATTTTTTTGGTTCAACGTAAGTTTGGAAGTGCACACTTAAGGCTCACATAATAAAGTTTGTCTCAGAGATTCCAGTTTCCAGAAACTTACTAGGGAGAGAGAAACTCATGTACTGAATACCTGCTCTGGCCAGGGCATATGCAGTGTACATTTCTCCCTTTACTTACTCTTCTAAACAGCCACAAATTATAAAAGGCAAATATCAGGCAGAGGGAGGTTAAACCTTTGCCCATCCAGACTTCAATGACAGAGCTAACATTTGAATGCAGTTTTGTCTGACTCTAGAACTCACGTTCTTTCCACTACTTTAAGCTACATTTTTTTCCTTTACAGAATCATCTCATTGTAAATGTTATCCGCCCCACAAGACGCAGAAAATATTTTTATACAAATATATAAAAATACATACAATTTAAACTTGCTAATACTTACCCTGCCTTTTGAACAAACTTGTAAGTGATTGGATTTTATGTATAGAGTTATGAAATATTATCTCTTATAATTAGATGTCCTAGGTAGTTAGAAGAACTTACATCACTCAGTTGTTTGGAATTGACTTGGGCTTGCAGCAGAACAGGAGAGTCGGTAACTTGGGTGAATTTTGTCTTATCTGGATGGACTTTGTAGGTGTGCTGTGGGAAGCAAAGGCATTTGGTTTAGCAGTATCACCTGTCAGATCCGAGGTGGCCCATAGGCCAGGCAAATAGAACCTCATGCCCCGCAAGGCAAAGAAACTTGTAGTTAATAAAATATATATATTTTTTCTAACTAGACTGCAGTTTGAGAGATTCTTCGTACACCTGTATGTGAATCTTCAGATTCCTGATAACTCTTCTTTGGGAAAATGAGCTAGAATTACCTCTTAAAATGTAGGGATGCCAACAAGGGGAAAACAGGATGTTTACTACAAAATGGATTTCATTTCTTGCAATTGCCTGGCTTACACTTATTCATAAAAGTGTCAGCATTTTAAACATATCTTGACCACTAGATGCTATGGAAGGCAGTCACATTCAAAGTTCAGACTACAGACTTACATCTTTACACTGATCTAGTTTCTTAATTGCTTCATATTCTTGAGTTATGGTCTGGGGGAAGAAGCCTTTGCCTCTGTCTTCTTCATATTCTGCTTTGTAGTTTTTCTATGAGGAGGAGAAATCAGGCATAAGATGCAGCCACTGCATTCATGCCCTAAGAAAAATGTTATTTGAAAAGTCAAACAATTATTTTAGAACTTACATCACTGTTTTGAGCTGCGACTTTCATGCAGTGTGAATGGTATGGATCCTCAAAGCTGCCTACATAATGTCCCAAAATAGTTTTTAAGTAGGAATCTTTGTATTTGTTCTGAAAGACAAAACATATTTCATTTATTAATTGGTGAAATAGTGGATTCTTTTTTTAGCAGAAGGAGTGACAGTAAGATCGCTTACATCACTACTGAAGTTCTGCAGAACAGTATCGAGCTTAAATTTGGGGGTCTCGCAGTAATTTATGCTCTTTGCCTTTGTCTTTTCATAGTTTTCCTTGTATAGTTTCTGTCAAAGAAAAAAAATCAGTTAAAGTAGGTTCCTGTCACTCCCATGCTGATTATAACACTTATATTTTCTAACACTAAACAAAAGATGAAGAAAAGATATCATCTGTCAACTGTCTTAAAAACTGACAATTGAGGACAAGCACAGTAGATCATGCCTGTAATCCCAGCACTTTGGGAGGCCGAGGCAGGCAGATCACGAGGTCAGGAGTTTGAGACCAGCCTGGTCAACAAAGTGAAACCCCCTCTCTACTAAAAATACAAAAAATTGGCTGGGTGTGGTGACATGCACGTGTAATCCCAGCTACTTGGGAGGCTGAGGCAGGAGAATCTCTTGAACCTGAGAGGCAGAGGTTGCAGTGAGCTGAGATCATGCCACCGCACTCCAGCCTGGGTGACAGAGCGATACTCAGTCTCAAAACAAAACAAAACACCTGACAATCGAACATGGAGTGTCATGAATCATAAGACTGTTCATTTAGCAATTATTATAAAGCCTAAGTTTCACACATTCCAAACTCTTAAAAATTAAGAAACCAATATGCTACCTCTGACCAAGCCCTTAGTAGCAGGGATTTGTGTGTATTTCTGAATTACTGCCCTCTCTGCCTTTCAGCTCCCATACTCTTTCCTCACTGATAATACCACAGCAAACATGGAGATTTTGACCAATCGCAAGTTGTTTAATTTTTTTAAACAAACTTTCATGAAAAAGTTATATAAGAAATATACAATCTCCCTCCTTATAATAAAATCTCTTATTATACAAACAATTTGCCTTAAAAATAAGATGTACATATATGAGAACTGGTACTGTGAATTATTACTAACTCTTCTCTGCCAGGATTTACCTTTAGCTTGAAGAACAACAAGAAGCAATGGTTAGTTTAAATATGCCACTGATAGAGCAGATTATTGTCACTTTTTCATTCTGGGTTTTCAAAATGTAAATGATGCTATTCTTATTTTAGATTTTTAGATTCCTATCACACACTAGGGTCTGTTGGGGGGGACGAGGGGAGGGACAGCATGGGGTAGGGAGGTTGGGGAGGGATAACATGGGGAGAAATACCAGTTATAGGTGATGGGGGGATGGAGGCAGCAAACCACATTGCCATGTATGTACCTATGCAACAATCCTGCATGATCTGTACATATACCCCAGTACCTAAAGTACAATTTAAAAAACTATATATATATACACACCCACATATGTATATATTTAATTATTTATAAAGATTTTTAGATTCCTGTCTTTATCAACAAAGGAAATTTGAACTGGGGCTTTTAGATGTTTAATAAGGATGGTTTTCACTTAGAGAGCACAGCTGCTTTTACACTATTGGTGGGTATGTAAATTAGTACAAGCACTATGGAAAACAGTATGGAAACTCCTTAAAGAACTAAAAGTAGAACTACCATTCAATCAGGCAATCCCAGTACTCGGTATCTACCCAGAGGAAAAGAAATCATATGAAAAAGACACATGCACATGCATGTTTATAGCGGCACAATTCATAATTGCAAAGATGTGGAACCTAAGTGCCCATCAGCCAACAGGGGAGAATGAAAACGTGGTGTATATACAACATGGAATGCTACTCAGCCACAAAAAAGAATGAAATAATGTCTTTTGAAACGACTTGAATAGAGCTGGAGGCCATTATTCTAAATAAAGTAACTCAGGCGTGAAAAGCCAAATGTCGTATATTCTCACATATAAGTGGGAGCTAAGCTATGAGGACACAAAGGTATAACATGATATCATGGACTTTGGACACTTGAGTGGAAGGTTGGAGTGGGAGTGAGAGAGAAAGGACTAGTATTGCTTATAGTGTACACTGCTCAGGTGATGGGTGCAGCAAAATCTCCGCAACCAATGCTAAAGAACTTTTCCATGTCACCAAGAACAACCTGCACCCCTAAAAGCAACCGAAATAAAATGCTTTTAAAAAGAAAGCAAAAGCGTTTTGCACTGATTTTCCAGCAGAGCTATTTGGTCAGATTCATTTATACTCTCTCACTTGCCTCTTTCCCCACCTGCTCCCCAATCACAAACACGTATTTCCTATGCTGCTGAGTTTAAGGGACAAAGATCACTAACCCACACAGACAGCTGCATAAAATCCACAAATATTAGGAAAGTTTAATGCAAACCTAACCATAGGAGATAAACTCAAGTTATCACATATTCAATCTCAATCTCTCTCTCTCTCTCTCTCTGGCTGTCTTTTAACGCCTAGCCCAGTCTCATTTGCCTCATCTGTTTTAAATTGAACGGCTTAGTCGGGCTCTTAATAATTGCACAATTAGAATGTCCTGTGAAGATTTAGGGGCCCATCTTTTAAGTTCTGCTGTTGGAAAATGATGGTTTCTGAGGCCAAGATCTATCTTTGAAAGTCTCCTTCTGCCTCTGTCAAAATCACAACACATCTACAATGTGGAGGCCCAGGTGCCCAGAGCTCATAAGCACATGAGAATGTCCCTGCCCATTGAATTAACCCCACAGAACCACAAACATTAAGGCACATTATACTCAGAGGAACTCATGCCTTTCTGTGGTTAGATAGTTCCAATGAACCTACCACTCCATAATCTTAAAGTATTTGCAAAGTTATATATGCATTTAGTCATTAGATGAGAAAATTTTCATCTCTTTTGCAGCTAAGGTTTAAAAACACTTCTTGACAAAAATATACTTACATCACTTAGGGCATTTCCTGCCGCCTTCAGCTGCTTAAGCAGTGGGTTCTCTGAAGCAGGAAGCACATTATAATCTGCTTTGCCTTTATTCTTTTCATAGTCTTCTTTGTATTTTACCTGTAGGAGTGAAATAAAATGATAAAGTAACTCTCTGGGTTATTTTTGCCCCGTCTCTATTATGGATATTCTGACATACTTCCACAAATCAATTTTCTCTTTAGAAAAATGGCAGCTTGACGTTTTATAAACAAAATACTCATAGTAACTCATAACAGCAGAGGAGAAACTGCATAAATTTCTAGCATGCTTTTTCTTCCCATTCCTTTATTCATTTCAAATTATCCACAGGGTGTCAATTCTGTGCCCGGTTTGAGGACAGATATAAGAAAGAACAACACATTGTCTTTGCCCTCAAAGAGAGAGATACAGAAATAATGGGAGAGAGAAAAAGATGAAAATAGCGACCGTGCAAGACACCCCAGATACCTACTGCTGTAGAACCTTCACTCAGCTCTTAACGCCCAGCTACCTATCTGCCAACACGCTCCTAAAGAAAGGAAGCGAGAAGCACCACTAATCCACCCTTTTATGCCTCACCTGCGATGGTACGTGGAGCACACATGTATTCAATGTACAAGTAGGAGGACGAGGAAGGAGTGGGGAGAAGGAAGCTTGTTTTCCCTTCTGCCCTTCGCATTTGCACCTTTAATTCCAGCTATGGCAGGAGCAGCAAGTTGAGGGGTATTAGGGGAGAATAGAGAAGACGGGGTTCACAAGCCCCCACCAGAACCCTGTCCACAGGGATTAGAACAAGAAATCGATCCTGGTTCCCACCATAATCCCCACTGTAAGCCCTTTATTCAGGCAATATCACCACAGAAGCTCAAGGAATCCTAGATAAACCCAAGACTTATGAGCCTCAGAAAACAAAAGCAATCAGCTTGATTTCCAAGGGCAAGAGACACATAACAGAAGCACAGAGGCATCCACCCCTCAGCCTCCACAGAGCATCACAGGGGTATGCTACAGGAGTGAGGGACTCAGAATGCTTTTCTACATTAGAGAATTACCTGTTTCCTTGAAAAACAGAAACAACTAGAAAGCAGATTCACAAACTGTACTATCCCCCTACCTGCAGCTGGGATACGCAGCCTTCTCCCCTGTTAAACAGATGAGCTGCCAGGGATTGTGGCAAAGCCATCACCGCCTCTCGAGCACCAGATCTCTTCCCCTTCCATCTACTCTAGGATATCACCCCAGCCATTCTTCCCACTTCCAACATCACCAAATCTTCCCTCTCTACTGGATTCTTTCCATCAGCATGATGTTTTTGTTTCCTATCTCAAAAAGTCCCTCTTTACCCACCTTTTCATCAGCTACTTGCCCATTTTCTTCTTTGCCTACCAGGGAAATACTTAGAGTGGAATATACTTGTATCTTCAATTTCCCTCTTTTCATTCACTCATGAATCCTCTCCAAGCAGACTCAGCCAAATTGCTCTTGTTCAGGTCACCAGAGACCAGGCATTGGTAAATCCATTTCAGAGACATTTGACACAGTTGGTGATTCCCTTTCCCCTTCACTAGCTTGCCAATGTTATTTCCCTCTCCTGTTTTGTTCTCTCTTGTCTCACATATAAGTTCTTGTGGAAGAACCCACAGTTCAGTCCCTACAGCTTCCCATTTACACACACTCCCTTGATACTCTCCAGATTCATGGCAGGAAACACTTTCTGTTTGTGGATAACACCCCAGTTTATACAACTTTCCATATATCTCTCCTGAAACTTCAGGCTCAGGTAATCAACTGACCACTGACACTTCCATGTGGATATCTAAAAGACATCGCATCTCAAATCTACCATGTATGAAGATGAGCTCCTGTCTGTCCTCCAAAAAAATTACCAACTTCTTCCATAGTCTTCCCTGTCACAATAAAGGGAAACCCCATTTACCTAACTGCTTAGGCCAAAACCTGCATCATCCAATATATCAGCAAATCAGATCTGCTTTCAAAATTCTTCTCATCACCTGCCCTGCTACCCTCCTGGTCCAAAACACCACTGTCTTACACGTGGATACTATAATAGCCTTCTAAGTGATGTAATCCTGCTTTCTCTCCTCTGGCACAGCCAAGGCCAGGGTTAGAACCAAGTGTGTTTGGCTTCAAAGTTTATGCTCTCTTTAGTGACCATCAGACTATTCACCAAAGTCACTCGATAGAGCGTATGGAAATATATATGGATTTATGAACCTGTGACTAGGTTTTTCTGTAGTCAGTGAGAAAATAAGAAAAACAATGATAGTATTGAACGTATGAGTGCCTATCTTCATATAAGGTTATCAATTGCCTCTTTCTGGGGGGAGAAGTCCTGCTCTCTAAGATTACACTCTTTCTACTTCTAAATAGCAAAAGACCTTTTCAGTGAGAAGACACTACATCAGTTTGATAAATGTACAGTTTGGTTCCTCAGGCAAATAACAAATTATTCTAGGAAACACTGAAGATAGTAATTAGATATTATTAATGCTCATACATGGCCAAACATTTTGAAGTAGCCCTATGATAATTCCAAAGTACTTTTGTTGTTGTTCTTGTTGTTTCAATTCTACTCTTCTTCAAACGCCTCGCATTCGCCGATCTCAACCCTGGTAGTTCCCCCAAGAACCACCCTTCCCCCTTTTTACTAGTTTTATACCAGAGCCAAAATTACAAGAAATCCATCCACCATCAAACCATCAAGATAAATGGGATGATTTCCTCGTACCTTGCTAGCTGCCACACCAGCTTTTTTATTCACTTTATACTCTGGTGTTTCAGTCTGCATGAAGTAGATCTGGTCTTTCATATTTTCAAAATCTTCCTGATATTTCCTCTGTAAGACATTAAACAAGCTAAAGAACTGCTGTGAAAACAAACTGTACAAGGGTTTACATGAGAAGACACAGGGATTTGGAAAAGTTACCCAAAGTCACCCTGTCCTTGGTTTAGGCTGATCAGATTAGAATTAGAGATTGTGGTATCATTGCAAAAATGATTAGCAATTTTTAACAGAGATTTAGAACAATTAGAAAGGCTTTTCTTGGCTACTAAGAAAGAGCTCTTAAGGGCCAGGAGCAGAAAACTTAAAAGAAAAGAAAAACAATAGTTAGATTTATGTTTTCCAGTGAGGAGACACTAAATTAATCAATCCCATACCCATAGAGTTTGGCACCTCAGGCAAAGAATAAATTAAAAAGAGTCCTTTAACTTGTACTAACTGCACTTTGTAGTCAGTAAGAGGGTCTCACCATAATGTGCCTGTGAAAATTGGGGTAGAAATAATGGCATTTGACCAAAATAATATTTCTCAAAAGGAAAGAGAGTTTGTGAGATTTCTTTCTTAACAGGAACTCTATACAAGATCTTGCCCCAAGAAGAGGGACCTCAAGTGTTCTGACACCCCTTTGGGTAGAGCAGGTGGCCAGAAGTCACTAAGGAAAGGGGTCTTCCTCCCAGGACGACTGACCCTGGCCAGCCCTTCTCACTTACTGTGCTGATGTTTTCAGCATTCATTCTGGCATTTGCAACTTCAAAGCAAGGTGTCTCACTCCATTTGCCTTTGATTTTATTTTCATAGTCTTGTTTGTATTTTTGCTAGAAAAAAGAAAAAGAAAAAAAGGAAAAGACAAGCACAACTCATGAATTGGCAAATAAGGCAGCAAATTAAGAAATAATGATTAACTTTAAAAAATATCTTCTGCAAGCCATTCTTAGGTCCTTAATAAATGTCTTTTAAAAAGTCTTCCAATGTAGTGTCAATTTACCCAACCAGAAAGTTGGGTGAGGGGGCATAGAGAACGGAGAAAGAGGGTACTAATGCCCCCTTCCCTTGCTGAGTTTGGGGACTTCATTTATTCAGAACTTGCAGATGTCCCCTGATGTTTAAAGAAATAGAGTCAGAAGTCATCCTCTATTTATATTTCAGAGTTACAATACAACCTATCAACCTGAAATTTCTATGTCAAATGAACTCAGTCATTAATTTCTAAGCTTCACCAAAACCCCTAGTTATTCAGAAAGCAATAACCACAATAAAATTCAACTTGCAGGCTAACGAGTAGACCTTCTAGTTTAGAGCTAAATTTAATAGGAACTAGAAAGTAATTCAAAAATTGAATTATTGCCCCAATTGACTCCCAAACACCACTCCATCTGAATCCCAGTCTGTACACTCCTAGAAGGGAGAGGTGCTGTATCATCTTTGCTTTCTTATCCTCAGAACCCAACATAAAATGCAGCACACAGAAGTTACCTCATAAATGTTTGTTCAACCACACTAAACCGAGAGTTAACCAAGCTAACCCTAAACCTGGGCTCATGAGCCAGAGCCCAAGCTGAGTTAGAGCAATTTTCCCTCCATGGTTCATAAAAATGTGTTAACAGACATAACTAATGGGTCTCAAGGCACTGGCATGTGCCTACATCTCCATAATTCCCATTAAGGGAAAAGAAAGTGTCTTTCTGGTATACCTTTAACAGAAGAACTAAAGGTGAATGATGTGCAGAGTCAATGAGCTTGGGTTAAAGGAAGCTTAGCCATCACTCAAATGCCTAATTTCCTTTCTTCTCAAAAGGTTAGTATGCAAAATAATAGCCAACTGGTTTTTGTAGCTATAAATTTTAGAGTCTTGGGCCTGGGTTTAAACTCTGGGAAGAAGACCTAACTTTGTCATGACCAAATGTGTTATTTAGCCTCTCCAAGATTCTGTTGTCTCAGCCACAAGTGCTGGTGATAATATTTACAGAGAGGCCTGCTGGGAAGTTTAATAAGATCATTCGCTGAAGAGTGCTTTGTAAACCCCACAGTGCTAAGCAAATGTAGGATATGACAATTGTAATAATAATAATAGCTATCATTATTGTCATCATCATAACAGAAAGTCAGAAACTCTGTAAGAAAGAAAATTGTATGTGCAGGGAGGGAAAAGTTCTTCAGTGGAAATCTTTGCTAAGATGAGATGCATGTTATACTGCTGATTGATTTACCTGCACTTTGTTTTGAAGATTTAAAGAACTGAAGTCAATAAAATTGATTTTTGGATTTTCTAAGACTACTTATAGAAATGTTTCTAATCTTTTTTTTGGAAACAGACCTCTTCAAGAAATTGAGAAAGCTATAAAATGCTCACAAACAGTTATAACTTCAGAGGTTCTTGATGTACATATACCTCAGGTTAGGATCTCCTAATCTATCATTTTTTGGAGGGACGTGGCCCTACCTCCTGCTTGCTGTTAAAGGAGAAAAACCTTGGGTTTGGGAAGGGGCAATTGGGCCTGATCCCCAAAACTGAGATACTTTGAAATATAATTTAAATTTGAGAAGGTAGCAGATATTCTTAATGAGGTCTATATGTTGGACATTTATCAAGAAACAGGCATTGTATATGTAGATTTGTTAAGGATAATTGAGCAGGAGACTAATTCTCATAGTGAGGGATGGATGTCTGGTTTTTAAGAAGATATTAAAACCATGCAAAACAATAGTGTAAGATCACTCAACCCCCTCATCCAAAGTCCTTCCGTCTTTCTTAATCTTCACAGACATATCCAGGTCCGCAGGTATCTCCTCCTACCCAGTAGCTGAAATGGGTCAGGGTGGAGATAGAGCTCTCACAATCCACTTCTGATCACTGCCAAGTCTGGGAAGATTTTCATGATACAGGAGGAGGCTGGAGCTTGACCACTGAGGAAGTTATGGCCTTCTGCCTCATTTGTGGGTAGGACAGAAGTTGAAAGGACAAAGGTCCATAGGTGGAGGAGTGAGAAGAAAAGAGAGGTATGTGTCCACGCGGGACCCTCTCTACCAGCCAAGGGGTCTCACTCTGCACATCTGAGAGTAAGGCCAGAGTTTTTGTACAATACATGGAGACGGATTACCCATATTAGGGTCCAACATCCAACCTTCCCAACATCCAAACGCAACAGAGTTGGAGAGAAAGGTTAGGGGAAAACCTTTCTCTTCAAACTCTGTTATATTTGCAGTTGATGGAAACTTGGAAGAAAGCGTCAGTTTAACTTCTCTAGAAATTTTTGGTTTGTTTAACAGAGGAAAGTATGTCAGGTCAATTACAAGCTCTGGGACACCTTCTCTGGGTAAGAGGGTGACCATGTGTCCATAGATACAGTAAGCTTGTTTCCCTTCTCCTCAGAGGTCAGCTGAGGGGACTTCCGTGGGGCCATAAACTGGGTACCCTGCTGTCTTGCTTAAACGCATGGCTTCATTATCTACTTTCAAAATCCGCATCTGTAATTTTTATGTGGCCATCAAATGGAAAGGAATACGAAGGCAGTTAATTACCCTTTTCTTCTGTGAGTAGCTAAGCACTGGGACTCCTGATGGTTCCATTCATAGAAAAGTTATCCCTGCAGAAAGGGTATAAAGAACCCAGCTGGTATTTTTATTGCCCACAGTGGGCCCAATGCTGTCTGCTTGACTCAATCAAATCTCTTCTAGTGAAATCAATGGAAATCTTCCCAATTCTATGTGATAGAAGAATTTCCATGGTATTAGAGGACCAGAGCCTGGTTTCTTCATGCTGTGTAACAATATGTTACTGAAAGATGATTATTTTTTTAAGTTTAGGCTCCAGTTGGTATCAATGGGAAATTCCAACCTGAAATCTTCTATTTTTTCTTTTGTAGCTCTGGAAGGGAGCAGAGAGGCAGGTACAGAGAAACTAAAGGGACTTCCCCATCTTCTATTCAGGGCCCCACTTTCAGCTGGTTATGGGGTACATAGTTTCCCCACCTGGAAGGCCTGTTTCAATGAACAACTCTGCCTGTTCATCTATGTTAGAGCTACAAAATACAGCTGAGACAGAAGGAAGTAAGTAGCTGATGGCTTTGGCCAAAGGCAAAGGTGAGAGAATTGATTCTGACAGGTGTAGTAAGAAAGGCTGGCAAATGGCATGTAACATTAGTGTAATCACTGCAGATATGCAATTATTACCATCTGAATTGGGAGCTGTAAGAAAAGGATGTGAGGATGCGCAGAGAGCTCCACCCAAAATATGGCTCTCTAGTATAATGAGTATTTTGAATTAAAGGCCCTTAGAGATTGATGGAAGCTTGGAAGCTAGAAGAGACCTTTTTCTATCTACATAAAGACCAGACAGTCCCACTAAGGAGAACAATTGTTTCCTCCTAATACCCCCCCGCCCCACCCCTGCCGCATCCTATCTCTCCCTTTAGCTGATATTATTACTCCACAGGGCAAAGCCAGTTCTGGCAATGCTTTCAATGTATCCAACATTGTCACCTTGCCCACCTAGAATGGTGCCATCCAATGCATACGTAATGCAAGTCATTCTCATAGCCACATTTTTAAATCCTCTACCTCTCCCAAAGCACAGGTTCAAGTTTGCTTATCTGCCTAAGATCCGGACCTACGAAAGAAGAAATCAATTGCCTCTGGCCCCTTCTCTGAGTTTTCAACTGAATCTATATTTCAGGAAGGAAGACTAAAGTCTGTCAACAAACCTGGACAAACTTTGGTCAAAAAGTCATTGTTCGCTTTGTGAGCCCAACAGGCTTCACCCCAGACTACTATATGTTCTTCAAACCTACTGAATTCTCCCTAGTGATCATTTCTTGCCCCTTAACAGAATTCTTCTTCTCCCCATTCCCAATAACCTATTTTGCCAGAATCCAAGTTCCTAGTCTTTCTGTAACTTCATAAGCTTCAGCACCTCCTGGGGAGCTAGGGCTTCATTCTGAAGGCTCCTGTGTGAACACATTAAATAAATTTGTATGCCTTTTCTTCAATCAATCTGCCTTTTGCAAAGTTGATTTTTCAGCCAAACTTCAGTGGGCCAAGGAGGACCCCTTGGCCCCAACAGATGGATCTGAGCAACATGATTCAACAAGGGGATATTGAGTTTAAATGCATGCGAGTAAGTAGATAAAGGAGACTTTAATCCTATTTTAGGGAGGAAGAGGACATGATGCTGCTGCAACATGGGTCAAGGCATCTTGAGAGTGAGGAGGGAAGACAGTACCAGAGGTAAGTCACTTTGAGAAGCCCTGTGCCTCCCTTGTGGGATGGTTTGTTGTTGGGGACTTCTACCAATCCCAAGCATTTCTCCCCAACACACCTATTACTTTGGATGCACAAGGCATTAAAGAACTCAGAAATCTGGGTAAGACTGGGAATAAATACTGTCACCATGGCCAGATCTAGTGATTTTTTCACAGCCACCTTCCCCTTAGCTCATATTACTACTCCACAGGGCAAGGCCAGTTCTGGCAATGCTTTCAATGTATCTAACATTGTCACCTTGTCCACCTAGAATGGTGCCATCCAATGCATAAATAATGCATGTCATTCTCAAAGCCACATTTTTAAATGTAGAAACATGTGAGAAATAACTTTCATAATACAGTTTACTGAACCAAGTAAATCTGAAATATTAACATTCCAACATGTGATCAATATTAAATATTAATTTGAAACATTCTTTTATTCATAATTAAGTATCCAAGATCCAGTGTCTATTTCTCACATATTGGACACTAAGTGTTAGGGAATAAATGTCTGTGTCTCCATCCCCCAGTTTCATATGTTGAAGCCCTAACTCTCAAGTACCATGTGATTGTACTTGGAGGTAAGGGCCTTTGGAAAGCAATTAAGTTTAGGTGACGTCATGAGGGTGGGAACCCCATAATGAGATTATTGTCATTATAAGAAGAGGAAGAGACCAGAGTTGCTCTGCGTCTCCACTGTGTGAGGACACGATGAGAAGGCAGCTATCTACAAGCCAGGAGGGGGTCTCTCACCAGGGAGTGAAACTGTGATCTTAGACTCCCAGCCTCCAGAACTGTGAGAAAATAAATGTCTACTGTTAAGCCACCCAATGTATGGTATTTTGCTGCAGAAGCCCAAGTTGACTCATATACTTAGTTTATACTGATCAAAGTCAGGTGCTTCCTAGTCACATTTGGCTAGTGGGTTCTGTGCTGAAGAGTGCAGTGCTAAACCAACTGGCAAGTCTAAATTGGTGGAGAGAATGATTATAGAGGAGTTCAAAAGTAATTTTCCAAAATCACTTTTAAGGCAGGGGAATTGCTTGAACCAGGGAGGTGGAGGTTGCAGTGAGCTGAGATTGCACCGCTGCACTCCAGCATGAGACTCTGTCTCAACAAAACATATTTAAATAAGGCAAAAGAATATTTCTTTAGTAAAGAAACATTCTTTTAAAATAGACTTTAAATAAAAAATTAAAAATAGATTTTTATTTCTAAATGACTACTTGAAAACACCTTTTTATTTTTCTTCCAAGAAGATAAATTATCCTTCTCCCCCATCTTATTTATAATATCAACACTTTTTTTTTTGAGACAGAGTTTTGCTCTTGTTGCCCAGGCTGGAGTGCAGCGGCGCACTCTTGGCTCACTGCAACCTCCACCTCCTGAGTTCAAGCAATTCTCCTGTCTCAGCCTCCCAAGTAGCTGGGATTACAGGCACCCGCCACCATGATTGGCTAATTATTTGTATTTTTAGTAGTGATGGGTTTTACCATGTTGGCTAGGCTGGTCTCAAATTCCTGACCTCAGGTGATCAACCCACCTCAGCCTCCCAAAGGGATTATAGGCGTGAGCTACCCTACCTGGCCAATATCAATACTTTCAGTGGACCATGTATTTATGTACAGTTCTAAAGTTAATTTCTGCTTAGCCTCGGGAAAAATTTCAGATTGGTAGTATTCTTATTTGTGAATTTTTACTATACTTACTAGGTCCTTTATTCAAACAGCTCACAGTTAGGTAATCTGCAATATCAAACACTGACAAACATCACTGAATAGACATCATCTTCCATACTATTTCATCCTTCCTTACTAGATACTTTACTCAGAAAATGCTTAAGATAAAAATCTTGAGGTTTCATCAAAATTCAAGCAGAAGAACAAACTGCTCAACTCCACAGAGGGCAAGATAAAGTATTTAAAAGCAGCAGTATCCCAGGAGAAAGTGGCCTGATTTGGACCAATTTAAAATAGGAATTGAGCATGGGCCTATTCATCAGCGGAGCATCTGTCTCTGCATTCCTCATCAGAGCCACATTACCCAGAGCTAGTTTATTAGCCTAAATATAGGCAGACTAAGCTGTTTGCTAAGGCAAACAGCTTAAAAGTTATGAGGTCCACTGCTCACTGCTGTTAACTAAGGTATGTCTGAGATACATTCTTATTTTTATAAGTCTGACTGATAGGATAAAACTATACAAGGTTGGCTGGGCCCGGTGGCTCATGCCTGTAATTCCAGCACTTTGGGAGGCCAAGGCAGGCAGACTGCCTGAGGTCAGGAGTTCGAGACCAGTCTGGACAACATGGTGAAACCCCATCTCTACTAAAAACACAAAAAATTTAGCTGGGCATGGTGGCACACACCTGTAATCCCAGCTACTCAGGAGGCCGAGGCAGGGGAATTGCTCAAACCAGGGAGGAGGAGGTTGCAGTGAGCCGAGATTGTGCCACTGCACTCCAGCACGAGGCTCTGTCTCAACAAAACTATACAAGTTCTTCACCATGAATTTAAACCAGCTCTTCAAGGAAGTGTGTGCTTATTTGGTGACTCTGTAGTATTACTGCCATAAGTGAAAATGTCAAGTGACATTAGGATGTGGCTTCTGTTTTTAAAAGGTGACATTCACATTTATCAACCACTGAGTCATCAAGCTGGCCAAACATTCATTAACATAGTTCATGACATTTATGGATGTATTGCGTTTGCTGTAGAGTTTTTGGGGATCATATGTAAAAATACTCTGAGTGTTTGTGTTTCATCTTCAGGCTCACCTTTAGTAACCTTCCCGATAGCTGAAATGATTAAGCAGAGTTTTCAAGAGAGGGAGAGTCCCGGCTCTATTTACTTACCTTGCTCACTTGATTGGTTACTTTCTTGGCAAATTCTATATCTGGAGGATCGGCTAGAGGCGTGAATTGAGCCTGCTGTTCAGCGAGACCTTTTTTGTAGGCAACCTGATGAAATAAAAGACAGGGATGTATTTTAAAAACGATTATGCTTTCATCTTTATTTGAAGTCTTAAATTTTAGTGTAACATGTTATCATAATTTGTCCTTCTAGATGTCACATACCCTTGCTCTCAGTACTGCTGGTGATTTCTATTTTGTTTAATTTTCTTCCCTCCTCCTCAGGACTCATGACCCTAGATCTGCTTTCTTCCCTTTCTTTCCACACCATGGTTCGCAATTTCAATTATTCTCTTAACCAGCATCTTTAACTCCCAACCCCTTGTCTTTTTATCACACTCACTTAATAAAACCCCGGCCTTAGATCAACTTGACCATATACTTCCTCTGTTCTTATGCCTAGGATGCTGAATGCCACAGGAGAAAACGGGTGCCTCACGCCTGTAATCCCAGCACTTTGGAAGGCTGAGGCGGGCGGATCGCCTGAGGTCAGGAGTTTGAGACCAGCCTGGCCAACATGGTGAAACCCTGTCTCTACTAAAAATACAAAAACTAGTCAGGCATGGTGGCAGGTGCCTGTAAACTCAGCTATTCGTGAGGCTGAGACAGGAGAATTGCTTGAACCTGGGAGGCGGAGGTTGCAGTGAGCCGAGATTGTGCCACTGCACTCCAGCCTGAGTAACAGAGTAAGATTCCATCTCAAAAAAAAAAAAAAATAAGAAAGAAAAGAAAACCCACAACTCCATGGATCAGGCAGTGCTAACAAGGTAAATAGGCGTAAGAGGGACACAGGAAGAAGGTACAGGGCGGGGCGCCTCTGAACTCCAAGACTTAGCTTGAAATCTACGTGTCTGCCCAGTGGTGGGTTCTGTGAACAACAGCTTGCTTGGGGCTCTGTTCCCAATACTCTATGACCTTATGGTGTACAAATGCCACTTTGTTTTCAAGGAAACTTGCACAGCTCATTATGAGTCTCTGGTTAGTTCCTATTCTCAGAGGCCAGTCTAAAACCTCAAGACTGTCCTTAAGCCCACAATCAATTCCACCTTACTCTCAGCTTCCTCTTTCATAGAGTAAAGAAATGCTACACACTTACCTTCTCCGTATTCATCCCTCCTCTCCCACCCCTGCCCTGGATCAGAGAAGAAACATCCCTCACAGCGAATGGCTCCTGCACCCATGCTGCGGCCCCTTCCAGTACATCCTTTTGCACCCAGCTCTCTCAGTCAGCCCTCCTCTTTCTCACAACTCCAACCTCTCCTCCTTCATTAGCTCCTTCCCTTCAGCCTATACAAGACTTCTAACACCTTAAAATAGGTATGGTACCTATGAGTCATGCATATCATTTTCTCTTGCCTTACTTTCTTTCTTCCTTACTGACTCCTCCGGCTTTTTATTCCACCAGACTTGGCCCCGGCTTCCAACAATGCAGAACTAGGCACAGATCCCCAGACATACGAGGCCCTCAAATGCTTCAGGACCTCGTACATGCTGTTCCCTCTCCCATCTGTCTGCAAACCGCTGTTTCCTCTCCATGGCTCAGGACAAGCATGACTCCCCTCCCAAACCTTCCCTGACTCCTGAACCAGATGCAATGACCTTCTCCTGGGACCTCATTCAGCTTGGTCCTTAGCCCCTTTAAAGGGGTCATCAGATGACTCTGTAATTTGTTGTTTACATGTCTCTTTCCTCTTGGACTGTGAACTCTGGGATGGCAAAGATGTCCTATCCTTGGGAACCCTTGTTGTCTGCATAGTTTCTGGCTAGAGCAAGAGTCAAGGACTGATATCTCAATGTGTGTCTTACACACTGAGGCCATGGCGGGGGATGCCTCAAGAGGAGAATTATCCTCATGCTCTTCAATGACACAACTGTGAGATTTCTACAGATTATTTTCCCTTCCACGTGGCAGTATTCTTATTTATCAAGCAAAGCAGTTGAATAATCCCAAGGTTCCAATCATCTTTATACTTTAACCAAGTCTAACTATATCTTATTCCAGTAATACCCACCTAGTGCCTATAACAAAAGCTTTCGTGGGCATCAAATCAACTGGGATACAAAAGATAGATTTTGAAATGTATTTACACAAATTCCACTGCTTAAATTCTTTTAAATAAGTTAAGCCAGCTACAGTGACTCACGGTTATCCCAGCACTTTAGGAGGCAAAGGCGGATAAATTGCTTGAGCTCAAAGGTTCAAGACCAGCCAACCAAGGAAACATGGTGAAACCCTGTCTCTACCAAAAATACAAAAATTAGCCAGGCATGGTGGTGTGCACCTGTAGTCCCAGCTACTTGGGAGACTAAAGCGGGAGGGTTGCTTGATTGTGGGAGGTGGAGGTTGCAATAAGCCAGGATTATATTACTGCACTCTGGCCTGCGTGACAGAGTGAGACCCTGTCTCAAAAAAAAAACAACTGAAGACTTTATTTTAGGCATAGGACAACAAGATTTTTCATGGCTGGTTAAGTCCTTAGGGAAAAAGCAACATTTGAACAGGAGAATGCTTATTAAGTCTGACATTCTGCCAAGAAGTTTCAGACAAATCAGATCTAGAAGTCCTGATTTGTCAGGAACCTTCTTCAGAATTCTGCTTAGTTAGAATTCTGTTGTTACGGAGAAAAACAGCAGAAGTTAAAAAAAAAAAAGTTCTGTACTCTGCGTCAGCTTAAAGACTCTATGTGTGTGCAAAGTAGTTTGTCTCTACTTAGGTAATAAGGAAAACATGATAATTAGGGTTAAGAAAGACATAGGAAGAAGGTACAGAAGAGGTAGCGACAGCCTCTAAACCCAAGTCCTTAGCTAGAAATCTATGTGCCTGCCCAGTGGTATGTTCTGCAAACAACAGCTTGCTTAGGGCTCTGTTCCCAGTAATTGTAGAAGTTCACAGTGCTGACAGCAGTATTAATAGGCATGTCAGTAATCTGACACTGAGTGCATACTTGGTCTGCAATAAAAGTAAAAGCTATGCCTTAACTGCCACATCTTTTTGAGGAATAGGAATAGCAAGGAAGACTTTACTTCATTATTGTACATTCTCTTTCATTACGTCTTCTACTGTAATCGCTCAAAACATGTGGCCAATTTTAATTGTTTAAAGTCCATAGCATTAGAATGGCATGAAGGTAACCCTTCATCTCTCCATTTGATAGATGAAGGGAGAGAGGAGATTAAGTGTCTTCTTGGAAACCTCTCCCAGGCTTACATGACATGGCATTTCCTGGTTCACCTTCAACTTTTCTATTTGTTCTCTCATGCTTTGGCTGGCTCCTATTCAGTCCTAAGTGTGGGTGTCCTCCAAAACTGTGCCCTTGGCCATGCGCTCTTCTGCCTCCCTCATAGATGTTCATGTCTTCAACCATCACTTTGTTCTGATGACTCTCAAATATTAATTTCTTGCCCTGGTCTCATACCTGAGCAAGTGTACTAACTTTCTAATTTATCCATAGGATGCCTTGATCTGAATGTTCCTTCAATCATCTCAATTCTATTTCTCTTTCCATGAATGCATCTTTAACAGCTGTGCCCCTACTCACCCAGACCACCAGTCTACAGTCCGAAGCTCCTCTATGGATTTTTTTCTCTTTTTTGTCTCCAATATGCAATGCCATTCATGCTTATTAATACTTATTACTCTCAGATTCCTTTCTTCCTCCCCTTTGCCCTAATTATTACTAAAATAGATTTTTCCAAATTACCCAGTTTTTCCTAATCTCAATCTACCATATTGCCCATCAAAATTACTCCAGATTCTTTTTTTTTTTTTTTTTTAAGACAGAGTTTCGCTCTTGTTGCCCAGGCTGGAGTACAGTGGTGCTATCTCAGCTCACTGCAACCTCTGCCTCCCAGGTTCAAGCGATTCTTCTACCTCAGCCTACCAAGCAGCTGAGATTACAGGCATGTGCCACTATGCTCAGCTAATTTTTTGTATTTTTAGTAGAGACAGGGTTTCTCCATGTTGGTCAGGCTGTTCTCGAACTTCCAACTTCAGGTGATCCGCCTACCTTGGCCTTTCAAAGTGCTAGGATTAAAGGCATAAGCCACTGTGCCCAGCCCCCAGATTCTATTTTTATCATACCGTTTTCCTCTCCAAAATCTTATGATGCTCCTTATTTCTTACCATTCCATGTCAAAGCGATTTTGTATGCCTTTCAAGGTCCTGCTCCCGGCATTCTTACAAGTGCTCTCCGAATGAGGCACTCACATGATTCATTTTTGTGGTCCTTCAAAACTCAGACCTCATTTTGCCTGTGTCCCTTTGTTCAAGTGCTCCCTCTACTCAAAATGCCTTTCTTCTTCATCACTACCCATGCCCTTGAGATCACCACCTCCACATGGCCTTCTCTGATTACTCACATGTGTCCTTTCTTGTAGCAAGTATTAGACTATTGGGTTTTGTTTCATTTTTAACTTTTTTTTTTCTTGTTTGATATATAATACTTTTATTTTACCAGCCTGATGATAAATTCTCAGAGGAAGGGATGAAAACTGCTTGTAGTACTTTTCTGTCCTTTCAGGTATGCATGCATAATAGACTTTCAATAAATAACTATGGATCACTTGATAACAGCCACACAACAATATTGTGAATACGTGAGATACAGAACCACAAAGCTAATTTTGAAAGAGAAGCAAGAAGTACTCACACATTAAAACTGGTACCATGTGCTAGATGACTTGAAAATTTTGTTAGACCTTCTCTATTTCCTAACTTACCTACTGAAGGATAGAAGCATATCTTTATTATATTTGAATTAATTACATAGAAAGTGAAATAGAAAAGACATCCACTAAATTTGCAGGTGATATTAAGAGGGTGGCATTAAAAATTAGACCTCAAAAGTTAGAGATGCCATCAAATTGGTATGTATTATTTTGATTTAGGGCAAGATCAGATCCTAGGAGACATTAGAAGTAAATTCCAGTCAGTCTGAACTGGCTTACTAAGTCCAAATTGAGTATATGAGGTTCCAGGGATCTGATCAACAACTGACTGTCAAATAACTTGTCACTTTATAATACAGTGCTCTACTGAAGACTGGAGTAGCAGTCTGGATTTTCAATATGGCCTCCGGCAGATCCAACGGTCATGCGAGAAAGTACCTGAAAACAAGGGGGAGTGCTAGCCCAAGTGTGTCTCTCTGCTGCTACTGCTGGTTTCAAACCTAAGGACTCTAGTAAGCCTTTTAAGTTCCTCTAACACACGGTTTTCAAGATCTAGGATGCCAAAATTCTGGCAAGAGGGCTCACTGATTTTTCACTAACTAAATTATCTTCTGATAGCAAGAGCTCTTTGTGGGATAATTACACAAATGTGCTTTTGGTTCGTTTGGTTGTTGTTGGTATTGTCATTGTTTGTTTATTTTTAAAATGGGGTCTCACTGTTGCCCAGGCTGGAGTGCAGCGTCTTGATCATAAGTCACAGCAGCCTTGACCTCCTGGGTTCACGTGATCCTCCTACTTCAGCCTCCTGAGTAGCTGGGACTACAGACATGCACCACCACACTTGGCTAATTTTTTAAAAATATATTTTGTAGAGATGGGGGTCTTATTTTGCTGCCTAGGCCGATCTCAGACTCCTGGCTTCAAGCAATCCTCCCACCTTGGCCTCCCAAACTGCTGGGATTACAGAGGTGTTATCACACCCAGTCATAAATATGTTTCAACAAGTACACTAGTCAGGTCCCACACACAGAAAAAGGGAGACACACCACAATTTGGACTTGATGATTAGGATGGCAAGGCACAACCCTCCCATAACACTGTTTACTTAATAGATTTGGAAAGGTGGTTATGATTACAATAGGCTTTTTAAAATTGCCACTCTGTTGTCACAGAACAACTTCAACCAGAGCCAAGGGAAAAGAAGGACTCATTCTCTAGCGGGAAGAATGCTAGTCTTGGGCTCACAAACCTGGGGTCTGCACTAACTAATGTGACCCCACATTCAGGTTTGCCACCTATAAGAAGAGGGAATTGAATTAGATTATATTTAATATAAAGTATAAATTATATCTAATTTAAATGAGACATCATAAAGCATAATGATTCTAGATCTCCTCTGAAATGTAGCATTTATTCTCTTATAAAGAAGAGTTGCTGTGACCAACTGCCCAGAAGATGTAATTCAAGTTCCCCTGACTCTGCACACCTAAATGGTGTCGCTTGCTTTTCACTTACATCACTGAGAGCTTTCTGGGCCTGGGCAACTCTCCTCAGTTCCGGGCTATCATTGTAGGGGTAAAACAAACTTTTGTCTGCTTCCCAGTCTTCGGTGTACAGTTTCTAAATCAAAAAAGAGTGAAAAGTTAGGAGGAGGTAGGGTCAGATGTACACAAAATACATAATTTTGAATTCATCCATCAATGACCTAGAGAACCAGGTGAGAGCAAAGGTAAATGAAATTGACAAATAACTTCCCCCTTTCCACCCAGCTCAAGTCATTTTTACTGATAGCATGGCCTGCTTCTCTTTCGTACTTTCAGAGGGGCAGATGGGTCCGATTTTGTTTCATCTCTTCTCTGTGACTCTACCTGCCTTCTTGTTGTTTTTTTGTTGTTATTGTTGTTGTTGTTGTTGCTGTTGTCATTGTTTATTGATAGCACTTACAAGTACTAGCACAATGTAAGGAGCCAGGAAGCACTAGTTCAGGGCAATATAGTACACTTGCAAGATGGGTCACAAAATAAACCTCTAATTAGAGTAATAGCCAGGGACATCCAAAGTATAGCACAGGGTCTACAGAAAATTTTGAGATATTACTTTGTGGCTCTCTTAGCTGGCTCTCCAGCACACCTTTATTCTCCACAGACACTCCCCTCTGCTCCCAGGTTGCTCAAGTTCCCAAAGGACCCTCTCCCCACTCTGCCTCTCAGTTCCTTTTATCAAGCCCCACCCCTGCAGTCTCTCGTGTCTCAAGGCTACTCATAAAAACATTGGGGAATTGTATTCCAGATGATCAAGAGTTCACCAAGCATTATATAAAGTGTGTGATGGGATGACATGGGGAGATAGAAGTGACCATGGAGCAGGCCCTTACCTTGCTGAACATGGCTGTGTTCTTAACAGCCTGGACAAGTTCAGGGGCATCAGGAGGAAGCAGGTACTTATCCTTGGTGTCTTCCCAGTTCTGCTTGTATAAAACCTAGATAGAAGGAGGAGAGGACCTGTGGCTTGAGGTCTCACCCAAAGGCATGAGGATTTAAACAACAAAGGGAGACTCCTGAAGGCTTCTGGCTCAAAGGCTGCTGATGTGTTACTAGGAAAACATTGACCATGCCAACATCCTATAATACTCTTCCTACAATAGTCAGCTTTTGATTTAGAATTCTAATTTCTTTCAACTAAAAATTTACCTCCTCAGCTTCTTTGGTGACACTGGGACTGTATTCCATGCAGCAACAACCTGGAGCCGAGTCACAGCTGCCTCTTTGGGCAGGGAATGGACCCTTCCAACCACCCATACATTCTACAGGCCACTTCAGTCATCTGTGCAGCCTCCCTGATGAATGCAGGTATTGACTTCATCCTGCCTATGAGGCTGGTGAGCGGGATCAGGCCTGTCCAATTTTCTCCTCTAAGACCATGCAGAGGTGATGCATATGCTACTGAGTACCCCAGCCATCAATATCGTTGCCTTACCTTACTGACTTGCTGCGACACTTTCTTTGCATGTTCAATATCCTTTGCTTTTTCGTCTACATGACAGATAGTCTTAGCAACATCACCATCCATTCGATACTTAACCTGCTCAAATAATGCACAGTTAGAATTCATGACAGCCATGAACATGTGAGTATATTAAGGAATTTCTAACAACCACAGAGCATTACCCCAATGACTCTAGGTCTGTATCACAAAGCATAGTTTCTGCATTTTAGCTGGAAAATTGTGATCTTCAAAAGAGCACCTGCATTTACTGCTTGTCTGCTTGTCTGGCTGGATTTCCAGCCTGCTGCTTCTTGGCCTTACTGTCCTACAGGGTTGAGGACCACAGTGAGTTGGAGCTTCCACTCATAGTCTCCTTTAAGCTAAATGGCTAAGCCAAGCTTTTAGAAGTCTGTTTGGTTTCACATTTACAGCAACATGATCTATGGCTGATGCTTTTCTAGATTTGTGACCTAGCTCACGGTAATTCAATTCCTTATTCTCCCAGCACATATTTGGAACCCACAATTCCCAGTAGTAGGAATGTCTCTCTCTTTTATTTCAGCAATGCAGCCCACCTCACTGAGTTGATCTTGTACTTTTTTGATTCTACGAAGTTCTGGGGTATCTGTTGTGCTGGCGTATGGCTGTCCTTTTGTTTTCTCAAACTTCTTCTTGTATTTGTTCTGAAAAGAATATCCGATATTAGCCTAACAAGACAGTGGCAAAAATTTCAGGCAACATATTCACATCATCTGATTTTTTAAAAAATCCTTCAAGTTATAACAATTATCAATTGTAACAGCTTTCTTTTTGTTCCCTACCCTGACTCTCAGCAAAAAACTAAAATAGATTTGATAATTGCATCTCCTAAACATGGTTGGATCTTGGAGATAATACAAATTTATTACAGACTATTGTCTTGGAAATATCCTAAAATGATTCTATCAATCTTTTTTTTTGTCTGAATGCATATATAAAAAGCCTGAACCTCAATTACTTTAGAAAATAAATATAGAAGTTGAGTTAGTTAATTCTGAAAAGATTTGATTGCTAATACAATACAAAAATATTCAATTCACAAGTTGCCGCTAAACTTCAGTAGTTCAGATAGCTGAGACATCAACTGAATTAATGGCAGATCTGAATTACAGAGTATTCTGTAAATTTAGGAATGCCATTTCATTATTTCTGCTGAATACACAATGAATTCTTGCTTTAATGATAATGTGCATAATTTATCATTATAAATGTTTTGGGAATACTCTTGAGTATAGTAGTCAACAGTCTAAATTGTACTATTGATTTAGTTACTAGCCACTTAAAAACTATTATAGATCTTTGCTGACATTCTGGTCAGAACATCAGAAATTCTAGGTTCATAGGATCTGAATTAATAAGAATTTATGGCAATATAGTGACAAAAAAATTCTATCCTTGCTGAATACTGCAGCACTAAAGAAGGTAAGAAAATCTTGTTTTTAGAAATCTGTCTTAGATTATTCAAGGCTCTCAATTAGAAATTTACCAAATAATGAGCTGCTATCACCTAAGTAAAAGTGAATATTTATTGGTCAACCTCAATAGGATGGTTTTGACATAAACTTTAGTGTTAATAGAATCCAATGTTCTCTTAAGCTACATTTTATTTTTTTAAGCCTCCAGAGGATGTGCAATCAAGCCACCTAGTGAGACCTCAACCCATCACAGACAATCAACAAATGAGACCCATTAAAATGCATCTAAATCTGCTGTCAGTCAATATACCTTACAGAGCTGTACACAGGAATTTAAGGACCAGGAACCATTAAGAGCAGTTATTCTCAACCTGGGCTGCACTAGAATCATCTGGGCAGTTTTTTAAAACCCTTTTGCACAGGGCCTGGCATGGTGGCTCATGCCTGTAATTCTAATGTTTTGTGGGGCCAAGATGGGAGAATCACCTGAGGCCAGGAGTTTAAGACCATCCTGGGCAACATAGCAAGACCCTGCCTCTATGAAAAAAAAAATAGGAGATCCCACTCCCACAAATTTCTTTTTAATTAGCCAGACATTGTGGCATGCACCTATAGTCCTAGCTGCTAGAGAGGCTGAGGCAGGAGGATTGCTGGAGCTGAAGTGAGCTATGATCAAGCTACTGCACTCCAGCCTGGGCTACAGAGAAAGATTCTGTTTCTTAAAAAAAAAAAAAAAAAAGTCTTTGTGCACAGGCCCTAACTCTGAACCAATTAAACTAGAATGGCCTGAGCATCAGGAGTTTTAAAACTCCCAGAGGATTCCAGTGTGCAGCCATGGCTAATAACCACTGTTCTAAGGTACAGTCAAACATTTAGGTCCTCAATTTCAAATGAGTTCTTAGTCTGATCTTGGTTTTTTAAAATAAATGTTCTTCTTCATCCTACAACTCTTTATATTCCTTTTTATATACTGTTAGCTAGTCTACTGAAGAAGCTATTCTGCTGACATAGTTTAAATATGTTATAGCTTCTGTGAACTGACCTCAATTAAATCTATATTTATGATTTCATTATTCTAGATAGGCTAATAGTGATTAAATACCAATAAATGCTTTATGATTGGCCTTGTGCTTATCTTGCAGGAATGATTTCAATAAGAATGCTTTCTCATGCTGCAATGGTACAAATGAATTACATAAAATAAAAATTTAACAGTCATAAGAGCCCATATTTTTCAAAATAAGTTTTTGTTTCATACAAGTTTGAGAAATAAAATCCAGCCAGTATCCAAAACAGAGTGGGCTGAGATCAGTAATTTCTTAATAATCAAACCAGGTTAGCAGAAGTTGTTTGAAACTTACTGGGCTAAAAAGATCCTGCATTTTCTGACTGTGTGCAATGTAGGGGGTCATGAACTTTGAAGGATCCACCTTCTTCCGGATGACCTTCCTCCTCTCTGCTGGCTTCGCTGGTTCTGGCTGCGCCAGAGCGGGTTTGGAAGTTTCTGATTGCTCATAGTCAGACGTCCTTGTTGTCGTAGTCTCATAAATTTCTGTTATTGTCTGAAAATTTGATATGGAGTTCAACATTGTCGTGAAAGTAAAAACTGTGCTACCATGATCTCAGTATATATTATTCTAACTTCAAGTCAGATTTACATTCCTGGTGTTACTTTTCCAGATCTAAAGTAAGCCAAAGCAGAAAACCACATACTAAAGCCATATGAAGGCACATTAAGTTACGTAAATCTGAATGCTGATTGTTGGGACTGTGTGGAGTAAAAATCTTATTCCTTATTACTTTGCAACATTGCCTTAAGTTTGCATTTGCAGAAAGACACCATTGCCTTAAGTTTACATTTGCAGAAAGACACCCAAATACTTCAAAGTAGGGGGAAATATCAGCAATAAACTATTTTTTAAAACAGTTGAAAATCAAGTTGTCTGGGTAAAGTAAAAGCAAACTTGACATTGGGGAACAAAAAGTTAAGATAATCAAACAAAGCTCAAATTCTTGACTTTAATATTAACTTGTAAATGACTAAGGGAAAATCGGTCACTCATTCTGCAGGGTTTTAGGCATTCTCCACTGTAGTAGGAGACAAAGAATAATGAACTTTTTTTAAAAAAAGAATCACATCAATATTATAAGATATTTTCATTTCCTTGGCTTAGTCAGTTAATTAAGGTGAACTGAACTGCAGTACCATTTACACGAATAAATGCTTAGCTGGACAAGAATAATGATGACAACATAATGGGGTGATTATCCTCACAACAGTCCAATCTATGTAGTAGGCGGGAAATTACTATTTCTTACAGCAGGCTATAGTGGAAGACACTAAGACTCAAAGTTTGGGTCTAGTCCAAGGTTAAAAATAATGCATGTAAGAAAAAAAGATAAGCAGCCAAGTCTTCAATCCATCTCACAGTATCTTTCCCTTCACAACTAATACCATCTGTACCAAAGAGAGAGTCCTAGCATCAATTATGAAAAGAGAACCTAGAAAGGAAATTGTACATTTATAAAACCCCCTTCTAGTGTTGTCACATCATTGCTAATAGGTTGTTTTCTGCACATGATTACTAAGGCATGGTTGACTGTAAGAAACCAATTTACAGCATCCATAGATGTTAGTTTCTGTGCAGTCACAGGTTCTCTGAACAAGCTTCAGGATTAACCATCCATATCACTGTTTGTCATGCTCAAAGAGAAACAGCTTCATGAAGAAGATAAAGCATGAGTTAGGGATTTCGCCTTGGAAAAAAAAAAGGGCTTGAACTTGGAATATTTATGGTAATAGCTTATTTAGAATTCCTAATGTGCTAAAATCTGAGTAGCATTTCAATGCATCACCAGGGACAAAGCCTTGGAGGCACTATCCCTGGTGGCAGAGATGGTGTCCTACAAGTTACAACGCTACGCAACAAAACTGCTTGTTCCTATGCCAATCACAAATCCAAGGCCATCCCTTCTGCTACAGTTGGTTAATGGTGATAGCCGCTGACGTTCTAATTAGCGTCATCCACACAAAAAATCCCACACGAGCAATAGGGGGAACCAACCCCTGCTGTCTTGGATTTGTTGAATAGCAAAAAAAGGTGAAATAACCCATCAAACAGGTAATGTTTGTGTTTTCACACCAGCTTCTGGGCACGGGTAGGTGGATGAACTTCTGTCAGATGATCTCTTTTGCCATTTTTGTGGCCCTGGGAGTGTGAAAAAGAAGAAAGCTCTTCCGGCTTTAATGAGAATGCAGTTTATGCAGCTGTGGACTGAGCCTTACCTCTCCTGGCACCTCTTCATAAACCACTTCTTCTGTGTAGTACTGTAAATAGAGCACAAAGGCGTTGGCAAGAGAACCAAAGCAGAAACCACCTCACCTCTCCTCAGCTGAACCACTTAGGTGACTGCACTAGCTCAGTTGATTTGGAATGTTTGTGGGAAAGCCTGTTCATACTTTGGAACCCATTTTCACCTTGTAATACTTGAGGAAAGCTGAAGTGGATGCCACCCGAATGGACAAAGAGGTGCAGAGGGCTGAGAAAAGTGTATCAGGCTGTTTTTAATTAAGAGAAGCTATTTTACTTTACTGGGACATGTAATTTTTTTTCTTATGGTCCCCAGGATAGAATTTGCTGAGAAGAGATTACAATAAAAAGATCCTGAGTGTGTGGGTTGGGCAGAGAGGAACTGTGATAAAACTCACTGTTTGCAAACTAACAATAAAATAAAACAGTAACTCAAGTGTGAATGCATTTTTAAATGGATTGTATCATGGGAATCATAAGATCCCAAAGTGTATCCACATCTCAATTATTCCTATACCTCCCTGATTAGTAAGTTATCAGTTTCTTCTGGAGTGATGGGTGAGTCCCTTTCAATAGTGTGATTGTCCTAAATTTGTAAATGCTAAGAGATGAAGGGGAAAATGAGAAGATTCTTCATCACAAAGTATGGGAAAGGTAGGCTGCCATTTGCCATGGTGGCTCTGAGGTCATCATGGCCTGCATGACGGATCTGCAGCCTGGCTCTGAAACCGAGTCTACTTTTGTTCTACTTCTGACATCACTAGCAATAAATAGATGTGGAAAGGAACTGGTTGACATTTTGTTTCAGATGTGTAAGGAGAGAGGAATCCTGTCCTTAGCCTCACCCTGCTCTGCAGGGTGAACAGAAGGAGAGGCTCATGTAGGCCAAGCACATGAGGAAAGGGGTAAAGATGAAACACTTGGCTCACTTCTCAGTCAAAAAATGGATGTATAACACTTTATGCTTCATTTTCACTTATCTCTGACACCAAAACATATACAGTACTCAAGGGAAGGGAAAACATTAAGATGCAAAATTTCCCTCGGTGGCCTGCTTTCCTGGTTCAGTGAATTGTCATCAAATTATTTAACCATTGTCAATAGGCTGCCTGCTCTATTTCACCTGTGTTAACAATTGTCTAAAACTTGGCCTAATATTCCTTATTCTTGTCCTTTCTTTACTCTTGAGCTATTCTTTTAACTTACAATCTAATTCTGCCTGTATGTTATTACATATCACAACAAAAATCACAAGCACTGACAGGACAGAGAATTGCTTTTTTACAGTTGTGACGTTAGCACATGAGAAATACCATTTGGACACTCTAGGAAATATTATTTGACGCTGATGCCACATGGAGTCATTCCTATGGTCACACAAAACGTCAGTGGCTTTGGAAGAAAGATTAAACTAAAATAGAAGATTCGCAACTGTTTTGGATTTTCTCAGTATCCAAGTAAAAGCAGCTCTTTGGAAGCCATTCAATTTTACCTTTGCTGAGCTCTCATCCTTGGTAAATCCATCTTAGAAATACGCTTATAAAAGAGGCAACATTATTTAAATGGTTGGCATTAATTTGTATGCCAAATCTCACTCTTCTTTTAGAGCTATGCCACTAATTAGATAGTAGTACATCCTTGCTTCTTTCTCTTTCTTTCCAAGTTTAAGTTTGAGTAGAGAGAACAGTAAAACTTTATTTCAGATGTCCAAGATTCCCAAGGAGATATATTTTTAAAGCCAGTTCTTCTCTGTTTTCTGCATATTTTTAAAGCTATTTCCTCTCTGTTTTCTAAAATCTTCCCTGGCAATTTTTCGCACGCACCACCCTCCCATGCTCGTGATCTTTTTTGAGGTCAAAGAGATCTTGGTTCAATATTTTCTGGCAAGCAGTCTATTCGTTTATCACCTGCTGGTGAGACCCAGAAGCTGTAATGGAAACAAAATGGTAGGGTTCGGATGTCTAAAAATAGCCCCCTCCATTATTATGACATCTAGTTAAATCAGTCGAGTCTAGCACTAAGGACAATTTCCAATGGCAAAGGTATAAAATTATTCTAAGAAAGACAAGGGATATTTAAGTTGGAGACTAGAAACTGCTACTGGCATTATTATCACAGGGAAAATAACTTAATTTATAATTGTATTAGTGTTTGATAGTGATATTTCTGACCCTTAGAGACATAAGCAAAATGCACGCTAGTGATAATATCAGCATGAAAGATGTCATCAGCATTTAACCCAGAGAGGTTTAGTGTTACACTGTAGGAGATTCATTCTATTTTTCCCTCATGTCGTTCAGTGATAAAAGCAATTTTATTCATAGAATAAACAAATTTTCTTCATCTAAATATAGACTGGTCACTAAAATAATTTTCCAAAGACCAGTTTTGGCACTGCCACCTGGAATTTGGTTCTGGGTAGCTCTTACAGTTAATTTCAGTCTTATTAAGAAGCACAGATTTTCAGAACTGCCTCCAAGTGCCTTAGGCATTTAGAGATTTTCATATGTTTAAATCATCATCAATTGATAATTCGTAAGCACATTCAGATTCATGGCACTGTATTTATGTGAATTATAGTTCCAAGCCTTTGATTTTATTTCCTGAATGTGAAGCTAAAGGCAAGAGCTGGTGATGAAAAATCATAAGATGTTAAAAACAAAAGGATGTAAAATAAATATAAAATAAATGATTAACAGCTTTGTAAAATATGTTAGATGTCCACCAAGAATTGGAAGGAAATTTTTCAAGATACCCACTATAGTCTTTGTTCTTATTCAAAATTCAAAGGCAAAAGCTAGTCTTGTTTACTTAGGTAAATATATTGAAGTTGGTGGCAAGGTCTGGCTCCAACTGTCGCTGTGACCTTCATGCCTTTATTTATATTTGCGTGTATATGTGTGTCTGTGCACATGTGTACATATTATGTATAAAGTCTCACATGCTCATACAATTTCACACATATGATTATTCTGAATAATGCAGACACTAAGACACAGAGTTCTGTTCTCACAACTTTCTCTTCATCGCTAGCCCTTTGAACATCGGGGTTGGGAACTGGGGAAGAAAGTAGTTTTAGAAGACGAATTAAAAGCTGCCTTTTCTCCACACTTAGTTTTTTGAGAGCTTAAAGAAAAGCAAAAGTGGGAAACAGTGATATTTCCTTTCAATTCTAAATCCCACGTAATTACAGTGAAACTGAACATAAAATATTCCTTCTTATGCTTTAAATGGTGACTCTTTGTGAAGTTATAATAGACAACGTATTTTTCAAATGATTAATTCACCTACATGGCTTTGATTGTCACTACATAAAATAGTTTGCTGTCAGTGTTTTTTTTTAAAAATCTTACCTCCACCACCTCCTCATATTCTTCGTCATCTGCCATTTTTCCAGAGTAGTAGTGGCACCTACAAACTTTTCATATTCCATACAAATGAAAACACATTAGAGTCTATCCCCAGCACTGAAATTATCTTATGACATTATAAAACTGGAATTTGAAGCTAAACTATTGTATAAATTCATATATTGTTGCAGGCTCAGGGAGAGAAGACATTTAAAATACAAGTATAAGCAGCAGAAGCTTCAAATTTCTTTCTCTTTATTCCTTCAGTGTTGAGAATTGCTACTTCTACATAATCAATTTAGTTAAAATTGCAAAAGGAAATTGAGGAAAGGGAGAGAGAAAATTGAGAGAGTTTGGACTCAGGGAACAGAGAATTTAAACTTTCAAACACTTTGAGAAAAGACATTTTCCAGCAAAAAATTTGGTGAAAGAAGTTCAGCTTGGCTTTCAGAAGAGGCTGACATTTTTCCCCCCAGCACCAAAATTCTAAGAGGGCTGACTTAGTTTTCCATACTGCCCTGATGCACTGTTTGCAGTATATCTTAGACTTCATATTGGAACCCATAAAAATACATGTCAATAAATTTTAAAAGAAAAAAAGAAACCTCAAGGCAATGGGGTTATTTTCTTCCCGAACACCATTGGCTTCTACAGACTTTTTCTTTTGTTTCTGTAGCTCTCGTTCAAACCTGAAAAATAACGAAGTTGTAAAGCATTGATTGAAGTACATATAGGATTGTCAGTCCTTAGCCTAAGCTCCTAATGCAGAAAATAGCAAAAGGACCTCTCAAGGCCTCTACAGTTTGACACCAGAGTGTGGGATTCTTGATATGAAGTGGATGATGAGTCAGAACAGCTGTCCCTTCATCCAAAGATGTTTGCTGTGTAAGCCAATACCCTGCAGTGGCTGGTTTTGTTGAGCTAGCGAAACTGCCACTCCTCAGGCAAATGAAGCCCGGTAGAACAGGATTAATATAGGAACACAGGGCAACGTATCTTCTTTTTCATATAAATATATTTAGGGAGAAATATCAAATGCAAAAAAATGTTAGACAAGAGAGCCAACTCAGTCGAGCAATAAGTTGGTTAGTATAGGACTCGACTCTAATCCCACACTGTACATAGCAGATATTAGTAGGGCCTCAGTAGGGCAACGGGGTTAGACTTTTCCAGCCATATTTCTACCACTAATTTCCTCAGTTATAGCCCAAACCTTCGAGAAATACTTCAAGGGAAGTGGTGGAACATCTCCTGAAAGAGTATTACAGAAAAAGTCATAAACTGGCCTTACCTTCAATCTACCAAATAAATTTCCTCAGCAGCAAAGCCTCTCCCAACTCTCCCCTCCTGAGAACCCCAGGCAAAAGCCAGTGTGATGCCTGGGCTCCGAATCATCATGTGGCAAGGGCAACCAATCAGATCTTGAGTTGCTCAAATTTCAGAAGCTAAATTTACCAAGTGATCTTCTGAAAACCACCTGTTCATCAATTCCTCTAAAGGATAAAGGGTAACAAATTGCTTGCTTAGAACTATTCAAAAGGAATCAAATTTTACCTAACTTCCAGGCTATGTAGTTCAATTTGAGGTTGAATTTCCCATTTACTGAGTCCCCATTCAATGTCACGTTCATGCAAAAGAATTTAGTGGAAAATAGCATGACTTTGAGAGGCTTTGACGCTTCCATAGCTGCTTTCTTCACGTCAGTTGTCCTGTCTTCATGGCAGCAAATGCACTCACCCTGGTAAGATTCACCATGTGAGCTACAGGTAAATTACTGCTGTTAGTGTGGGAGAAACTGAGGAATAAGACCCAGTAAACATCAAGTTGGCAAAAGCAATTTTTAACAATGTGATGAGTGAAGTTAAAGGTGAAAACATTTGACTATGGCACTAGATAAGATATCCACAGGGTGTAATTAGAAAGATTCGACCCCATCATTTTTCTGTTACTAAACAAGGCGGGTATACCAAAATCCTATTTAGCACCTTCTCCCTCCATAGATAAGGCAAGCTGCTAGGAATACAGAGCCTCTCTGGTATGTAACTGAGTTAGTGATTTTCTATTAATTCAGATGACTCCTGGCTCCCAGAAGCAACGTATGAATGCGGACACAAACAGGCTCAATTTTTGAACAGCAAGAGCCGATAAAACGGAAATCAGTAACTTACAGAGAAAATAATGCCCTATTTGGCAAATCTGAACATAAGTCAGTTCCTTTGTAAAAACTATCAACAATTTTCTTAAAACTTGCTTAAAGTCTCTCTTGCGCTTTCTTTGTTCCTGAATTATTTTTTCTAATTTAAAATCTAATTCCGTCTGTAAGTCTGTATATCCTTACACATAGCAACAGAAATCACAGGCTCTTACAGGACAGAACTGCTGTTTCTCTGGGTTGCTCCTGTACTGAGGCAAAACCCCTGTGAGTCACCTATATCTTGATATGGATTTGAGACTAAACATATTATAATAGATTTTTTTTTTAAAGTTAAACATTAGAAAGTAATCTTGCCAGGTGTAGTGGCTCATGCCTGTAATCCCAGCACTTTGGGAGGCTGAGTTGGGCAGATTGTTTGAGGCCAGAAGTTTGAGAAAGTAATCTCATATTTCAAATATATGTACCTCTTCCCTTTCCATGATTCACATGGTAGTAAATAAAATCTAACATAATTGTATCATCTTAACTAATTATACCTGTTCATCTTGTGTGTTCTCACAGGTCTTATGACCAAAGGATATTTACATAATATGAGATCACTCACTTGGTAGCTGCAAACTAGAATTGTGACTTACTAGTCATTACATGCTGTAAAACATGTTGTTGAATTAAAAAATAACACAGGCCCATTTTTAAAAACATAGGGTACAAAATTATATAAAGTAAAAAATGAGCATTGACCTTCTTAAAGGTAGTCATTGTTAAGTTTCAGGTATTTTCAATATAGACATTGACATAAATTGATACATTTAATAACATGCAATAGACATCTTTTATAAAACATCACATAAACATATCCTACTCTAATTTCCACAAATAATTCTATTGATTGGATAGAGTATAATTGTTTAATCATTACTTTTTAATGGACACCTAGACTGTTTCAAGGTTTTTGCTATTGCAAAATGAAGCAAAACAAAACATACAGTAAGCATCTCTGTGCATTACCTTTGAATACTCATATGAAATGTATCTGCAAGGTAAATTTCTAGAAGTAGAATTACTGAGGCAGAAAATATATGCACATTTTGAAAATTTATAGATATTGTCATGTTGCCAGTCAAAATCCTTAAACTATTTTACATTTCACCAATAGAGAATGAGGGTTCCTCTGTATATATCTCAATATCTTTAGGGATTATTAGCCTTGAAAAACCTTTACAATCTGGGTTGAATGTGTGCTCCCAAAATTTATATGTTGAAATCCTTCCCCTCAATGTGTGGAAAGCGATTGGGTCATAAGGGTGGAGCCCTTGTGAATGGGATTAGTACCCTTATGAATGAGGCCCTAGAGAGCTCCATTGCCCTCTCTGTGCTGTGTGAAGTTACAGGGAGAAGATGGCCATCGGCAACCTGAAAGAACATCCTAGAGCCCAACCATGCCAGCACCCTGATCTTAGACATCCAGCCTCTAGAACTGTGAGAAGTAAATTTCTGTTTATAAGCCACCCAGCTTATAGTATTTCTGTTACAGCAAACCAAATGGACTAAGACACTCTTTATACATTACTTTTGAAGCCACCATGATAGTAAAAGAAGTACGACAGATGAGCAGAACCCCAAACTCCATTCATAGTGAAGTGTGCATCCCAGGAACAGGGTCTAAAAAGGAGCGGGGGCAAGAGTGAGTTCACACAAAATTACCCTGTCTTAGACCTCTTGGGATAAATTCCTCCTAAAAGAAAGCCCCAAAGCTCCTGCTAAATTGGCCTGCTGCAGGTTGCCTTAATAATTTGCAAAGCACATAAGAAGTAAGAGACTCACAAGACAGCTGGCTGTGTTCCCACCATGGCTACAAAGGGGTGAGTGCACCAGCGAGCAGCTTACATTTCCCTCCTAGACACACAGGAGGAAAACACTGCCACCTCCTTACTATATCCTGCTGATTCTAATCTGGAATGAAGCCCTCCAGAAACGAAATAAGAGTTCTATTTTACTGGCCTATCTGTGGCCTCATCTATGGAATGAGAATATATTGACACCCTGATTTATTCGTAGGTTCTTATTATATGCCTTGCACATAGTAAGTGTTCAGTAAGTGTTAGCTATTATTATTTTTACTATTACCATTTTTTTTACATTTTATGGGAAGCTTCACTCTTTATTCTGTATTTAACTGAAATACCAAATACCTCGAAGCTTCTAAAATCAGACAATAGTCTAAGAATTTATGAATATACAGGCATTTGACTAGAAGCTTGTACAACTGGCTACAAACCAAAGCCAGGGCAGTTATGTGTCAATAGCAGAACTTCGATAATGCTTCCCTAAATATGAAAATACAGAAGTGTCATGCCTGGGGACCAAAAAAGACAGGATAAGGGAGATGGAATTGTAAGTTTTTGTTGTTATTTCTTGATTCATTATTTTGATCAACTTCTATATGCACATAGCTTAGGAATCAAGCTTAAGTTTTGTAAGACTTGCTATTAAATCAGCACTTCCTGTTTCCTCTTTTCCTTTTTTCCACTCCCTAGAGACATCACTTAGACTCTTTTAGCTGAATCTTTTGTTATATTCCTTTACACGCTTAACAAAATGTCTACATTGCTCCTTCCTGATTTTTTGTTCATAGGCATCATTTACTAAGCTCCCATCTGGGAGGATGAGGCTTTAATTCTCTTCATCTAAACCACAAGCCTCACCTCCTGCTCCTCAATAAAGTTCTATACATGCAATTCAGAACTCAATGTACACATTTTCATGATTGGCCAAAGGCTATTCACAGCTGAACCCTGTATATTATTATTATTTTTCGTTTCCTCTACAAGGGCTTGTTTTTCTGGAAATTGATATTTTTCTCCATTTCTTTTATTTTCTTCCTTGGCTTAATTTTTTTTAGACAAGTGGTGTCTGAGAGAGCTTTCTGCAATGGTAGCAATGTTCTATACCAGTACTGGCCAGTACAGTAGCCACTAGCCACATGTGGCCATTGAACACTCAACATGTGGTTAGTGTGACTGCAGAACTGAAGTTTTAGACTTTTTAATTTGACTTAAATCCAAACAGCCACATGTAGCAGGTGGCGATGGTACTGGGAAGAATAATTCTAGACAGTTTTAGCACTAACACCTCAAACTGTCTAAGTCTGCTCTTGGTGTTTTCAATGTCTTTAAGTATCGTTCTATAAGTCTACTCATTTCCCCTTCTTAGATACCTCAGGGAGTCTTTTCTTCCATCTGGACCAGTTCCAGTGCAGCTGGAGCTCAGGGCTTTTCTTGAGCCCTCTCCACTGTCTTTCATTTCTGGGGATTCTTCTCTTCTCTCTTCTGAATTAGACCTTGGGTTTCCTGGATTCCATGTCTTTCTCTTGCTTAACTTTCTTGATTAGATGGAAAACATCCTCCAGTATTTTCCTGAGGAAGGATACATATAAGGTATGAACCTGAAAGTATCTGAGACAGGTCTCAATCAATTTAGGAAGTTTATTTTGCCAAGGTTAAGGATGTGCCCATGGCACAAACTCAGGAGGTCTTGACAACATGTGCCCAGCATTTAAAAAAACTTTTCATCAAAGTATAGTGTACGCATAGACCGAGACGTTCAGAACTGGAACTGGATGCTCATCCAAAGACTCCCTGGTGGCTTTTGAGCTGAGAGTGTGGGACTGGATGCTGGATTGTGGGACTTGAGACTTGTTGCTGAGCTTTGGGGCTGGATGTGGCCTGCAGTACATGGCTCCATTCTTCTTTTGCCTTACGTGACTATGGATGTGAACTAGATGAATAAGCCTTGTGGCAGAAAGACAGCAATGTAGCCCCATGATAACCCCTGCCTCCTGGTGATCATGCTTTTGTGAAATCCCCTCTTCCTGTTATGGGGCCTGTGCTATGCTGCTAACCAGAAGAATTTGGCAAACTTGTTGAGATGGCACTCCTGTGGTTACATTCAACATATAAGACTCCATCTTGCTAGCCAACTTGCTTAAGGGACTCTTCCTGCTGGCTAGATGAAGCAAGGTGGCCTTGGTGGGGAAGCCCACCTGGCAATGAACTGCTGTCATCTTCTAGGAGCTGAGGGCAGACTCCAGAAGAAGCCAGTAAAAAAGCTGGGCTTTTAGTCATATAGCTGGAAGGAAATGGTCCTGCCAAGAGTCAGAATAATCTGAGAAGGATATTCTTCCCCAGTCCAGCCTGCAGATGAGAACACAACCTCACCAACAACTTCTTTGCAGCCTTGTGAGATCCTAAAGAGGGCCCAGCTAAGCCCTGCCCAAACTCCTAATACTCAAAAACTGTGAAACAATGAATATGTCTTGTTTAAACCACTATGTTTGTGGCAATTGGTTATGCAGCTATAGGTAATTAATATATCCTTTGTTTAATCAGTAGAAAAGGGATCAAGAATATTCACAAGAATTTGGGTTTTTCTTTTTAATAAACTTTATTTTTTAGAACAGTTTTAGATTTACAGAAACAATTCAGGAGATAGTACAGAAAGTTATCGTATACCTTCCACCCAGTTTCTCCATCATTGACACTTTACATTAGTATGATACATGTGTTATAATTAATGACCTTTCTCTGTTCCAAGATTCCATCTCAGATACATTACATTAAGTTGTCATGTCTCTTTAAATGTGGCAAATTTCTCATACTTTATTTTTGATGACCTTGTCAGTTTTGAGAAGCGCAGGCCAAGTATTTTGTAGATCCTAGTACTGGAATTTATCTGATGTCTTTCCTCATAGAAAAGACTCGGGTTATGAGTTATTGGGAGAAGGACCACAGAGGTGAAGTGCCATTTTCTTCCCATCATATCAAGAGTAACTGCTATCACCGTGACTGACTACTGTTGATGTTGGCCTCGATCACCACCTGGGTGTGGTGTTTGGGAGGTTTCTGCTCTGCAAAATTACTCTCCCCACCACCCCTCTTTATACCACACTCTTTGGAAGGAAGTCACTATGTACAGTCAAAACCTAAGGACTGGAGAGTTACTCACCCTTCCTTGAGGGTGGAGTAGCTACATAAATTATTTGGAATTCTTCAGCATGGGAAATTTTTCTTATTCTCAATTTATTTAATGATTTATTTATATCAGCAAGGACTAATGGATATTTATTTTACACTTTGTGTTACAATCCAATACGTCTTTATTTTATTACTCAAATCGTTCTAGCTTTGACCATCGGCAGCTCTTTTAGTTGGCTCTTGCGTTCCTTTGACATGACCCCCATCTGTGTGTGTGTGTGTGTGTGTGTGTGTGTGTGTGTGTGTGTGTGTGTGTGTCAGAGAGAGAAAGAGAGAGAGAGAGAGAGTGAGCATTTTCTTACTTTCTGGAACTGCAAAATGCTCCAGGACTCCAAATATAAGTATGCATTCAATCTATAAATTTGGAAGTCATACATGTTCATTGTAAAAATTTCAAGCACTAAAGGTTCATGCAGATTATAATATGAAATAAAGTTTTATATATATTATAATATAAAAATTCTGATTCATTCTTTTAACTATTATTTATTATGTACAATATATGAGGCTCTGTTCTAGATGCTCCCCTCATGCAGCAGAAATCATTAGCTGCTTAAGCACTATACAGTTCTTCCTCAGTTGTGTCCATGGAAGGTTGGTTCCCGGACCCCCAGCAGATATCAAAATTTAATAGATGCTGAAGTCCCTGATATAAAATGATTTAGCATTTGCATATAACCTGTGCACATCCTCCTGTATACTTTAAATCATCTCTAGAATACTTGTAATATCTAATACAATGTAAATGCTATTTAAATAGTTGTTATACTATATTGTTTAGAGAATAATGGCCCCCCAAAAGTCTCTATAAATTCAGAATGTTTTTTTCCAAATATTTTTTATCTGTGGTTGGTTGAATTCACAGATACAGAACCCATGGATATGAAAGGCCAACTCTATGTGCTTCCCTTCTTGTCTATTAACAGAACCACAGTTTAGTGTGGTACAGAAATACGCCCATTTTAAAAATACACTCCTCAGATTCCCTAACAGTTAGGGGTAACCTATGACACAGCTTTGCCAATAAGATCTAAGTACAATTCTTGATGCTGAGGCCTGTGGGAAAGCTCTTATTTGACTGATGAGCAGGGTCAGACTCAGCTGGCATGCACTAGTTTTCTTTTGCTGATCTTCCCTTCTGTATGCCTGGAACACAGATGGAATGCCTGGGCCAGGGCAGCCATCTAGGGACTGTAAGGATACAGATCACGTGCTAAGAAATGGTAAAGCTAAAGGAGCCTTACCCTTTACTGATTTTCTTAATTTTTGTACATTTATTTATTTTTAAATTTATTAATGTATAATTATACAATTACAGTGACATTACTTTTCCCTACATACCAAACATTTTTTTCTATTTTTACTTTGCCAATTAACAATAAAGTTGGTTATTTTTTTCATATGTTTATTGACCATTTATAACTTTTTCTGTCTACGATTTGCTCATATCTCTACCCCACATTCATTTCTAGGCTATTCATTCTGTACTATAGAAATGATGATTTGCCTCCTGTGTATGATAATATTTTCTCCCAGTTATTTGTGGTGGCTGTGACCATAGAGATGAGTTGAACTTTATCTTCGGTCAAGTCTGTCAGTCTCTTCCTTTTAGTTTCAATACCATTTATTGACTAAATTGAATTTGAAATACTGCTTTTAACACACATTAAATTAAGATGTATTTCTGTTTCTAGAGTCTCATGTCTTTTCTTGTTTTCTTTGCTTTTCCTTTTTTTTCTTTTTTGAGACAGGGTCTCACTCTGTTGCCCAGGCTGGAGTGCAGTGGCCCAATCTCAGCTCACAGCAACCTCTGCCTCCTGGGTTCAAGTGATTTTCCTGTCTCAACCTCCCAAGTAACTGGGATTATAGGTGTGGGCCACCACACCTGGCTAATTGTTGTTTTTAGTAGAGATGGGGTTTCACCATGTTGGCCAGGCTGGTCTCAAACTCCTGACCTCAATTGATTCACCTGCCTTGGTGTCCCAAAATGCTGGATTACAGGCGAGAGCCACAGCACCTGGCCTTCTCATTTTCTTTACCTCCTAGGATTTTTGTTTTTGTCTTTGACTTCATTTGGTTTTGCTTTCTTATGAAATGTAATGCATCGGAAGTTATATAAAACTTATGTGTGCAGTTTAGCAAATGGTGGTAAAGGGGGAAGCCATGTAACTATTAATATTACACTAGTACATAAAGGTCATCTCTTGATCTTGGCAGTAATAATTTCCTTGCTTTTTTTTTAAATCACAAATGTATGCATTTCTAAACAATACAGTTTTGTTTTGTCTGTTTTTAGATTTCATATAATAGAATCATGCTATACACAATTTTTGTAACTTTTTTACTTTTATCTGTTTGTTGATTTTTATCATTGTATAACATTCTACCAAATGGCCTTACTTATATTTACACATTCTGTTGTAGAAAGGTAATTAGGTCTTTTCAACTTTCATCATTTAAGAACAAAGATGAAATGAACATTCTTATACATTGTATTCTTGTGTGGAGGGGTGGAAAATTTTTCCTCTACCCTCTTAGGTTCTGCGGCTTGGCTTGGGAATTAAACTGACAATAGACAGATTAACAGGAGAAAAAAAATAAATTATACTTGATGTTAATATTCTTATATGTACATGGAGGCCTTCATATTTAAGAATAGAAGACCCAAAGACGTGGATAGGCCTGAGAACCTATATTGCATTTCAGTAAAGAATAGTGTGTGGTGGAGACATGGCAAGACAGGGGAAAGAGCTGGTTTGGGCTATGGGTGATAACTTATGGGAAAGTAAACAGGAAATATTTGGGAAATACTAATGCAAGATAAGGGTTATTATAGTAGGTTTGTTTGTACAGATTCATCTCAGTGTTGACTTCCCCATCTCAAGTGATAAAAATGTTCTCTTCCTGGTATAGGAAGGACACCTTTTTCATAAGAAATGTATGCTCCACTTTTGGTTAGGAAAGGGTTAGTCAGAGAGCCCTTCGTTCATCTGCTTTTTTTCGATTACCTTCAATTCAAAATAATCAGTATGTGCCTGGTGCAGTGGCTCACGCCTGGTAATCCCAACACTTTGAGAGGCTGAGTGGGCAGGTCAGGAGTTTGAGACCAGCCTGACCAACAAGGCGAAACCCTGTCTCTACTAAAAATACAAAAATTAGTCAGGCATGGTGGCTGGCACCTGTAATCTCAGCTACTCAGGAGGCTGAGGCAGGAGAATTGCTTGAACCTGGGAGGCAGAGGTTGCAGTGAGCTGAGATCGTGCCACCCCACTCTGGCCTGGGCAACAGAGTGAGACTCTGTCTCAAAAGCAAATAATAAATAAAAATAATCAGTTTGTTAAAACAGTAAAAAACATTAGTATGTTTAGTGTTGGCATGCTCTG